CAAAAAGACAGGTTTGTGCATCGGTCGACCGACTAGTCACTAGTCACCCTGCTGCATGCAGACCGGGTTCTCAATAGGTTGACACCGGTTGAGCTTGTCGATGACCTGCAGGGAGACCGGCCACAATGCCTGAAAAGTGCCTTACTGCACGCGCTGTATTACGAGTACTCGCCAGCAAAACTCCGTGCCTTGGAAACTGGATGGGTGGTTGTATTGACACTTATTATTAGGACCGGGTGAAACAGCTGCCCCAAGGAATGTTGCTTGATTGCCAACTTTGGGCAAATCTTGTCTCAAATTCTCTGAAAACCCCCGGCTCTTTCATACACCATCGGACGAAACTCTCCGAGCCACTCATCTTCGCTTTGGCTCCTATTGCGAGCTCTTATTAGACTACTTCGCAGCTCGAGGAAGAAGTGAATCTCTGCTGCTCGAGGTGCACAAATTTGTCCAAATCATTGAGAGGTGTTGTCGATGAGCTGAATCAGGGGTTTGGCACATGCCTCTGCATGCGTGTCTCTCTTTGATGTGCCAACCCTTGGCAGCCAAGCAATAGTTGCAGGAACTATTGGAAGACATCGGGTACGTGTACCAGCATTAGCCGACACCACGATATGAGATCTTGGTTCCGTGTGGCTGGGTTCGGAACCATAACCATGGCCTGGGAACATGCGGTGTGTAACCCGAGCAACGGGGGGAAAGAAAACACCGCCGGTCTGCCACTATAAATTTGTATGTGATGGGCGGCGGTGTTTTCTTTCCCCCTCTTGCCGAGCTAATGTGTTGTCTCAGGATACGGCGCACGAGTAGGCTTTATCAAACGTCGGCGCCGTGTCTCTAGTGAAATGACCTTTTTCGGGGACTCAGCATCAGGACTACTACTGCATCTTCTGAGACACCTCTCAACTCATTGGGTCCATCACCGCCAGAGCGTATGATAGAGGATATACTCGTCCGTACGCTCAGCTACAATATGTTCTATGTTGCTCACTGGTGTCAATTCTGATTGCTGACAAATACTCCGTGCAGCTGACGAAGAGATGGTATGATCATTTCTCTTGAAATTGAATGATGGGTATCGGAGATTTTACACATGTCCCCCATCGATATGAGTGGCTCAACCCACGAGGAGATACTCAGGAGCTGCCGGGCTGCCACCTTGGCACCTCGCGGGCCAAATGAGCTGTCGTCCTTACGCCTCCCTGCATGCTTACTCGGGATATTGACCTCTGAACCCAGCTGCATATCACTTAATCAAGTTTCTCGCTCTTGCGGAATACTGAGGGAGCATACGAGCATATGGACGGACCGCCTGGACTCAATCCTACATCAAGGGCGGCGCTCATGCAATGCGCTGCCGCCAAGCAATCGACCGAGAGTCTTTTACTTATGCTTGAATCAGACACCGCCCCCTGACACCAGCCAGTACAACTCTCGATATGTGAGATGCTAGAAGATTCTTTGTGAGAACGCGACTAAGATATTACGCGCCATCGTGATTATGGTTGTGTGGCATCGTGCTCAGGGCTGTGTAGCATCAACTTCAGACGAGGGAACTGTGTAAGCACTTCTCTCAAGCTTCTCCTTAATTGAATAGGCTATCAAAATGAGATGAATAGTCAGTTAAGAGAAGCATCGTGGGTTTGCGGATTGGGCATGGCTGTGTAGCATCGGTTGAGTCTTGTCAGCTTTTAAGCTCTTTCAAGAAGGGTATTACAAGGAGAGATGACATCACGTATTACACGTTGTTTCTATCCTTTTTCTCGACTTTGAAGAGAACTTGGAAGCATGTCAAGAAGAAGAATCCTTGAACCTCTGCTAAGAAGTCGTTGCCCTATATCCAGAATGGGCCACCGTATACTAGTATGATTCTTTTGTGCTTTGTCCTTTCGGTATCTGCTCATTTTAATTATTCATTTTTCGCCTTTGGTGTCAGGATCGAGGATTGCGAGCATACATGCAATTAGACATTCTCTAAGTACTTACTTTAACTGATGCTGCGGTCAATTACATGACCAGAAACTAGATCGTCTTCTTCAACCTGTCACCAGAATACCTTTTCCGACATGTAGCTGAGATTGAGTGTCAGTTTATTGTATCCGCACTGTAAGATAATCCGTGGCCTTCGCACAGAGCACAGTGTGCACGTCCAGTGTCCCCACATGAGCAATCTGATTGACCAACCAAGCAGCTCGCTTCACTTCACTGACGTTGTTCCGTAACCATGAGCTACATTCTGCATACAGACAAATCCTTCAGCCCAAAGTACGGCAAGCTGATATTCTCACACAGCCATATCTCTCGTTGCCGTCTAGCCGATATTTGACGACTTTATATTGATCAACGACACACGACGCAGCAGACTGCCAGTGATTCAACGTCATCATTCGCCCTTCCACGGATCGTCTAGAACCCCCGCATCTGCGAATGGCTGGACCTTGATCAGCACTCCTCCATCTGCTGTCGTGCTTCAGCAACGGCAACCATCATGAGCGACCTACAGCGAGCTTGGGCCAAGTCAAAGCTCGGGCTGGCCCCCGAGCCCTTTGCAGAGCTGGACGAGGCTGAGGAGGACCAGGTGCCGGAGCTGCCAGAGGGGCTGGACGACGATTCCTCCTCGGCCTCTTCGGTATCTTCGACGGGGACAATCATCCCGACGCCGAGCCAGAAGCTCTTTGCTCGCCCCCAAGGGTAACTAACACCTGAGCTGGAACGGTGGACGGAATTTTGTTTGAATGAAAGGGCTGTCGGTGCTGACGGGTACGCAGCGTAGCGAGGGGCCGGACGCTGGAGCAGATCCCTTGGACAACGTACTTTGAACGAGAGCTGTTCCTCAAGTCGGAGACCAACCCGGATGTGACTTACCATGTCTATCTCAGCTCGCCGTCGGACAAGGGTCCTTTGTATGTCATGCATCACGGAGCTGGATCCTCGGGGCTGTCCTTTGCACTGGTGGGGGCTGAGATACGGAAACGACTGCCCAATGCCGGCATACTTGCAGTCGACTGCAGAGGACACGGCTCCACTACTGCTCCCGACGGTGCAGCTCTGGACTTGCGGCTGGATACCTTGTCCTCTGATCTGTTTGCCATGGTTGAGGGCACAAAGAAGCAAATGGGCTGGAAGGAACTGCCGCCGATAGTCCTGGTGGGCCACTCCCTAGGCGGCGCTGTGGTCACGGACCTGGCCATGTCTGGGAAGTTGGGCACGGCTCTTCTGGCATATGCCGTCTTGGATGTCGTTGAGGGTTCTGCGATGGACGCACTCCAGAGCATGCAGACTTATCTGTCGACGAGGCCCGGAGGGTTCGCAACGGTCGAAGCAGGCATCGACTGGCACATCAGGACCCGGACCGTCAGGAACTCGGTTTCCGCGAGAGCATCAGTGCCGGCGCTGCTGGTCTGGGACGAGAGCAAGGACGCATCGCGCCCGTGGAGGTGGAGGACGAATCTTGCGGCCACGCAGCCTTTCTGGGAAGATTGGTTCGTGGGCTTGAGCAAGAAGTTCTTGGGGGCTCGTGGTGGGAAATTGCTGCTGCTTGCTGGTACAGATCGACTGGACACGGAGCTGACCATTGGCCAGATGCAAGGTAAGCCTGGTGTATATGTTGAAGGCTACTCTAGATCGCACTGACACGGCGATCCCTTACAGGCAAATACGCTTTGCAAGTGTTCCCTGATGCAGGGCATTTCATCCACGAGGATAAGCCCGAGCAGACTTCTGTGGCTCTTGTGGACTTTTACCGGCGGAATGACCGCAGCGCATTGGTTCTGCCACCCAAGGTCTCTGAACTTCTGAGACAGGGCAAAAAGGTGTGATGCGGGAGTTGTTGGAACAGGGCTGGACACCTGGAAGTGCCTACCTGTATCTGGTGGGTGGATATATGGCTTCGAGGCGTTTTGAGAGGAAATAGCATTTGCGTTACATGTAAACTCTGGTGCTCACGCTCTTACTTGCGCCACATTATATAGACTGTTCACGATGGCAAGACATCAAACTGTATGCTCTCACTCGAGGTGTTATCTGAGGATCTAGGCTGCGGGCACGGGTGATGAGGTGCTGAGCCATTATGGAGGTACACATGGGCTCAGTTGTCTCCTCTACAGAAAGTCCCTCTTACTGTAAGGTATCATCAGAAGACCCGCGTATACAATCCAAGGTGGAGGTTTCAGGTAGGTACTCGAGGCGATCTTGACTTGATCTTTAGTCGGTTCGCGGAGTGCGGAGAATGCACATACAGGTATTATCCGCCAAATCTCTCCGCCAGTGAAGCGATATATCCAAGTCTGTGCTGTCCTGCTGTCTCAGTCTGTCTAATTACCTACCTAGGCATCGAATTGAGGCTATTTAAAAAGCACATATAACATGAAACGGAATGCCCTGACAGCTGTGACGTTATTGACCTTGAATGCTACACTCCCACGACCAGTTGACCGAGTACGAACAAGAACGCGCACCTCAGAAGAAAGTCATGAGACGTCGGGGCACCCAAAGAGTCCATGTCCGTCGAGCCTGAGATTCCCACGGCCGCGATTGGCCGCAGCCCCTGGAAATCCCGCCAGCAACTCGCCGAACCCTTTCTCCACTGGTGGCTTCAGCACCATCGACCGCCTAGGGAGCGCTGAACGAATAGGCGCCATGCCCGCTAAATGCGCCCCTTCCCCAGGCCCGCCCAAATCGGGGGCGCGGAACGTCGCTAGCGGGCCCAAACAGGGGAAGTTGAGCAGCCCAGCTTTTGGGGCTAGTGCCTGATGCGATGTTGGTGCAGGTGCCATCCATCCATGGTGAAGCCATCCATTCCGTTCCTGCTATGACCTTCCCTTGGCTTCTCCGATCTGGTTGTTTTCTTCTTTTGCCCCTGCATCTCCAAGTTTTATTGTGACGCTCAGCCTCTTTTCCCATCTTCCAGATCCAGACTCTACAGCCTGCATTATTGTTGCTCATCTTAGAATCAAATCGACACCCGTTACCCAGTACTATCTTCTGTTTAGTCGCCCAAGATGAAGGCCTCCGTGCTCTCGCTCGTCTTCCTGTCCGGCCTCGCCGCCGCTCAGATCCCGAGCTGTGCTGTAAGTCAGACAATAACCATGGCGCCAATCAGTTCAGCATCCTCACAGGCTGCAACAATCGCTCTTAATCACATGGATTCTACGAGAAGCAACTCCCGGATTGCCGACTAACACGGTACCTAGACCGGCTGCGTCACCAAGTTCACCACCGGCAACTCCATCGCCGGCTGCGGACAGCTCGACATTGCCTGCATCTGCAAGAACGCCGACTTCCTCAACGGCATAGCCTGCTGCCTGACCTCGGCATGCGACAAGGACGGCCAGGACCAGGCTGTCCAGTACGCCAAGCAGATCTGCTCCTCCGCCGGTGTCTCCACCCCAGACAACGTCGTCTGCAACGAAAACTCGTCGTCGAGCGCCGCCGAGTCGTCTGCTACCCAGTCTGCGACTGCCACCGACGACTCTGCCACGACTGCCACGACCGGTTCTTCTGACTCCTCCAGCACCGCCGAGTCGTCCGAGACCACGGCCGCCGATAGCTCTTCTTCTGCTGCCCCTGCCACGACAAACTCGGCTTCCCGAACCACCGGCGGCTCCTCCACGACTGCGGCCTCGCAGACGGCTGCTTCGACTTCGCAGACGAGCACCAACGTCGCGGCCCCGCTGGCTTCTGCCGGCAGCTTGGTTGGTGCGGCCATTGCGGTGCTGGCTGCGGCCTTGTAAGCTGTTGGCCAAACCGCCCAACGAGATAACGAGAGGCTTGGGCAGACATTTCTTGAGACGTCCCATGGTGCTGGGTCCGACAACATGTTTGCTTTGGTGGGGGGTGCAGATGTAACGACAATACGAGCTGGGCGCGATGGGTTGTTTGATTAAGCGAGCCATGCTTTGTCTGCTAAGGGAGCTGTGAATCGCTGGGATACCATACCATAATACCGCGTGCTACCACTAATTTACTTAATACTCTTGTGTTCACATGCCCTTTCCGTCAGTGTTATCAGCATTGAAGGCAATGATTGTTTGAGGAGCTTGGTGCGCAATGTTTGAGGCACCGTTTACAACTGACCTATCGTGTAACACTTGAGATGCTAACTCTTGTTCAGATGCGTTTAGTGACGGTGTGTCTTGGGATTGCATGAGTGAGATTTCACAACAGACTGGTGTCATGATAAGAGTCTGCTATCAGTGACTCATTGGCATGATCTGAGTGATATTGGCTCCAATATTTCCGTCATCACTCAGGTACGCTCTTCATATCCACTGAGTTTCAGCTAGTTTCTTCATCGTCAGAATCCTCATCCGTTCCGGCTTCAGCTCTGCTTGCTCCGCTACTGCTCTTGTCCAATACATCTTGAAGTGCTCGGATAAGCCCTCTAACGTCGTCCTCTGCGAAAGGCCAGTCAGCACATCTTGTCCTCCATTCAGTGACATGGAAACTCACGCGTGTTGTAATGCACCATGCTGACTCTCACAACCCCATCCTTACCCAGTCCCAGCGTCTCTCGAACAAGCCGGTCCGAGTAAAATGTCCCCCAGCGGAACGCAAAATTCGTCACCTTTTCCACTTCTTCAACGAGAGCCTGGGAGGTCCATCCCCTCACGGAGAAGCTGACGGTTGCTACTCGACGGTCAGTGTCCCCGTCTGGCTCGCCATAGATGGTGATGCCATCTCCTCTCGATCTGAGGAAGGATAAAAGTGCGGACTGAATCAGCCCTTCATAATCGACAAGATTCTCAAAATTCCCTAGGTACTCAGTCACCTTCGGGATGGACTGCACCAGCTCGTACGAGCCGCCTGCAAGGCCCAGCTTGTCCTCCAAAGAGGCAGAAGGGTTGAAGAAGTGGCCCAGCGATCTCAGGTGAGTCTGCGCGCTCCAGCTACCGTAGAGCATGGAAACATGAGGCCCATAGACCTTGTACCATGAGAAGCAGTAAAAGTCGACGCCAAACGCCTTGACGTCGATGGGTCGGTGAGGAGCATACGCCACGGCGTCAACACAGAGGAGAGCCCCGACGCTGTGAGCTACATCTGCTATGGCTGGCACGTCGGTGATTGTCCCCAGGATGTTGCTCGCGTGCGTGCAAGTGACCAGTCTTGTCCTGTCCGTGATGAGGGGCTTGAGGGTGTCGACTGTGAGTTTGGGGTTCGGGCCGGGGGTTGGCCTCCACCACTTGAGGACGAGGTTCTGCCGCTCTGCCAGATCGACCCACGGGGCGATGTTCGCCTCATGATCTATGCGAGACACGACGATTTCGTCGCCGGGCGCACACTTGAGGGCGTAGGAGAGATTGCGGAGGAGCTGCGTGGTCGAAGGGCCAAAGACAATCTCGTCCGGGTCGGCGTTGATGTACCGAGCAGCGGCCTGGTAGCCGGCCCTGTACGCGGCCGTCGCCTTCTTGCCGACGGCGTACGAGGCGCCGAGCTGCACGTTGGTCGAGCCGAGGTAGTCCTTGATGGAGTCGATGACGGTGCCGAGGGTCTGGCTGCCGCCGGCGTTGTCGAAGAAGACTTGGTCTTGCTGGAGGGCGGGGAACTTGTTCCAGATGTCTTGTGTGTGGTAACGGAATGTCATGGCTGCCCTGGATTGGAGAGTGAACTGTTGTGAGTGGCGGCGGGCGCGGCGGGCGAACTATCAGTTGATGGGGGCTGCTATTGATGAGGCGGGGGAACTTGTATGCTTGATGGTTCTTGATGGTCGAGATGAGGGGACGTTTGAGCAATGATATGTGATGTTGCAATCGAGAGCGGGATCCCCTCACCCCGCCAAAAGATTACTTTCCGTTTTCATTCGGTCAGCATAGTTTTGTAAGCCGACAGAAAGATGAGGGGCAGCCACGCAAATAATGAAGGGTAGAGGTTAAGGAGTGGCATTTGAAGTTGATTGGACTGACTTTTGTACTGAAAAGTCAATTCCCGTGAGGCATCAGGGGTTGGTTTGCGCAAAGAGGGGGGGGGGGGGGGGGGGGGGGGGGGATCGGTTGCGGTAAAGGGTATGCCAGCCAGTCAGCCAGGCAAGGAGGAGGATACAGGCAATCTGCCCAGTTGAGTCGTATAGAATTCGCTATACGGCCAGGGAGCTATAGGTAAGACCTTGGGTCATTCTTATATTAATAGAGACCTTGTCCCTCAACCAGTAACCACGGTAATGCACCTGATCCTCTCTCAGACATGAAAACAATGTCAGAAGCAAGGCAGCCGAAGGAGGGGACTTGCGTGCTGGGTAGGGCTTATAGATCATTTCTAGGTAGGGAGCCTGATGATGTTTCTGGTCACAGTATCCCGCGAGGTCGAATTCGTCCATGGTTGACTGCCATTTGATCACCGAGGACACTGAAAGGCTTACCAGCTCGCCATTCACCAATGGTTGAAGATGGATCATGAAAGCTCGAGGCAGGTGAATGCCTGTCTTACCTGGGTTTCCATATTAGGAAATTGACGGCATAAGGTAGCTTCTAATGGTGGGGGAGGGAATAACAGCTGGAGCGGCAGAAAAAAAAAAGTTGGGGAGATTTGATGCGCGCCAGCAATCGGCTGATCTCGCAACTCGCCTCATACCATTTCCCACCTCTTTGCGAAAATTTTCTTTTTCCTCCTCCTTCTCGCCAATTGACATAGCCAGAGTCAACTGCGCAGATTCCGCCGTCAAGATGAAGAGAAAGGCGGAAGGCTCTGCCAGAAAAGCAGCCGGCAGCAAGAAGCCCAAAACCTGTACGCCCCCTCTACAGCAGATCCAGCCTCTTCTGAATTGTCGACCTGATGGCCCTTTGGGTGCTAACACATTAGAAAACGCAGCCATCAGCCCAGAAGATGCAAAGAAGCGCTTCCGCAAGGGTCTCTTCGACGACTCCGTCCTCAGCTCATACACAAAGGAATACGCAGAGTCCTCGCCGTACAAGCACGCCGTCATCCACGAGCTGGTCGACGACAAGCTCCTCCGGTCGGTTCGAGACGAAATCCGCGAAAACGTCCAGTTCACGCCCAAAGAGACGGACATTTACAAGATCCACCAGTCCGGCGACCTGGCCAACCTCGACGGCCTGGACGACGAGTCCCTCGCCAAGCTGCCCTCTCTGCTCGCCCTCCGCGATGCCATCTACTCCGAGACGTTTCGAAACTACGTCTCCGGCATCACGGGCTGCGGCCCGCTGAGCGGCAAGAAGACGGACATGGCCATCAACATCTACACCCCGGGCTGCTACCTGCTCTGCCACGACGACGTCATCGGCAGCAGGCGAGTCAGCTACATCCTCTACCTGACCGATCCCGACACGCCCTGGAAGCCCGAATGGGGCGGCGCACTGCGCCTGTTCCCGATCCAGGAGATCAAGAACAAGGACGGCGAGATCGCCAAGACGCCGCTCCCGGACCCCGTCAAGGTCATCCCGCCGGCCTGGAACCAGCTGAGCTTCTTCGCCGTCCAGCCCGGCGAGAGCTTCCACGACGTCGAAGAGGTGTACCACGCCGAGACCAAGGCGCAGCTGGAAAAGGACGGCGGCCGCGTGCGCATGGCCATCAGCGGCTGGTTCCACATCCCGCAACTCGGCGAGGACGGATACATCGAGGGCGAGGAGGAGAGGAACGCAAAGAACAGCGGCCTCATGCAGCTGCAAGGCAATCCCGCCCAGTATGACGCGCCGCAGGCAAACCCCGTCAAGGTCGACAACGCAAATGGCGGCGAGCCCGAGTTTGGAGAAGAGGACCTTGAGTTTCTGCTGCAGTACATTGCGCCGACGTATCTCACGCCGGATACGCTGGAGCAAGTGTCCGCGCACTTTGAGGAGAACTCGAGCATCACGCTTGCAGACGTCTTGTCCAAGAGATTCTCAAACAAACTGCGAGAGTACATCGAAGCACAGGAGAGGGCCACCCTCCCCGAGAAGAGCTCGGAGATTGAGGAGTCCACCTCGTGGAAAGTCTCCAAGCCGCCCCATAAGCACAGGTTTCTCTACCAGCAGCCTTCTGCGTCAGGCGGTTCTCCGTCAGACGACTCCCCCATATCAGAGTTGCTTGACAAGCTCTTGCCTAGCCGTCAGTTCCGCAACTGGCTGCAGGTCGCAACAGGCTGCACCATCGAGAGCCACGACGTCCTGGCCCGGCGATTCCGTCGCGGGATGGACTACACCCTCGCCACGGGCCACGAGGGCAAGCCACGTCTGGAGCTCAATCTAGGCCTCACTCCGACACCGGGCTGGGGGGACACCAACGACGAAGACGACGAAGACGAAGGAGACGAAGAAGAGGCAGAAGAAGCCCAAACGAAACCCAACGGGAAGAAGAGCAGTAAAGATAAGGGCAAGGGCAAGGCCAAAGCTGAAGAACCGGAGGACGAGCCGGTAGAAGTCGGCGGGCACGAAGTATACATGGCTGGCGACGACGACACGAATGAGGATGCCGCGGTGTACAAGTCTAGCGGAGATGATGACAACATCTTGTTCTTCCAGGCGGCGGCGTGGAATAAGATGACGCTTGTGCTGCGGGACAGCGGCGCGCTCAAGTTTGTCAAGTACGTTAGCAGGAAGGCGAATGGGGACCGGTGGGACATTTCTGGTGTTTTTGAGGTGGAAGAGCAAGAGGAAGGTGATGACGAAGAGGATGGCGATGACGACAGAGAAGAGGAAGATGAAGAGGAGGAAGAGGAGGAAGAGGAGGAAGATGGTGACGACGAGGAAGAGTCCTTTCAGGGGTTCTCGGATTAGACAAAAGCATCGGGTAAACTAAATGCTGTAGAGATTGTATTTTTACATTTCATCTAATATGGCCTCTTGAAGAGGCAGGGTATCCAAATTAAATTCGTCCCAATTGTGCTCCGCATGCGCCTGATCCATGATCCATAACCCCATCATGATCCCCATGACCGTGAGATATTACAAGCAAAGAAAAAAGTGTCGCTGCCAAGTTGTTTCTGCCCAGCCATCATGCCGGTGTCAACGTTTCGGCAAATATGTCTGACAATTCAGACCGCAAAATGTTGGTAATGCCGCGTGCCTCCTCGCTCCTCCCAGACTGCTGCAAGTGATTGACCGTGTCGTGACCCAAAAAGGCGATCCACGGTATCGTGCCCATGCCCGTAAACCGGGCGAGGTTGACCTTCTCGGGGCCCAGCGCCTGCACCAGCTTGCGCAGCCTCTTCTTGTCGTGGAAGAAGCGCATGGCGGGAGCGTGGTCGGGATGCGTCGGGTGGTGCAAGTGCAGATGCGCCGTCTCTACCGGAAACGGTCGCGGGAGTCGTTGCGCCGTGGCCATGTGGGCTTCAAACAGCTTCTCTGTTGGCATCGCTCTGCTGTATGCCTCGACGGTGGAGAGCCAGGACACGGATCTCCACGGCTGGACCAGCAATTTCGGGAGTAGAGGGCTGTGCTCAAAGAGTTGCTCTGCTTCGAGGATTGCCTGGATGGCGGCATCGAGATTCCCGTAGTGGGATTGGCTCTTGATGCGGACGAGCTGCGACAACAAAGACGACGCACGGGCGATGCGCTGCTCTTCGCTGATGTTTGCGGACTCGTTCATTGTCCGCGTGATCCATTCCCACGCTATGCCTTCCATCTTCTCAGCCACTAGGAACGGCGCCAGAGCTTGAACAAAGCCTGGCTTGTCCAGAAATTGAAGGCTGCTCTCAGCACCAGAGGAACGAAGCCACCGAACAACTCGCAGAGCCGTATCCGAAGCTGCGACAGGTGGTGCATTCCCCTCCCCCATCTGCTGCTGCTGCCCCTTGGCCACCAAGCAGCCTGTGGCCGCCTTGAGCGTCATCATGCCCCGCGAAACCGCATGATCAAAGACGTCCATGGGATCGCGATCCGGCACCCACAGCGCCTTAGGCAGGTGCGATGCAGCGTTTTGTTTACTGCTGCTGTCATAGCTGAACAAGGGATTCGCCAGGATGGACTTTAGATGCAGAGTCGCGGCGGAGCGCCGGCGCGTGGTGGTGGTGCCCTGGTTGGTGTCGGCGGCAGCATCTCCGGCTCTGTTGGCGGGCGCGGCGGCGGCGGCGTCGGCGGAGGACGAGCGGCCGTATTCGCGGTCGAGCTGGCTTCGGAAGGAGGCCTTGAGGCCGTCGAGCAGCTTCTGCGACTGCTGCTTGGATATGGGCGGGGGTTCGTGGTAGCTGGCGAAGAGATTCCGGAGGGACTGGGCTGATTTGGTGGAGAACATGGCGAAGGCTTTGTGGCCGGGGGAGACGCGGAAAGAAAAGGTCGAATTTGCTGATTGAACGGCCGTATGTGTGAGTTGCCCAGGAGACGCGGCTGGGCAATCGGCGACTGAAGCCGTCGTGGGACGCTGTAGGGAGGCTGAACCTTTTGTTTCTATTGAGTCGAAGCTGTTCATGAAATCACCATCATGACTTTGACTGGTTGTGTCATGTGATGAATGGGCCGATGGTTGGTGGGGCTTCAGAGCTTGGTAAGGGACCTTGCCCAGGAAGTGCTGGTACCTGCTGCTGCCCTTCGGAGGGGTAAGGTACACGCTGGTGACGAGATGTACAGATTCAGAATGCTTGACCTTTGGCTGAATCTGAGCTCTGCTACAGGTTCAGTTCACTGTAACAATTCGTAGATGACTGATAAGAAGTTCCATATTCTTTGATCGAGTCTGTGTGCAGGTACATGTTCGGAGCACATCGTCCTCTGGACTGTAGAGACGTCCAGCAACGGTTAGGCACAGTGAGCGCCAACCGCCAGCTCAGTCTCTCGCACTGGGTCGCTGCGAGGCTCGCTCAAAAGGGAAAGACAAAGCGTGCAAAGCATCTGGTGAATGTCTCTTCCAGCTCGGCCAATTGCAAGGCCTTGGACTCATAGCCATCAGCACCTGCCAACATTGTCTCGTATGTCTTACCTCTGCCGTGCCTCGCGGCTCCAAGACACAATGGGCGCTCGCAACGGCCCAAGTCGAGACTCCCGTCGCTTTACCGAGTACAGTGTTGCCTGCACGGCCTGACAGGCCTAGCTCAAAGTTTAAGTGTGCAAGCGTCAGCCGCGTCTTACGAGTACATTCAATGCCTGACGTGCTGGTACTGTGCTAAATTCGACCACCAGCGTCTCTGGGTGGTTGGCAGAACGCAAGCAGCACTGTGCAGAGAATGCTTTGGCGGAAGCCTTGCAAAGGTTACTCGGTACCCATACTCGTAGTAGTACAAGGCGTCTATCCCCAGTCGGGATGCCCTGCGCACGATCTGCGATGTGCAGCTCCCAATATACAGTGCCGGCGTACAGTGTGCGGGGAGCAGCAGCAGCAGCAAGGCTTTGCCAGCTCGAGGGTTCCAATTCCCCGTGTGTGTCGAAACTCCAATACTGCTGCGATCGAGAGCATCCGGAGCCAATTGGTAGCATCTGCCGGCCTCTGCCACAGGCCTCCAGCACACGTAGTCCCCCGTAGCATCCGTCTGGCCGGAAGCACCCCGAGGCCCTCGCCTGCTGCGCCGTTTGCTCGCAGCCTCGCAGCTTGTTCCCCGACATTGACGTCTGGTGGGCAGCGACGACGGATCAGGCAGCGGCCAGAGCCTGCAAGCTGCTTCTAGCCCTATCCGAGCGCTGGCCGGCTCGCCTACCGCCCCAAGCCTTGCCGCCCCAGCGCACCGGCGGCCCTTGGGCGCTGGATCTGGCACTGTGTTACAGCGGAGCAGTGCCTGGGGCCTACTGGAGCGCCTGCTGCGCCTGTGCCTTTAACGCGGTCAAAGGCCAAGGGGGGGCGTCACCAGGCGCTCAAGCCAAAAAATCGTGACCAGCGTTTGGTCCAAAACCTCGTGCCCTCCACCTCTGCCTTTCAACCTCCCCTTGCCACAAGCAACACGCAACCTCAACCCACGGCTCTCTCGCTCGAGTTGACGCTCGGCTTTGTTCTCTTCGTTGTTGTTTCTCTCTCTAACATTTCTCTCTTCTCTTCCGTCTTTTCTCTCCCACCTCTCCACCCCTCTTGCTCGCCACACAGCGCCCGCTGCAGAGGCCATCTGACGGGCCACTGCACAGTTCCCAACTTCCTCCCAATCTCACATCCCTAATCAGCTATTCCCATCCATGTCTGAGGTCATCTCACGGCCCTCTGCCTCCCGCGGCAGGGGCTCTGGCCGAGGCGGCAGAGGGGGTTTCGCCGGTCGAGGCGGCCGCAGAGCCAACGGCGACAAGACGGATCACAAGACCGCCGACGACAACTTGGGCACCTTTGAGGACGAGGGCGAGTTTGCCGAGCTTCGAAAGCAGTATGGCGACAAGACGGGCGTCATTCGCGAGATGTTCCCCGACTGGTCCGAGGCCGATGTCCTCTACGCTCTCAAGGAGACGAACGGTGATGAGACTGAGGCCGTGACACGAATCGCCGATGGTACGTTTGGGAGACAAATTCTGCCGCTTGCATTCGTGACCTTTGCCCTTCCCTTGTGCTTTCCCGTACCATTTCCTGTCTGAAAGCAAAAGACAGCCGTGCGTGCGGCAGTCCAATGGCAAGGCAGCAGTCGCTTCAGCATGCTCACAGCCGCCATATTCAACGTTCAATTGCTGATTTGCCGATTTTTTCCTTTCGTCGTCATAGGTACAATCTCGCAGTGGGGCGAAGTCTCCAAGACGAAGAAGACCGCTCGCACCAAGGCCAAGGACGCATCCTCCGCACCCGTCGTCACGGACTTGTCAGCCGCCGCTCGAACTGCCCGTGGAGGCCGCAGCGCTGCCGAGGGAACTCGTGGTGGTCGCGGCAGAGCCACGGAGAGGGGGGGTCGTAGCGGACGTGCTAGGGCAGCCCATCCCACCAACGGATCCCGAACCAAGGAAAACCAGCAGCTGTCTGTGCCGACCGAAGAATCTCCCGCGTACAAAGACGACAAGGCCAACGGCGTCGAGGAGAAGCCCGCAGTTTCGGAAAAGCCCGTTCTCGCCGAGTCTCTGAACAAGCCCGCCGCTCCTCAAGTCAAGACCTGGGCCAGCATGCTCCGACAGTCCACAGCTCCCAAGGTTGTGCCCGCGCTTCCCAAGGAAGCTCCTGCTCCCAAGCCCGCCGAACCCGTCGAACCCGAACCCGTCCCTGAAACCGCCGCCGCTCCTGTTGAACCCGAACCTGCCAAACCCGAGGCTGAGGCCGAAGCAGAGTCCACTCCCGTTGCTGAGCAGGCAACTCCTGTCGCTCCCCCCGCCGCCACCGAACCAGCTGCCGAGATCAAGCCCACCCCAGACGAACTCACCGAGACCAACCTGGAGCAGGTTGTTGACGTCTCTGCACCGCCCCCGACCGATACCGCTGCGAGCACGGCTGCTGGCTCTTGGGACCCCCGACAGAGCCCTCCTCCCACCAACGCTACTCCTCTTTCCGCCGCTCAACAGCAGCAGCAGACTCAGAGAGCCGCTACTAGCGGCTTTGCTGCTACCGCTCTGAAGGCCACCACCGAGAGAGCTGCACCTCGCACTCCGAGCTTCCAGCGACGCGTCCTCGACCAGGAAGAGGCCGTGCGCATGCCCGGTAACCGGGAGGTGGACCGCGCTGCTGTGCAGTTTGGTGCCTTCAACCTCGATGACGACGAAGATATCGATGGCGAGCGCGAGGAGCCCGAGACCCGAGCTCAGCCCCCCGCCGACTCTCCTGTTGCCGTTCCCCGAACCTCTCTCCCTCCGGCTACCCAGCCTGTTGCTATGCCGGAGACCTTTGCTCCTAAACCTACGACTGCTCCTCCTCCTGGAATGACACCTAACGGTATGCTTTGCCTCCCTTTGCGCTGAAGAATCCTGTCAGTTGTTGTCTAACAAACTTGTCAGCTGCTCAACAGCCTATTCCCAACACTCAACAGTTCGGTCGATTCGGCCAGAGCGGTCCCCACGAGCTCTCGGCGACTCAGCAGAAGCCTTTGGATCCGTTCAACCAGGGAGCCACTCCCGCGTCTCAGCCGCCGTTTGATAACTTTGCGGCTCAAACTTCCCAGCCGCCCGCACAGCAGCCCGGTGCCGCTTTCAGCTCCGCACCCAGCGACTACTCAGCCTACTATACCGCAAACCAGCAAGACCGAAACCCATACGCCTTTTACGGCCAGCACTTTGGTCAGCAGGGAGCACACGCCCAGCCAGAGGGCGTCCCCTCGCAACAAAGGGGCTTTGGAGGCTACAACGCGTCTCAGAGCGATAACCTCAGCCAGTATCCCCAGAGCGGCACTGGCCACAACCAGCCCAGGTTCGGCGGCAGCACCGACAACCAGAACAGCGGCCACTCCACGCCCAACCCCGTGACCCAGGCTCAGCAGCAACAGCCTCAGCAGCAGGGAGGCCCCGGCTCGCAGCCTCAGGCCCACGGCCAATACCCCGGGTACAACCACCCGTACTACAGCAACCCCTACTACCACCAGTACTACTCGGGTTACGGACAGGGAGGATTCGGTCCGTACGGCAAGGGTGCCATCTATGGACAGCCTTACGGCGTCTCTCCCAACGCCCCGTATGACCACACGTCGTCCCCTGGAACCTTTGGCCCGTCGTCCCTCCACAGGGACAGCCCTCTTGGCTCCGGTCTTGGCGACTATGGCCGCGCCGGCTCAGCCCAGGCTGCCAGCCAGCCTGGCCTGGGAGGCAGCACCTTTGGCAGCATGAACGACAGCTTCTCCCGCGGCGCTTCATCGTTCCAGTCCCAGGGACAGTCCTTTAGCAGCCAGACACAGCCGAGTGCCGGATCTTCGGGTGACGAGCTGAAGCCGTTCGGCGAGACCAAGACGTCCTCGGGCCCCTCGCCCTCACTCGGCGCACCCCGGCCCGGCTCCGCCACGAACACAGCTCCCGGACAGAGCGGCAGCCTGCCACCTCCCCAGACGTCCCAGATGGGCGGCGGCTATGGTGGCTACCCCAGCCACCTGCAGGGCCACGGCCTCCACGGCAGCGGCGGCTACGGCATGGGCGCCGGTGCCGCCGGCAACCAGCACAGCACCCCCTACGGCTCGTACGGCCAGGGCGGTTTCGGCAGCGGAGGCTACTACAGCACCGCACAGCAGCAGCAGCAAGGCCAACAGCAGCAGCAACGCGGCGGCTGGGGCGGAAACTACCATTAGTGGGGTAGAAACCGTGAAGGAAAACGACGAGGGCGATATCGCCGCGAGCGGGACGGGATGGCGCTCGTCTTGAATTCCAGGTTCGCGAAGGGGATCTAACTTCCCCACCCCCTTGTTCTTTAATTTTTTTTTATCCATCATTTCACTCTTACGTTTGTCCTCTATCACAAATGGACTTGTGTGTGCGCGTGTCACTACACTAAACCGCCTTATGAGAGGTTGATTTCGAGGTACGGGAGAGGGAACGCTGAGCAGCACACCATGCTGTGTTGCCCCCTCATGCACCAACGGGCTCGGGCTTCGAGGCGGAGAGGAAGAAAGTCTTGCTCAAGTCTTTTACTCGTCGATGCAAACGTTGTACGATTGTTTCTTTAGTTTCATTTTTTTCGAGAATCACCTAGAAGAAAGCAAAGGGTGGGCGGCTTGGGCAAAATGGAAAGAAAGGGCTACGAGGACGGACGGGGAGCATGGGTTTTGTTTGATGACGTCGTTCTCACTCATTTGTTCCCCCCTTTTTCGGGGACTCTCGAGGGCAACCGACAAAAAAAACTGACTGGTTTTGTTGTGATTTGACGCACGGGGTCTCATTCACTTTTTGGGAGGGCCTTTTTTTCTTTTGCCGCCTGGTATATTCAGTTGGGCGGTGGTTTTACGGATAGGGCAGGTCATTGAACAAGCAAATCACCATGAGGGATTGAGATGCTTTAGTGGACACGGCGAATAGGCAGTCAACAAAAAAATGCAAACGTTTGATGAGTGCACGAGAAGACGATTTCTGTTGTTCCTTGAATAGTGGCGCTGTGTTGTGTCGTGTTGTATGACAGCAGGCGATGTGCTTTGGTGGCGCGGATTCCATGGTGAGTACTCTGTATGTGAATTAACATGAGACAGTTGTGACATGTCTATGGGACACGGTGGTCGAATACGAAGCAGGGTAGATATTATATTATCTGTTTTCTCGAGATTTAGCTGGGAATAAGGTGCATATCGGAAGGCTTGGAGTGAGACGGCAAGACGGCTATCTGCCGAGTCTAAGATGCCGTTTGTAAATCCCGAGTTGATGGGGTTGATTTAGCGTGGGGGGGATACAGGCCTTGTAAGAACTAAACCTACGTAACCTCCATCTACATGATCCCTTTCTCTTATCTGGCAATGCGATGGTATGTGAAGTAGTCGGAATGACTGATAATGAAGAAGTGGGAATAAACGACGTGCTGTTCCTGCTCCATTTCGTTCGCGAAGCTGCAACTTTGGGGGGGGGGGGGGGGGGAGGTTAATTAGTTAGTTGTGGAGAGGATCAGATTGATGGTTGCAGCGAAGCGGACACGGGAATGGCTTTTTGACAAGGTTTTCTTTGGAGGGAATCAACCTCTGGATTGTTATCCCATGTTTTGTTCCGCATTCTTGATGTTTTGTTTTATTGTGTCTGGGATTGATGTCATATGATGCATGCATGATCCATGACACGCTGTGCTTACAGTCGTCCTCTCTCTTTCTTTTCCGCTCTTCTTTCCTTTCGCATTTTGCTTTTCATGTTTCGCGGCTCGTCAGTCTCCTTGCCTTGAAGAGGGGGGCCGTAATTCTTTTTGCTTGTGGGAGGATCATCCTGAAGCACGCAATATCTTGGAAAGAGCTCGTACTGGTGGGCATTGAGACTGGAGGAGCCAAAGATTGATTGATGGCCATTCTCTTGTTGCGTTATCGGCGCCTCCTATCGCCTTTGCTGATCGGCCCTATCACGGAGCAGCATTTCATATGAATATCTCCCTTTGAAGACTCAATTGAGAGATTGAGAACTATTGTTTTTCTTTTTTCCTTTTCTCTCCATTGGGATTCTTCCTCTCCCATTCGACTGCTCGGCCGAGTCCCTTCGCTTGACCTCGCAGCGGACCGATCACTTCCTAAAGCGGCGTCTTGAAAACCTGGTTCCGGTGCCGGCAGGAGCGACTCCGGTGTGGTCCAGGATGTCGTCTCTTGCCAAAGAGTTGGACTTCATGGAAACTAGACGAGGCGGAGATGCAAAGAGTTCTTCTTCTCTTACCATTCGGTCGAGGAGCGGCGATGGTGACGACAGTGTCGGGACGACGGACAAGCAGGCGGCGGTTGCAACGAGTCGGTCGGTGTCGTCGAATGACACGGGCGATGGAAGCGAACGGGGACACGAGCGCGATGCGGACGGCAATGGCGATGGGGATGGCGATGGGGGTGGGAATGGAGGAGACGAGAGCGGTGGCAGCGAGCTCAAGGATCACGGCGATGAGCACGCCCTGACGCTCTCACGGGGCAGATGCATCGCCCTCGTGGCCACCGTCACCGGCGCCGCCTTTCTCAACGCAAGTCAAGCCTCTCAATCCTCACTGCCCATGCGAAACTAACCATGCATGCCCGCAGACCCTCTCCCTCCAGAGCGTCGTCATCATCCTCCCTACCATCGGCCATCACCTCTCCGTCCCCGACAGCCGACAGCAGTGGATCGTCTCTTCGTACTCGTTGACCTTTGGCTGCTTCCTACTGTTCTGGGGCCGGATTGCGGACTTGTATGGAAAGCGGCTCATCTTCATCCTGGGATCCATCTGGGTGACGGCGGTGACGGCAGCGAACCCCTTTGTGCCGAATGAGATTGGCTTCAATGTCTTTCGGGCGCTTCACGGCTTGGTATGTCCTTTCTTACGCGGAACCCTTTCTGCGCTTGAACTGTTGCTGATTGCGTATCGTTGTAAATCAGGGATCTGCTGCCAATGTGCCCACGGCGATTGGCATCCTGGGCGTCACGTTTCCTCCAGGCAAAGCAAAGAACTATGCCTTTAGCACATACGGTATGTCTCCGGTTTCCCGCCACACATGAATGAGTTGACCCTAATCTCCTGAGCCTGCCAGGCGCCGGTGCCCCTCTTGGGAGTGTATTCGGAAACATGCTTGCCGGCTTGATGGCCCAGTACACCGATTGGAAATGGATCTTTGGCGTCCTCGCCATCATGGGCGGCATCATTTCCGTCTGCGGCATCCTCTTCATTCCTGTTCCTCCGTCGCCATCCGCTGCGGACAAGAAAGGCCCGCCAAAGATTGACTGGATCGGGGCTACGCTCATTACTGTCGGCCTCCTTGCCCTCATGTTCGCCCTTACAGAGGGTAACGTTGTGGGATGGGACACTCCTTGGATACCTGTCCTTATTGTTGTTTCCATCCTCATCATTGCTGCCTTTGCGGTCTGGCAATGGTATCTGGAACGAAGACTGACGGCTGCTTCACATATACCTGCGGATTCTGGAGCTGTAGAATTAGGGGACGCCGCGTCGTCGAATGCCCATGGCAATCTGCAGCCAGCTCCGTCTCCGACGCCGCCGCTCATCAAAGTCTCCATCTTCCGCAACCTCCAGTTCAGCGCCGTCATGGTCATAATGCTCCTCTTCTTCGCCGGCTTCAACAACTATCTCATCTTCACCACCTACTTCTTCCAAGAATTCCAGGGGTTGTCCCCCCTGCAGACAATGCTGCGCTTCATCCCGACCGGTGTGGGCGGCGCCACCGTGGCCATCATCGTCTCCCAGCTCCTCGACCGCGTGCCGACTCTCTTCATCCTCATCACCGGCCACGTCGCCCTCTGCATCGCCTGTCTCTTGTACGCCGTGCCCATTTCGCCGTCGACTTCCTATTTTGCCTACGGCCTTCCCGCCATGATTCTCGCCGTCATTGGCTCAGACACCACGTGGCCCTGTCTTACCCTCTTCACTTCCCGCGCTCTTCCCAGAGAGGACCAAGCCGTGGGCGGCGCGCTCATCAACTCGGTCGGACAGTTTGGGCGATCCATCGGCCTCGCCATCAGCACGGCCGTCCAGACGGCCGTCATGGCCAACGCCCGTGGCTTGTCTGTCAAGGACGCGGGAAGCATCGTGGCGTGGGAGCCGGAGTCTCTGAGGGGCCTGCGAGCGGCTTCGTGGATGAACTTTGCCTTTGGGATCGTGTCCATGGGGGTGGTCCTGGTGGCGTTTAGGACGTTGGATATCGTGGGCAAGGTTGAGCCGCCTGTGTCGAAGAGGAAGGCGGGTGAAGAAGGGGTTGTTGTGCGTGATGTTGGTGGAGAAAAGAGGGGAGAAGCAAGCTGGCCTTGAGCCTAGTAGGCCATGAGGCTTCCCTTTTTTTTGTTCATTTATTTCATTCGGTTGAAAGGCTGGGGAAAATGATGGGGTTTCGTCTGGAATATGAGAATGGAGTACCTAGAGTACGTAATGAGATATGACCTGTTTATTGTTCTGTTACTGCTCCAGAATATGTCAAAGCCGTCACACCGGGGGAGAAGTATAGAATTCAAACGTCGTATACAGGTAGTATCCACGTACTGTACTGATGTACCAATGTCTACTATGATGCCTCATCGCTGGTCTTCCCCTATTGACAGAATCCAACTTCGTCACTCTGGGTATCATGTCTTTCATCAAAGAAAAAAGGAACCTGAAAGAAAAAACCACCACTCATCATCACAAGTCCCAAGACAGTCACCAACCCCAAATCCAATCCCAGCCCGCAATTCAAAAAACAAAAACGCCCCCCCCTCCAAATCATTACAATGAAGAATTCACCAACTTCACGACCTCCTCGAAATATCCACCTCAATCTGCTCCAAAACATCCTCATCTTCCCCCCCAACCCTAATAACATCATCATCACCATCAAGAATAGTACCAACACCAACATCACCATCGTCCCCATCATCCCTCGCCATCCGAGCAAGTTTCCTCCTCACGGCCTCGTCCTGCTCCATCTCCTGCCACAGCTCCAGCTCCCACTCCTCGACGTTGTCGCGCAGCCTCGCCCTGCGCTGCTGCCACGGCGGCCAGTGCCACAGCCCCGCGACCAGCATCGCCCTCTTGGCCGCCTTGAAGAGCAGCTCCATCATGCCCATGAACGCCAGCACGATGAAGACGGTGGACCACCACACCGCGTCCGCGCCCCAGAGCCGCGTGAAGGTGTGCCGGATGTCGTAGTCGCCCGACGGCGTGGCCGCGTAGACGCCGTCGAGGAAGGCCAGCCAGGCGAACCAGCCGGCTGTTGTGATGAAGAAGCAGGCCATTACGACGGCGGACTTGTAGTGCGTTTCGAAGATGCTATTTTCACGGTTAGCTTGATTCTGTTGCTTTCTTTTCTTTCTTTCTTTCTTTTTTTTTGTGTGTTCGGTAAGTCAAGGGGGGAACTGGGATCAAGACGACTGACAATAACTTCCAATTGATCCACAAGACGCCAACCGTAAACACCAATGACCCAAGGGCGTACAGATTCTCGTCCTTGGCCGCCGGCGTCACCCATCCGTAGCCAGCCCAGATGCCGTTCCAGGTAATCACGCCCTCAATGGCAGCGAGCAGCATCCAGCGCATGTATTTCCAGAAATTCAGGCCCATGTTGCGCTGGCCGTAAATGTACAGCTCGGGGATCGCCAGCAGGGTTTCGGCTCGGAGATCCTGCTCCCAGATACCCATGCAGATCGTGCAGAGACTCGTAAAGAGCGTGTTGAAGACGGTCAAACTTGCCGACTGGTAAAGCGAGGTTCCGGTATAGCCGTTGTAGCGTTGGTACTGCGCCGCAGGGAGGTAGAAGAACATTTCCTTCCAGAAAGTGCACACGATGAACTTGGCGGTACGGACGTAGTTCCATCTTCCATGAACGAGGAGTAGCCGCTGCAGGAACCGGAACTGTGCAATGGCGTAGTCTGCCACTCGCGCGGCCTGGAGTCCCTCTTTGCCCGAGATGCCAATGCCGACATGGCTCGCCTGGATCATGGCAAGGTCGTTTGCGCCGTCGCCGATTGCCAGCGTCAGCCCGCGCCGGTTCTTGCCTCTGTACGCCTTGAGTTTGCTCCGAACGGTTCGGACCAAGAGGGCCTTTTGAGCGGGCGATGCGCGGCAGCAAATGACCGAGTCCACCCGAAGCATGATGGCAAAGAATTGCACCGAAAGGGCCTCTGACTTTTCCACAGCCGCCAAGGTCTGCCCATCTATGACGACGACGCTGTGGATCGAGCCAACGGTCAGATCTTCGGCCATGGCCGAGAGCTGCGTCTCGAGAGAGCCCTTCGTGGCGTCAATAATGTACACGTCGGAACCGGGACGGCAAATCCGGGCAGAGTGAGCAATATTGATCGCCGTTTCTCGCTTGTCTCCCGTCAACATCCAGATCTTGATGTTGGCCCGTCTCAGCCTGTCGATGGTTTCAGGTACCCCCTTTTGAAGCTTGTCTTCGATCGCACTTCCGCCAACGAGCTCAAATGCCTGCTCAATCATCTCTCCGGCGGCCTCGATCTTTTCCTGCCGATTTGTGAGACTGGTGGTAGCGTCGTCGTAAAGCTTCTTCCATGACCTGTATTCCTGCTCCGAGACGAACTTCTGGGCAAAGAGGAGCGTCCGCAGACCTTCAGTGGCGAAATCGTCCAAGTGCTTGAAGCATTTTGTAAACACTTCAGATTCGTCGAAAATCCCGGAATCTTCCAAGAAGCTGAGACGAGGATCCAGCGGCTGGGGGGCATGAGGCGTCATGGGACTCAGTAGATGGCGGTTTGATATGTCGAACGATGCTCCTCGTGAATTGAGGTTGAACGATGGGCGTGGCCGTTCCTCGGACCGGCGGGTCAGCTTGTTGAGCTCAAAGGACTTGCTTCGATTGCCCATCGACGGCCGGTGCACGCTGCGTTCCCGCGTGATGGTGGGATTGCGGCGAACGCTCAGGCTGGGCCTGCCACCGAAGCTGTTGCGCGGTTCGAGCTGCTCGCTGCGGCGGAATCGCTCATGCTCCAGATCGGCGCTCTGTCGGACTTCTGTTGCTTTCTGCATGGCGAGCGAAGACAGCCTCAGGCGAGGCAGGATGGCCGAGTCGGCGCCCTTGCATATGACCGAGATGCGACCGTCGGGGTAGCGCACGACAATGGACATTCTCTTCCGGGCACTGCTGAATTCGATGATATCTAGGATCTCGTATTTCAAAAGCTCAACGCTCCCATCAGTCTGGGTGACCTGGAGCGTGATCTGCTTCGAGTTTCGTTGAACCACCAGGTATCCCAGCTCTTGCGCAGCTCTCACCAGGGCGAGTTCGTCAGGGGAAGAGGCCTGAAAGTCGATCTTCCCATCTTTCTGCTCCGGCAAACAAGAATGGCACAGCGCCATGGCGAGCAAATATTCTTTGGTTTTCCTAGTGAACGCTGAATGAGGCCGCAGCTTCATATACTCGAGCAAGTCAGAGGTGTTGACATCAGGCTGAACATGGTCCGGTCGGCCGGTCGATCGCCATTGGGATGACGATCGTCGCCCTGCCATTGACGGCCTTGGTGACATCGGCGTGTCCACGTTGTCGAGAGACTCCTCGTGAATGACAACGGAGGTACGGTCCCTCCGATTCACCGAAGGGGCACGACTGGGTACGTCAACTTTGACGATTGACGAAGTAGTATCTGATCCATCGATCTGCGATGGCTGCGGCTCCAAGTCCATCTCATGAAGCCAGACGGTACCGGCAACGCTGAGTTTACGAAACTTCATGACATTGTCCGTGAGCGTGCCCGTCTTGTCCGAAAAGATGTATCCAACCTGACCGAGGTTTTCCAAAATGGTGTTTGTGTTGCATCGCGCCGGCGTATCCGACTCCTCGTCGTACATTTCGACGTCCGAGTTCAAAAGAAGCAGCTGCCCGACCTTGACAATTTCCAAGCTCACGTATAAAGATAGTGGAATAACATTGTTGAACATGATGATGAAAGCAATGATGACCTCGTGGAAGGGGACACTGGCATGAGCCAAATACCACGAATGACGCTCGGTGCTTCGCTGCCAGAGGATGTAGCCCATCGACACTCCAACAGAAAGGATGACGACGTAGAAGGCGAGCGTAATGACGATTCGGTTAACGACCCTCTCCAAAGCTGGCTTTTTTGCCTTTGGATGCCGGTTGGAGTTCATCCGCAGCTTGCACTCTTCTCCCGTGTTGAGTACGATTCCAATGGCGCACGTTGTATTGCGAAGCACGCTGCCGCGGTATACGATCTCGTTAAGGGTCAAAGGGACTGCCTTCTCATTGACGGTGACTTTTCCATTGAAGTTGAACAGATCCGGATTGGGGTCCTCGGCGACGAATTCCGCACCGCATTTCGCAATGCCTTGGATGGTGCCGCATCCCTCGAGGGCATGACACACTTGTTTGCTCTTCAGATTCGTCTCGCCATCGAGCGCCATGGTATCGACATAGGCCAAGTTGTTTTCGCCATCGCTGTAGATGAGCGCAATGTCGGCCGGCACAGGTTCGTCGCGCGCAAGTCGAATGACGTCTCCCACCTTGATATCGGCCCATCTCGTTGGCACCCATCGAACGCCTTGAAACTCTTCGGCAGGGACAGGTCGAGGCTCGCTGGTTGTTTTCGTATGGAAGGGATTGAATCGATCCAAAAAGTGTGCTCGCTTCGTCTTGCCAGTGTACTTGTCCTCCTTGCCGAGTACAGTCGCAAAGTTTGCATTCTCAACCTTGTCCAGGCGGTGTCGTCGGTAGTCATCGAAGCCTTCCTTGAACATGGTCAAGCATACAAAGAACAGGAGGGGGAGGATCGTCGTGTAGGAGCCCGTCGTCGAGAGGCCAGGAATCTGCATATCCAGCGAATTAGACGCGCAAGCAGTGAGCCGAATCACAGGGCGATACGTACCATCTGAGGAATGCCAACGCAGAGGAAGTAAAAGTTGCCGATGCGAGTAAACTGGAATAAGAGCTGCTTAGGCACAAAGTTCCACAAAGTGTACCGCGACGTGCGAATGCTGTTGGAGATGTACGCCTGGCCGCGCCGGGAATCGATCAAGGCCTCGTCATTGTCAATCCGCAAGGGTATCTTGCGTCCGTCTTTCGAGGCGGCCAGCTGGCCTCGCTGAAGAATCGCCTCGACGACAGCCTTCTGGTAGACCGAACTGGCGACATGGCGGATGCGCTGGACGACGGATGCCTTCGTCTTCGCCTTTGTCTTCGCAGGGGGGATCGCAGGCTCGCCGCAGCTGGGAGGGTAGTCGGCAAGGCTGCTGGCCTGGTCCGACTTGGAGCGGTTCAGACCCTCGGCCATGGCGCGATGAGCATCTGAAACGATGCTGATCTCCTGCCCCCAGAAAAGAACGTCGTCTCTTCTGTTTCTGCCAACCCCAGAAAATGAAAAAAGACGATAGGCGAGAGGACGTTTGCGACGCTAGAGAACCGGACTCTGTTCAACCAAGTAAAGCGGCCTGTGTTCTCATGCCGAGTATATGCCCGATATGGGGGGTAATTGGATACGGAGCGACGTTGCTAAAAGTGAGAGAAAGGCAGTGCTGGGTAGGTATTGATGACGACGACGACGACGATGGTGATAGGTAGGTATGGACCTGAACGGATGCGATGCTGGTGTATCTTCAAAACGACAGACAAAAAAGCACAAGATGCCAGACAGTGAACGCCCAGATAGAAGCGATGGAGGGCTCTGGCGCGGTAGAACGAGTGATGTCGATACGGCCAGCGTCGTCGCAAAACTCGCACGGAAATGACGATACAAAATCGAATTGGACACGCAGAGATCTGGCGATGGATGGATGGACGGGTAAGGTATGACTTGCCGGTGGCAAACGGGCTGCAAAACCCCGAGTCCCCAGCGGGCTACTGCCAACGGTTAGCAGGCAGTTACAGGGGCATCGTGGCCGCCATCCCGCCATTGACGCAACCAGACGCTTCGGTGGACGGAACATGGGGGCCTCTAAAAGGCCGCCACGGGTGGGAGAAGAGCCTGTTTCTGGCCGGTGCGGGACCCCCCTGGCGAGCTTCTAGAGGCGGTTGGTGCAACACGTGGGGCGTTTGGGTTGGGACGGCGTCTTGCTGAATCCTGGGGGGGCTGTGCTGGATATCTCGTATAGTCTGTAATTCGTGTACTATATAAGACGGGTGGGCTCACACACGAGGGCGTCAGTCAGTAACTGTATACTAGACTGTAATGTCTCGTATTCTCCCCATGTACCAAAGAATAGAATTCAAGCGGTGCATTAGGTCAAGATATCTTGTAGTACAGCATGTTAACTAAAAAGACCGACCATGAATGTCCAGTATCGTATCCAAGTCTCTGACGCGTAACCCTTCTCCAGAGTGACAGACAGCCATGACTCCATGTCTTGCCCCCACAACATGAGTCTCATCCCATCTCATCTCATCTGCGCAAAACTCCGTCCCAAGTCGGGCATCGGCACCGGCTGCCATGAGACAGGCCGTGCGGCTAGTCCAACAAGCAAGTAGTATTCAAGGCTCAGAGGATCATCTACCGCTCAACGCACTGTGAGGCTGACATGTGCCTGACTCGATTCACTGGTGCAATGACCTTTATAAAAACGCAACAGTCTTCCCATTCAACCAGTCAGGTCCATCTCTCTCTCTCCTGTCTATCTACTTTCTCAACTTGTTCGCGCCACAGAGAGAAAAAATGCCGAACGACTTGCGTGTTCCTTAAAGCACAGGTAAAGCCACGCACGTTTGCCGACCACCCGCTTCCATGACGTCACCCACTGCATTCGATCAATTCAGCAGAGACATGCCGCTTTCGGCAAGTTCACGATAGCCTCAATTTTCTATGCCGTTGTCACTCTCCCTTCAATGCACGCAAGCGGCGCCAAAAGCGAAACCTCCAGATGGCACTCACCATAGACAATTAGCTGTCTGCACACTTCACGCTGTCAAGACACATGTAAGCTGCAACGCCAAAAAACTTTACCATTATGACTCTACGGTGAATCAATAAAATGCCCGATAGTTAGCATACATATTGCCATCCCTGCCTTGAAGAAACCCAGCTGCCACCAGATACAGCAAGGTGAAAGGAATCCAGCTTCGATCCAGGAAACAGATTCCTCGACATTGGCTCCCTTCGGCCAACAGACGAAACCGTATGCCATTTTCAGACTTCTAAGTGAAGCATCAGCCAGCGAAAGATGCAACTCCCCGTGTTGATGAGGGACCTGTTGTCGCCTCCCGACAGATGAAAACTGAAACGCCTTTCCAAAATGCGACGATGCAAAAGAGACGAAGAACCAAGCAAACAGAGCTCGCGGTTGTGAACCAAAAGATGCATCGCACCCGCACGTCCTGCTGGGCATTTCCAACCTCTGCAAGCGTGCTCAAGCTCCCTGGACTTGAGGGATGTTCTCCATCTTGCCGCCCTCCTCGAGCCATTCTTTCTTGATCAGCTGGTCACGAACAGCAAAGAGAAACTTGTAAGCCGTCTTGACCGTCCCGTCGCTCACGCCCGTCTGCTTGGCAATCGGCGCCGAGGGGCGCGGCTCTCCCATGAGGTGACACGCCATGTAGATACACGCGGCGGCAACCGACAGCGGCGAGCGGCCAGCAAGAGCGGAAATGTCCGTGGCCTGCTCTGCCAGATCACGGGAGATTTTGGAAATCTTTTGCTGGTTCTTGAAGCCTAGCTGAGACACATAACGGCCACAAAGATCCTCGGCGCCGACGGACGTGTTTTCGTAGTTTGTGACGGTGTTTAGTCCGGTAGCACCCTCGCCTTCGGTGTCTTGAATCTTTTGCAAAAAGTTCTGCAACTGCTTAAAGACTCTGCCGACCTCCTTCTTGCTGACACTAGTGAGATTAAAGATTTCCCTGAAGGTTCGGGGCACGTTGTTCTGTCGGCATGCGATGAAGATGCAGCCAGCAATGACGGCTTCCTGAGGCTTGCCCTTCATGAACTTGTGCTTGTCGACAAGCTTGAAGATGTGTTTGGCGGCGTTGGACACATTGGCGCCCATATGAATCGTCTCGCAGAGCGCGACAATCTCCTTGTACGCCTGCATCAAGCCCTTCTGGGCCTTGTCCTGGTTGGCATTGTTTTGCGTCCTGGACAGGGCCTTGTGGGCTTTGGATTCGGAAAAGGCAACCGTTGTGGCCAGGTGCTGGCCCTCGACGAACTCGTCCTGCGGTCCTCCGACACGACTGGGGTCGTCGCCGCCCTGGTCATCATTGGCAAACGTCCGCCACTCGGAGCGCGTGTCGATGATGCGAGTGCCGACGACAACGCCGCAGCTGTTGCAGACCATGTCGCCGCTCGAAAACTCCTCGATCAGGTCGGGGGGGTATTCTTTGCAGTCGGGACACATGAGCACATTGTTTAGGTCTTCTTGGAAAACCGCCGGCTTTCCATTTGCATTTGCATTTCCGTTCACGTTCCCGTTCACAGTCGGGGTTCCGCTCGGCGGCGGGAACATCTTGGACGCGTAGGGTTTTGGCCGGTAGATGTTGCTGATCTCGTCAAAGGCGACTCGCGCTCGTTTCGCTTCCTTTCTTCGTCGCCGCAGCTGCTGCCTCTTCTTCTCTACTGTCTTTCTTACCGGAGAGTCTACCTTGAAGCAGAGCCCTCTCACCCAGAGTTGATCGTTGAGGACTTGGACAAAGAGCGGTGAATGCAGCTTGACGGTCGCCGGTTCTCTAGGTTGAGAAGAAGGAAGATCGCGATCGAGGCCACCGACGTGACAGTAGGCACTTAGTTGTCTTGCGCGTAGATGCTATCGCCCAGCTGGGAGCTTGATCTGCTTCTTTCTTTGTTCGACCTTTTGGTCTTTGAATTTGCGGTGCCTAAAACGGCGAATCCTGTCGACCTTCTGGAGCCTTGCCAACGGCAGGAAGACAGCAGAAGCGCGACGGATCTTCTTCTTTTCTTTTTTTTTTGTTCTTTTGTAACTATGTAAGGGTTGCCCTCTTCTCGGCTCGAAGATATCCTCTATCTGTCCTGTTATTGGTATCCGGCGAAAGAAAAAGGCAGAAATGCGCAGTCAAAGGGGGTCTCTGCCGGCCGACTTTTCGTAACCAGTGAAGGCGTCTGAGGTCGAACTTTCGTATCGAGAGAAAAAAAAATCTCAGAGCATCGATTAGTCGGCAAGAGAAGCGGCTGGATTTCTGCGCCCGTTGACGAGCTGGAGAATTGCAGTGGGCGGTCGTTAGAGAGCGTGATCCAACTTCTGGCGGCGAGGGAGTGACTGAGGAAAGGAGACGTTGTTTGGGAGAAGGTTTCAAATGAGCGGCTGGGCAGGCAGGCGTTCATCAAGTATGTCAGACCTGGAGCAAACTTGCGGCCCGATGAATAAGCAAGACAGGGTGGCGAAGCTTCTGGATGGGTGAGTCAGCAGAGCTGAAGAGGCGGAAAAACATTGCTGCGCCTGGAGGGGAATCCCGGACGACCAATGACCGAATGAGGCAGCATTGACGCAGCCCGCATGATTACTACCTACTACTAAGGTAGTGACCGGGGCCGGGATATCACCAGCAGCTTCCAGATTGCTCTTCTGCTTCGTGCTTTGATCTTTCTCTGATTTGTACTTTTTGCACAACGAAAAAAGATGGCTCCCAAAACGCTTATTGCACCGTCAATTCTGTCGGCCGACTTTGCACAGCTCGGTGCGGAATGTGCCCGGACCATGGAACAGGGTGCGGACTGGCTGCACGTTGATATCATGTTAGTTACGCCATTGCTATTCGACCTCGGATGCTCGCAGCACCGTCGCCTCTGTACTGCCCGAGCTAGGCTGACATGCAGTGTACAGGGACGGCCATTTCGTACCAAACATTACATTCGGAGCCCCCGTAGTGGCCAAGGTTCGGCCGCACGTCGAGAAGCCCGCCCAGCCCGCCGGTCGAGGGACGTTCGACTGCCACATGATGATTGCTGAGGTACAAGAGACACCTGCTCCGTGTTTACTTTCAAGCTATCCTCACTACCAAGGATAAGAAGCTCCTACAATTCCGAAGCTAACATATGCTCGCAACGACAGCCTAAGAAATGGGTCAGGGAGTTCAAAAAGGCCGGCTGCGACCTGTACTGCTTCCACTACGAAGCTGCCTTTTCCTCCGCCGCAGAGTCTCCCGAAGAGACGACGGATAAGAAGACGAGCCCCAAGGAGTTGATTCGATATATTCACGACAACGGGCTGCTGGCGGGCATTGCCATCAAGCCCGACACATCCGTCGATGTGCTGTGGGATATCCTCGAGAGCTCGGATCCCAAGGACCGACCTGACGTAAGCTCCCGCCGCGTTGCTCTGTGACAATAATGAGCCAATTGGATGCTGACATGTTTGACAATGCAGATGGTCCTGGTCATGACAGTCTACCCCGGCTTTGGAGGACAAAAGTTCATGGCATCGGAGCTGCCCAAGGTGCAGGAGCTGCGCAAACGATACCCCGAGCTGAACATTGAGGTTGACGGAGGACTGGGGCCCAGCACGATCGACCAGGCTGCGGAAGCTGGCGCAAATGTGATTGTTGCGGGCAGTGCCGTCTTTGGAGCCAAGGACCCGGCCGAGGTGATTTCATTGCTGCGCAAGTCTGTCGATACGCGGGGAGGCAAGCTGTAGAGGGCGGAGTTAGAGTTGGATATAGATAGAGACGAATGACTGCACGAATAGATGAAGCGACTGATCACACATGCTTATATCAATAGTAGCGCCTTTGACTGTGAATGTACCATCCTGTCTTTTCGTTTGCCAATACTAAAGACAAACAATCTCCAACTCCGTCTCATACGAGTACAGAAGAGCAGCTGTCAAGCCGGGCACAGTGGGTCCGAAATCGGCCAACGGCCAACCGCAAACACGGTCCAACCTGAACCGCCCCAAAGAGGCCAATCGGGAGTTTTTGGTGCTGACTCACAGCCAACGAAGAAAAGAAATGACAACCACCTTCTCTCTCCGTTTTCGAGATCCTCTTGTTGTACCACAGATGCGGCATAGTGTGTTGGTTTTGGTACAATAATTGTTCCATTTCATTCATTCGGCGCATCTCCTGTAGCCGTTGTTACACTCTCTTGTCGGGGATTTGACTCATCTTTTTTTTTTCATCTCATCTTTCATCCCCAAATCTTCAACCGATCTTCAACCTCTCTCTCATCACACACCATCCGTCATATCTGTCCATACCTGGCCTCTCTCACACACCCCATCACAACTGCCATAATGGCCTCGAGCACAGCCAACAACACCGGGCAGGACGGTGCCCTCCCCAATGTCAACCTCAAGCCCCTCTTGACCAAGCTCTGGCCGACAGACACCGTCGTCACGCCCGACGAGATCGCCGACGCAATCTCCCACTTTTTCACAAACCAGGTCAGCGAGGCGCAGACGGCGTCCCTCCTCATGGCCCTGCACTTCACCAAGCTCGACTTCAAGGCCGACGTCCTCGAGCGCTGCGCATATGTCATGCGCAAGGCCGCGGCACCGATCCCCGTCGAGGAGCTGCAGAGCGTCATACAGGCGCGGGGAAGAAAAGAGGGCACATACACGGGCGGGCTGGTAAGTGGTTGTTTTCTTGCAATTATCCAATTCGTGTTATAGGTGTCTAGTGGTTTTTATATACATCAAGCTGTCTACACATACATAAAGATTTGTGTGCTTCTAAACTGATCCATTCCACAGTGCGACATTGTCGGGACTGGAGGCGACAACCACGACACCTTCAATGTCAGCACAACCTCCTCCATCCTCGCCTCGTCGCTGCTCCTCGTTTCCAAGCACGGCAACAAGGCCAGCACGTCCAAATCAGGCAGCGCCGACATGGTCAACTGCATGAAGCCCCGGCCGCCCATCATCAGCGCCGTCAGGCCGGAGACGCTGGTCAAGGTCTACTCCAACACAAACTACAGCTTCCTCTTCGCACCCGTCTTCCACACCGGCATGCGCTACGTCGCGCCCATCCGGAAGGAGCTCCCCTGGAGGACCATCTTCAACAACCTGGGCCCGTTGGCGAACCCGGTCGAGGACGTGCTGGAAGCTCGGGTCATCGGCGTTGGAAGGCGGGATCTCGGCCCCGCGTTTGCTGAGGCTTTGAGAGTCGCCAAGTGCAGGAAGGCATTGATCGTCTGCGGAGAGGAGGAGCTGGACGAAATCAGCTGTGCGGGGAACACACTCTGCTGGATGCTGAAAGAGAAGTCCCCCGGAGGCGAAGTGGTGGTCGAGCATTTCAAAGTCCACCCCAGCGACTTTGGCGTCAGCACACACGCCCTGAGCGATGTGTCTTCTGGAAAGGAGCCAGAGGAGAATGCCGAGATTCTGGCCCGTATCCTCAAGAACGAGCTTCCTCTGGATGATCCGGTTGTCGAATTCGTCTTGATCAACACTGCCGCCCTTCTTGTGACGTCCGGCATCTGCGAGGCGGATACCAGTGACATGGGTCACGGCGATGATGGGAATGTCATCAAAGAACGAGGTCCTGGTGGCCAGCGCTGGAAGGAAGGGGTGCGAAGAGCGAAGTGGGCCATCACAAGTGGTGAGGCCTGGAGACAATGGCAAGCGTTTGTCGAAGTTACCAACGAGATTGGCAGCTGAGTGTCCCCTGCCGGGCAGGGCTAGAATAGCATTTCTTTTTCTTTCTGTAAGATCTCAGGGCTTGGAAATTTGTGTGGGAAAAGGCAATGATTATCCCCGTTGAGTCTTCATGGTACGATGACGATGGAATTATTCCTTATGAAGGAGTCCAGGATTGGTGCAGCTGATGGCGAGAACGCCGGTCTCGTTTGGCTTCGTAATCCATGGGCAGCGACCTTGTAGATTGGACGGAAACGACGGAATGCGGCCGAGGCAAGGGAGGCTCTGGGTGCCGGTCGAGCTCATGGGCAGAATGGGACCGAGGTGGCCGACCGTCGTCGAGCCGATACGCGCCGGCGGAACCATTTGAGCCGGTGGAATCCTTCCGCTCGGGTGCCACAGCCGGGTGGTAGTCGAGCGAGAGGGCCTGGTTCTCGTGAAGCCTCGCCTCCCATTCCTTCCAGTCGTCCTTGAGGCCAACCATGGCCTCCTCGTCTCGCGACGGAGGAGACGTCGGCTCCTGATGATGAGCGGGCTGGGGCTCCTCGTGGGTTTCCGCAATCGGCTCTTCCGGCTGGCGGGAGACTGCGCGGTACATGATACGCGATGCGGGACGATCCAGGGGGTGGATCGCCGTGTAGATGGAGCCCGAGTCCCCGTTGAGGTCCATGTTGGAGCTCCGAGTGGCCAGCGACTTGCGGATCATGGCCTGCCGCTGTGCGTCATCGACCTCGGAGATCGTCGACATGACGCTTTTCCTGTAGGATTCCCGGTTTGTCGTCGTCGCGACAGAGGTCGGCCTCTTCCTCAGCTGGCTGTACTTTTGCCCTTTGCGATGCCTGACCACGAGGAAGGCGACAACGGCGGCCGTGCAGGTCACGCCGACGAGGAGGCCGACGACGATGTAAATCAGGGTCGTCCGGGGCAGCTCGCGCCGTGAGAGCATCGCGGGTTGTTTGTCCATGGCGGCGGCGTGGGCGGCGACCGTTTGCGCTCTGGCGATCAACGAGCTCGGGAGATGCATACCTGGGCTGAAATGAAGAGATGGGAGAGAAGTTGTGAAGCTTTTGTGAATGAAATGTTTGGTGCTGTGTTTCGGAAGCGTCGTGAATGAAGGTTATATAATACGGGTTCCTGAATCGAAAACCGGGTCGGATTCGTATCGCGGTGACACTATCAATAGCGCATTGCGAGCGAGAGCCACATGCAATTACAGATACCGAGCCGCCATGGTGTAACTTCAAACACCCAACATGACGGATCAACGATGTGCGTCGATCAGGCTATGTAGATGGCCGTTGGCAGCCTCGTTTCTTCGTTGGACCCAGGATACCGGCACAGCCCTCCAGCGTGAAAGAGGTCGCACTTTTATCCGCCCCGGATTCTTCCCTGCTTCTGCTGTTGGTAATATGAAAAAGAGAGAAGGGAAAAAAAGAGGGTGTTATGTGGGAGAGCGAGGCTGGAGGGGATGGGCCTCCGGTTTTGAATGTAACAGAACAAGAGAGACGAGAGACGAACGGTGGGCTAAGCCGCATTTGCGCACCTGGCGAACATTGGCAGAGCAACAGCGCTGGCCGAAATAGTATTAATAGAAACAGGGTGATTGAGAGGAAAATCCCGTCAGGGGATGCGAATGCAAGCCGGCGTAATACAAGACTACACGTTACGCCATCATGTTTACTCTTTTTACCGGGGGGGCGGATACGACGTTTGACGGCTTTTGCGCGCACATTGTTGATCATCCCCCAGGCGAGGTGGAGACTGACTGGGCGAAGTTGCTGAGCAGCAGAGCGGCTGCCTCTTCCAAGTTCATCCATCTTTTGCTCTGATCCCTACGGAGTAGACTATCTTGTGCTACTGACGAAGGGAAAAGTCAACCCGCTGCCGCTATCAGCAAAGCGCTGTGGCCGGGGGATCCAGGATCACGGACCGTTGGAAACCCCCCCGTTTGGGAATCGCCTCCAGCTTGGATGGGCGAATAGCCGGGGGGGTCATGGGAGTTTAGCCTCGGGGGGACCAGGCCAGGCGTCACATCAGCAACGGCGGGTGTGACACGGATACGGACCAGCGTTCGCCTGCTCAGCCGCTGGGAGGTGGGATGAGGTGTGGTTCTCGAGCGTTGGTGGTGAGAAGAAGAAGATGTGGCAGAACATGCATGAGTAGGTGCTTTGATTTGGAATATGCGGTTTGCGAGGCTGTATTTGACAGATGTGCATGTAGAAGGGGGCTTATAATCATAGGTATAGATTCGATGAGCTGAGATGAGTCTGATCAGCATTGATGATGGTTTTGAGGGTCCGATTTGCTGCGTCTGTGGATGTTTGTGGAAGGTCGTAATCCAGACCAAGATGGAATAGGCGGCAGAACCTTGAAATCAATAGTGCGCTGCTGTGGAATACTTGTACACTGTACAATAGTACGGATATGTACCTCGTATCATTGAACCGAGGGCCTCGAGTGCCCACGAGAGGTCTCGAGTTGAGCAAACAGCCATATACTAGAAGCTACTGTGCAAAATATTGCTGGGTAAGTATCAGGAGAACAAACATGCCAATATACTCGTACAAAGACCCTTGGGTGAGCGTCAGCTTGGCAAAGCCACGTCGATCGTCTTCAATGCCGGGCGTCCATCGACACTAGCATCGTACCTGGTAGTAATACCTTACCTTACCTAGGTATGCATCATCACAGCCACCAGATGCGTTCCCTTCCCAGGGCACATCTGTAGTCATCGAATCAGGTGAATTACGGCATCAATATGGCAAAGTCATATGAATATTGAGCTTCACATCATCTCATGCAGCATTACTCGTTCCTCTGTCTCAATCTGCCTCAACTCGCACTCAACCAACACAATCCCACTAACCACTTTCGCCCACTATTATGAGCCGAATTCAGCCGACCCCATGGGGGGCTTTGCTCAAAACAGCAGTACCTGGGCAATTGCTCAGGTCCAACTAGATGACACAACTCTAACCTCAACCACTCAGGTCTGACTATCCATGGTCTAATCGCATCTGCTTGATACCGCAGTCTGCTTCTTCTGCTCACTCTTCTTCTTTTCATATCTTTCTGCACTTGTCTGTTGGCTCAACCATGTCCCAAATTCGGGGCCTCGTCAGACTCTCTCGGCCAGGGTCATCTCCAGCTCAATGGCTAGGAAGAGCACACGACATTCGCCGCTATTCCGCGGCTGCGGTCAGCGGCAACCCTTTACCTCTTGAAGGATATCGTGTGTTGGACATGACAAGAGTGTTGGCCGGTGTATGTTCCTCGACCTCTGTATACCTATATATATATAGACGCACCCATGTGTTGATGCTATGTAACCTCGGCTAACCTGCCGCAGCCATACTGCACTCAAATTCTGGGAGACCTTGGGTAGGCTTCTCTTGTTCACCTGAAGATACCCACGATCAGAATACTCACTTGTGCTATTCCCAGCGCCGAAGTCATCAAGATCGAGCACCCTACGCGAGGAGATGACACCAGAGCATGGGGCCCTCCATATGCTAAATACAAGCCGGACTCTGGCCGACAAGGCCCTGGTGAATCTGCCTATTTTCTCGGGGTACGCATCAAACTTGAGTGTTGGGACTTGTTCCACTTCCACGACCAAGAAAACTAATATGTGACAACTCTCGATTTTACGTTCATTTTTAGGTCAACCGTAACAAAAGATCTCTGGGGCTATCTTTTCAGCACCCTCAAGGCGTCGACATCCTTCACAAGCTAGCAGCGAAATGCGACATCCTGGTTGAGAACTACCTCCCCGGCACGCTGTCCAAGTATCAGATGGATTATGAGAGCCTACGAAAGATCAACCCCGGGCTCATCTACGCCTCTATTACGGGCTACGGCCAGACCGGCCCTTATTCGAACCGCGCCGGCTACGACGTCATGGTCGAGGCCGAGTTTGGCCTCATGCACATCACAGGCTCGCGAGATGGCCCGCCAGTCAAGGTGGGCGTGGCTGTCACTGACTTGACCACGGGGCTTTACACGAGCAACAGCATCATGGCGGCGCTGCTGTCGAGAGCCAAGACGGGAAAGGGTCAGCATATCGACGTGGCATTGAGCGACTGCCAGACAGCCACCCTGGCCAACATTGCGAGCAGCGCTCTGATAAGCGGCAAAAGGGACAGTGGCAGATGGGGAACTGCGCATCGTAAGTCAGGCCCTATCGGCCAACGCCAGTGGGAAATCAAGTGCTAAAACAATGCAGCGTCCATTGTTCCGTACAGAGCGTTCAAGACAAAGGATGGTGACATTCTCATTGGTGGTGGCAACGACCGGCTGTTTGGCATTCTCTGCGATGGAATCGGCAAATCGCACTGGAAGGACGACGTCAGGTACAAAACGAATGCCGACCGAGTCGCTCATCGAGACGAACTCGAGGCAGAGATTGAAGCCATCACGCAGCAGAGGACAACGAAGGAGTGGCTGGATGTCTTTGAGGGCTCCGGGATGCCTTATGCCGCCATCAACGACATCCAGGGCACGCTCAACCACAGCCATACTAAGGCCCGCGAGATGGTCATTGAGATTGATCACGAGTATTGCGGCCCGATCAAAATGGTCAACACGCCCGTCAAGTGGTCGGAAACTCAGCCCAGGGTCAGGACTCCTCCTCCGGTGCTGGGTCAGCATACGGATGAGATCCTCAGCGAGCATCTTGGGCTGAGCGAGGAGGACATTGCGGCATTGAAAGACCAGGGAGTGGTGCGATAGATGATTGAGATTATGAGTGTCATGAAAGCATGTACGCATTAGACACGATATAGATGGTAAGAGACAAGCGGCCTATTCGCAGCGCAAAGGCCAGAAACTGAGCACAATCATGCGTGGTGAGAGAAACAGTGCATGTTTGCTCAAGGGGCGGATGTCTTACTGTTTGCTAAGGGGGTCATGTGAAAGATCACATGATCTTCCTTCCGTCTTTTCCTGCCTCACGCTTTCCGAAAGTGGTTCCTTCCCGACAATCGTAAGACCATCGCGAAGCCATGCTTCAGATCATTGGGGGAGTTTCTCATCTTTTCTCTTCTTCCTCCTCGTTTCTTAATATCTAATTCATGGATCGAGATACGTGCGGGTGCGCAGTTCTCGTCCCCTCTGTATAAGTGCCATGTGCTGAAAACGGACGGTTCGGTTCACACGCCATAAGCCTATCGATCACATCACGCCGGTCACACACAAACCGGACTGCAAAATGGAAGCGCGAACGCCAGTTCTCTTGAACGGGTCGAGAGATGAAGATGTCACCATGCGGGACTCTCCAGCGGGTGCTGCCGTAGAGTCTCGTCCACTTGCTGATCCTATTCCGGAGAATGGAGTGGCTTCGGGTTCGACACCACGGCCTTCATATACGCCGCAGTTCTCATCAGCTTCATGGATCCTCAGCCGTATAAAATGTGATCAGCAGGCGGCGACCTCAAGCTTTCCGGCTGTATCAGAGACGGCTACGCAGGCAGAAGACGGAGGAAAGGATGGTTCGAATGAACAGCATGGCTCCGGCGTACACGATACGCTGCCAATGCCTCTATCGCCGGCTCATCAACCATTCGCCAGCGTGGCGGATATGATTGCCGCGGGCTCTCAGCTCATCGGATTGAAGAGAAAGCGAGATGCGGGCGACGAGGGAAATGAAAGGGATGACTTTACTCAAAACACAATATCCCTTCCCATACCTGCTCCAAGGCCTGCAGTGATGCCATCAGCCACAGAGACGCCGAGCAGCGCGCTGTCGGGCAGCGATGCAATCTGCTTCAAATGCGGCGAGGGATCATTGGGACCGCACAGTCCACTCATACCATGCGGCAGTTGTTCCAAACCGTGGCACCAAGGATGTGCGTCATTGACAATGAAAGAGGAGGATTTGCAGCAAGCTTCAAGGTTCACATGTCCTTCGTGCTTGAGGATGGGTGACAAGGAAAGGATACACCGCGCGGGCCACCGACATCAAAATGAAACGGAGAGGAGACGAGCAAAGAACTTGGCTGCTTTGCCAGAGGGTGTCGTTCCGGCCAAGCCAGAGCTGGTTGGTTTCCGGTCAGGGCAGGCATCGGACGCGGCAGTGAGTGAAGATGCAAACATCCTTTTATTTTTCACCTACAGAAACAGAAGGACTGACTCGAGAACTGCAGTTGACGGAATATTTCTATGGAAAGAAGAAGACAGATCTGTTGAACATTCTGTCATTTTGCGATCAGCTCAAGCCGCAGTTGCTGGTCGACATCATGGTCTCTGTCGCAAAGAAGCATCCCGAGCTCCCCATGTTTGACTCTCCAAGCTGGAATGCCAAAGCCATGGGCGCCGTCACGGTCAGGACAAAGCATTCACATCAATCTCGGTCTACCACGCGGCTGCGACATGGACACACCGTGCTGGAATCCAGAATCAAGCACAAACACAAGGTCTTGAAAAAGACGATCAAGGCGGCACCCATCTCACAGGAGGAAGAATCACCGCCAGTGGATGATCAAGACGCTCTGCCGCCATTGTGGCCCAAGGCTGGCGAGGGCCTGTACGCTAAACTTTGTCCAGAGGATGAAGACCGGGCGTTTTTGTTGGATGAGAATGATGAAGAGGCGTTTAGTCATTTTGGGGTGGACAAGTTTGGCAAGCAGATTTCTATTCCTGTAAGTGCTTGAACCAATAAGGGAGTTTTTATGGGATACTGGGAGTTTTTGTGGGATCATCTTGGCAGAATGCGATAATCTATCCGCCAAAGAGCCATCACGATTCTGCCGACATGTTTGGCATCGAACATCACAATTCTCAAGCGCCAGACAAGACAGGCAAGGTCAAACTACCTCGTTGATTGTATGATCCAAACTAACTACACATTAAATTATCAAATGCTTCTAAACTCTAGAATAGGATAGCTTCACTCATCAGCTCCGTCTTGACATGTATCCGATTCGTCTTTTTCGCTCCATCAACCAACACCGCGCTCTTTCATGCAAACAGAAACCCATTATCCTCCGATTCCTTCTTCCAAAACTCTATCTACAAAGGCGTCTTTTCCGAATGAAACCCGACATCCAACTCCTTCAACTCACAGCCCCTGTATCTCCCCAACTGCTCCAAGCCTCAACTTCTCAGAAGAACTCGCAACTCACAACTCCTCCAATTCCTTCCCTCGGCTCACGATTCCCAACTCTCAACCTCCCATCACAGCCCTCGATACAAGCATTTAGCAAGTGTACTTGTACTGAGAAATGAGAGGAGTGTTGAGGCTGAGGCTGGCGCACAGCAGGTCCTTGACAACCAGGCTGGTGACAACGTTGGACGAGCTGACGCTGAGGATGACATCAGGCAGGATGGTGACACCAACAAAGCCAGCAAGGCGGCCACCCAGAGCGCCGACGACGTCGATGTAGTTGTGGCAGCCCTTGGTGCTGAAGGAGACGCAGTCGAACTGGCACTTGCCGATGCCGAGCAGGCAGGCAACGGACTGGAGCTGGGCGAAGACACCAACAGACAGAGAAGCCTCGACGTCGACAGCGACGGAAGCAAGACCGAAAACCTTGGTGTTGAAGATGACGACGGCCTCGGCCAGGGTCTCGATGAAGAGGGAAGCGAGGCCGGCGGAGGTGCTGCGGAGGGTGGCGCTGATGGAGGAGGTGAGGGAGAGGTCGAGCTCGACGTCGAGGTTGACGCCGAGGCCGAGGGCGGAGATCTCAGCCTCGATCTCGGCCTCGGCGCAGAAGGTGAAGGTGTCGAGGGCGACCTGGCACCAGGCGTGGGTGGCGTCGTACTTTGTGAACTTGACGGGGGAGATTGCGCAGAAGGCGCTGAGGGCGACCTTGGAGCCGGAGGCGTCGCACTTGGGCAGCGGCCAGGCGCCGGCGAGGGCGGTGCCGGAGCACGTCTTCTTGGTGGTGTCGTAGCTCTGGCCGGGCGGGCAGGCGCAGGCCTTTGTCCAGGGGCTGTAGGCCATGGGGGCCGGGCACTTGAAGCCGGCGGCGAGGTCGAGGGCGGCGTGGATGTCGACGGAGGCCTCGGCGATGATCTTCTCGCCGAGCTGGATGTTGACGTCGACGTCGACGCCGGAGCCGGATCCGGAGCCGGAGCCGGAGCTGGAGCTGGAGCTGGAGGAGCCGGAGTTGCCGTTGCCGGGGCCAGAGTGGACGGGCTGGTTGGGCTGGGAGCCGTGGGCGGGGACGGCGCCGGAGCTGGGGATGGCGCTGGGGACGCCGCTGGCGACACCGCTGGGGACAGCAGCACCGGAGCTGGGGACACCGCTGGGGACAGCAACGGAGCTGGGGACAGCGGCGCCGGAGCCGGAGACACCGCTGGGGACGGCGCCGGAGCTAGGGAGGGCGCCGGAGCTGCCGCTGGCGTCGGAGGGGTGGGCGGTGCAGCCGCCGGAGCTGGCCATGGCGACGGTGGCCAGAGTGGCGATGGTAGCGAGGAAACGCATCGTGTCAAGTTGGTAATGAGTGACTTGAGGGTGAGAGAGTGTGTGTTGTCCGTGAAAGGGAGTGACTGGAGGGGCTGTGAAAGAAAGATAAAGCTTTCTTTGGGATGGTCGGATCTTAGAGAGAGTTGGGGGAGGAGGGGAAGGCAAAAAGGAATGTGGATGGGTGGATGAGAAAGATGGAACGGGAATGGGAGAAGATCAACGGTTGTTTATATACAGATGAAGCTCATAATCTCTACTCCCTTTCATTTTCTTTTTTTCCTTTCGATCGTGTGTCCATGGTGCCTGTGTGTGTCCCTCCTTGGTTGACCCCCTTATTTTGCTGGACGGAGGTGATGGGTGTGGATGGGCTAGCAAGGAGGGGGGGGATTTGCTTCTCTCGCTTGTGAGGCTTTCGCTTCGTCGGTGGCTAGTAGTATGGATAGGTAGAGTCGCTGCTGGGCGAGAGAAGTACGGACTTCGGCTTCGGAATACCGGCTACAGGGGAATATAGGGAACACAGACCGCTATACATGAGCATACGATGCAGTGGTATGGTGGTCATATGGTTTGCGGGTGCCGAGATGGGGGATGCGGCTGAGTTAGGTGCTTTGGGGGGGGGCAGGGTCTGTGGTTGTATGGATGCATGGGATGGTCGTCATTTCGTCTAGGCTGTTGGTTGAATGGGACATGACTCTTGGTAGAAGTCTATGTGGTTTACTACTGTGCTCTATGAGTGTACTTGCTAGCTTATCGTTTGCTCTCATTTCTGCGGTACTATACTATCGACGACGATGGAAGATGGCCGCAAAGGAGCTAAGCTTTGTTATTGCTTTCTGTCATGGCAATGAAAGCGAATAGCGGTAAGTTTGATCAAAGTTGTGAAGTGCAACTGCTAGACTGTCAGTAAAGGGCCCCTCGTTTCCGCCCCTCACGATGTATCCACCGCCCGTTCTTGTGGCCGTTGAAGAAAAAAGCAATCTCGCTCAATACTGAGATGTGATGGAACTTGACATGACGTTTGCTTGGCAAAATCTGTGGCCACTTTGTTCTAGAAGGGCTACAGATTACACCGGGTAGTCGGGAAGATCCATGTCGGGGCTGCCAACTTCTAGATGTGCAGTACCAAGACTTTCTTGGCAATTTCAGGCTCTTTGTACTTTTGTTAATGAAACGGTATGTTTTCGTCAAGGACTTCATAGGATGGCGGCTGGGTTCAGTCTTTCAGACGCATAGAGATACGCATAGGTGGAACTCCAGCCTTGACCAGATAGTATCTATTCTCCCCCCACAAAGTCGCAATATAACAAGTGGATTGACAAGTGAAACAGCTGAGTTGTGCGGCTAAATCCATCTCAGAAAGAATCGTCAACAAGCTGAAAACAGCAATACCCAAGGGAAAAAAAGGGAAAGCAGCAGCAGCAGCAGCAGCAGACGACCAAGAAAACCAAAGCCCTCAACCACTGCCGTTGTTTCCACCCGACAGGGGATACCATTTGCCGTAAACCACCCATGTCTCTCTTGGCCTTGCGCAGGGGCTCGGAAAATACCTGTAGGCCGCCTCCCATGTCAAGTATGGAGTCGTCCCCCGGACCTAGAATGATTCTTCAACGGCTTATAGCCGCTCCGACGCGGCTTTTCCATGTTCGCGTCGATATCCCGATTAGTATTTTGTTTGTATGTAGTATGTAAGTCCCGTATAACATGTGTCGTTGGCATATGCACAATAGGACGCGCGTCCCGTACAAAATTCTTCGTGTCGTTTCTTGTTTCTCACCTCCGTTTTACGGGGATGGCGGAACTATTGGTCAGGCATCCTCAAGACGGCAAACCTCATGACATGAAGCTTCTCAGCTTTCTCTCCACATTGTCGTCTATGGTGATACAACCGCCAGATTGGAGCAAATCTCAGCCGACGATCCGAATCGCAGATCAAACGCTGGCCGAAACTCTTTCTATGCCTTTTCTAGAGCCATTTTTCAACAAGAATGACGTGCACCGCAGCGTCAGCAGTACATAGCAGCACAATCTCCATGTCACTTCTCCCACAGCATGCATGCATGCATCCAAGGCTCCACCGCAACGTCCATCAACATACAGTCTCGTATCCCAGATATCACCACCACCACAGCCCTTCACCTTTGTCATTACCATTTATTGCCAAGTATATAATCAAACTGTGTTTTCAGTTTGCACAATTTAGATGGATGAAAGAAAAGATTGTTGTTCACTCTTAACCAAGATTTTGATCGACGCATTCCCCCTTCGCTTCCCACGGACATCCATGCCATCCTTGTCCCGTCTTCTCTTCCCTGTTTTTTTCTTCAGCACCCCGGTCCCACGATGGCTGGGCTTCACCGAAGTCGCTCGAGTTTTCCCGCATATCCCGATGTATAGGGGGCGGGTTGTTGAGCCGTGTCAAGGCGGTAATTGGCGCTTTGCGTTCATGAGCGAGCGATTCAGAGAGAGTGTGTGTGTATTCACAGGATTTTGCTTTATACTACTAGTAGTAGAAATGTTACGGAATGGACAATGTTCGTTCGCAGGCAAACCATGGATTGTTGAAGTAACTCACGAGTTGCTAAGATACAGCAGCAAACAACTAAATGGACTATCGCTCTGAACCTATACCATTGAACACCTAGACCATTCAAGTCGGACCCGACAACAAGTTTCACAGTATATGGATATTCAGAGTCACAGTCATTGTAAACAAAGGCTTCATTTGAATTTTTCTTGATACATATCACTTTGAATATGCCAAGTTCTAGGGTAAGACAACTCATCAACCCCATGCCCACACAGAGGGGTCAACGCATCTCGGCTCAGACTTGCCTTTAACGACGTCACTGCTACCGGCTCTTGTAAAAAAAGAATAAGCCAGGCATCTGGGAACAAAGGGGTTAGCTGCAAGCAGCAAACGCGCAGTCGTTCCACATGACGCCGCTTGTGGCCGTGATAGCTCGGAAGTATCTGTTTTCATCATCACCACCGAGACCGTCCCCTCCTGCATCATGAGCACTCTCCTTCGTGTTGGTGTTGGTGCACGAAGGCGCAAGCGCAATCTAACATGCCTCAGGGACCGAGAAGGGTGGTGCCCTTGACCTTGCCGCTTTCCATCTTGGCAGTCCGCGCTCCAAATTGAATCTGGTGCAAGATTAGCCAAGAGCCCGGGATACTCATCGAAGCCAGTCACTTACCGCTCGCTTCTTCTCCGTCGCCACAGAGCGCATGCCCAGACGCTCCGCCAACAGACGCAGCACTCTCTTTTCAGGCTCCAAATCACACCCAATTCCCTGGTTGTCGAAGTCGCACTTCTCCCACGCCGGCAGCTCAATTGCCCACTTGACCAGACTCTCGTCAAGATATGGAAATCTCACCTCTCTGCTCCAGTGAGCCATGACTCTGTCGTCACGTCCCAGGTTTCTCTTGCCTAACCGGCCAACATCCAGCTTCAGCTCATCTATGAGTCCCGGATATCCGCTGCGCGTGAAAGCGGTGGCGTGACGGACATAACCGCCAAACAACTCGTCAGCGCCGAGTCCCGACAACAATACGCGGGCTGTTGTGCTATACGGCTCAGCCGTCTCCCCTCCCGGGGCCAACTGTCCCATCCCCTGACCCCTTGCGGCAAAATACAAAGCACAAGCGATGGAGAGGTCCATTTCAGTGTTGTGAGGGTAAATGAGGTCTATCACCTCTGCTCGATGAGCGCACGTCTCCTGATAGGGGACATTTACCTGGGCGTGTTGCGTTAATACGAGCTTCTTTACCGCTTTGTGTTACGGAGTGCTTACAGTAACAAATCGCCACCGTTGGCTTGGACAGACGGTTAACAGCTCGGCAAATGACTTTCTCCCAGTCATCCTGTCAGGACACAGCTCGTACAGCTCATCAGCGGACAGCTTTGTGTTCTGAGCAGCAATCCGCGGATTCTCAAACGCCACATTGATCAAATCAATGGCCTGCTCCGGGGGCATCATGTCGCTGGCCATCCGGGCTAGGACAGTGCAATCCAGCCCTCCTGAAAATAAGACTGCGATGTGGGCGTCTGATGTGTCCGCTCTTGGAGGCCTCGGGACGTTGAGAACCCTGAGCTGGAGCGACTCCGTCAGATGATGCCGCAGCTGCTCTACTGAGGGCGACTGGATGGTCAACGGAGCTGTCGTGGCATCAGAGGCAGGTATAGAGGCGTTGAAGATGCCGATGCTTGATATCTAATGGTGATGAAATGAGTAGCACGGATGTCGGTTGGCATGTCTTTACTTGCTAGCAGTAGCCTGTGAGAGCGCCCCTAAGCAACTTACCAGGTCTTTGTTCAGGTCCCAGTCATGGCGGACCGCCACCAGCTCCATCGGTGAGCCTGTTGCATCCAGCTGAAGGGTATAGCAGCCATCAGCTTCGACCTCGGCCCATCCCTCGGCTGGCGCTTCTGCGACGCTGGAGAGCAGGAACTCGTCTCCCTTCTTCAGCAGCAATGACCGTCGCCCGAGGCGATCCCGTCCATAATACAACCGCTTTGCTTTCCTGTCCAGGAAGATGAACGCAAAAGGTCCGTCGATGGATCGCAGAGCATCAAGGACACTATCCTCGCTGCCCGCATCGTGACTCGCCGCCGCAGCCAGCAGAGACAGGACGGCCTCGCCATCATTGCCCTCGACCAGCTTTCCGCCGAGCTTCCACGCCTCGCCGTTCCAGCAGAGCACAGACCCAGATTCCGCGTCCACCAGCGGCTGCTTTGCCAGATGGTCGCCGCGCAGGGACAGAACCGTCGAGGTCAAGGTCACGCAGAGAGAGCCCTCGTCTGGGCAGAGCTGCGCCTCTACCGTCCCAAGATGGTCCGGGCCGCGGTTCCGAAGGCGCCTCTCTAGGCCTGGAGACAGTCTGTGAGGGCGGCCATTTGCTGTTACGGCGCCATGGATGCCGCACATTGTTCGGACGCGTCAGGCGGTTGGGTTGGCGTTGGCAAGGATCAAAGGCGAGGAAGTTTGCCATGAATTTCAGGACAGAGGCGCTAAAGGATGGGCTGGTGCATGCGCCACGACACAGCCACACATTGATCACTGCTACGAGGTACATGATGATTGACCTGATTCTTGGCTTGATCCTTCGGAAGCTTCACTTCAATCGTATTCCATGTCTTTATTGTTCGTTGACAGACGCTGATTCTGCAAGCTACAGCTATGGATTCAGTAGTGTCGCAGGCACAGTTGTGTACAGGTTCTTCCACATCTACAGCTTAGAAGGAGTCGTCTTCTTCTCAAGGTATCTTTTTGCCTGATTCACAGAGTCAGCTTCACGTATAGCAGATGATGCAACGTTCAGACATACCTCGCCAACGGCATCGTACTCGACATTCCACTTCCAAAACTCCAGACTGCTGAAATCGGCATTCCTGTCCGGCACAACACTGTCCAGCAGGCTGTCTGCGTGCGAGACGCCAATGGCATGCTCCGTCTTCCCCGACAGATGCTTCGTGTTCCACCGCGAAAACTCCTTGACTCGCTCCGCCCTGGGCTTGCAAATGGCCTGCCAGACGCTCACAATCTCCGGGACAGTCGACCCCGGAAGGCTGGAGAAGAGGAACTGCAGCACGCCAATGTCCTCGATGATGGTCGAGTAGCCCTGCGCCGCGTTGGGGTGCATCGCGTGAGCGGCATCGCCCAGCAGCACGATCCTGCCCGCCTGGCTGGACCAGCGTGGCAGGTTGGGCACCTCGGCAATCCGCCAGCGGTCGCACGTCTTTGCTATGCTGAGAGCCTTGACCATGTCGCTGCACACGCCCGAGAAGAAGCGCCGCACGTACTCAATGTCGCCCTTTTCGTCCCACAGGCTCTTCTGGTCTGTTTCGCCCTGGATGGCAAACAGCAGCCCGACGCGCCCGAACCGAGAGCTGTACCGCGTCACCGCGAAGCCGCCGTCGCCCTTCCAGGTCGTGATGTTTGAGTTTTCCGTCAGCTTCATCGAGGTCGGGTCGTCGGTCAGCTCGGACACCGCCATGTCGAAGCTGTAGAACGTGGTGTTGTCGACAATTGGGTCCCATTGCTCGGGAGAGCCCACGTCTGACAGCACGGTCCGCCGAGTGTGCGACTTGATGCCATCCGCCGCCAGGATTATGTCGGCCACAATCTCCTGTCCGCTCTCGAGCGTTACTGTCGCCTTTGCTGCGTCGTCGGAAACGCGCGCCACGTTTGCGCTGAATCGAATCTGTGCTCCGGCCTCGGTTGCCACATGATGGAGCAGCTTGACCATGGCCCTCCGCGTGGTCCCCCAGTCGGCATGTTCAAACGAGTCGACGACGGTGGTCCGGACCTCTCCAGTCTTGAGCTCGCGGTAGGTGACGGACGGAGATCGGTCGCAGATCTGCTCGAGGGCTTTCTGGAGACCCCAGCCCTGGATGACTTTGCTTGCGCTCGGCCTGACGCTGATGCCGCCTCCCGTGGGATTCAACTTTGGGCTGCGTTCGAGGACTTGGACGTCATGGCCGGCTTTTGCAAAGGCAAAAGCAGCGGTGAGGCCACCTAGACCGGCGCCAATGATGATGACTTTCATGGTGATGAACCTTCAGTATGAGGACCAGCTGTCAGTGGTATGCGATGCGATCCCGGGACGAAATGGTGCCTCAAGCCTCGGATTCGACGAAGCCTGGGGTTTCCCAGAATACCGTTGTTGCCAGCAGTGTCCGAATCAGGAAGGCCGGTCAATGTGTGCCCTCGCAGATCGTATTAACGAGACAATAGGTATGAATGACCGTGTTTGCAACGTCTTTGCTGCATCGCGTCTCGTCCTCTGGGCTACTTATACCTGGGTCTGAGTGCTCGGACAGGCGTCTGCCAGCGTGGCGTGTTCCTCGGCTTCCCCGCTGCTACGTCGTGTATTATAATCTCCGCCCGTTGCAGATGGGAACGCCCATCGGACTTTGGAAAGCACATATTGAAGTTTAATATGTGGTGTCAACTTTGAGTTCACAGCGGACTCAACGCTGGTCCAACAGGCTGTGGCTATATGAGAGAAATCGGCCTCTTGCAATCTGTCAGCAACGACTATAGCCGCGCCCACAAGAGGTTCGTCGATGGCTTCTTGTACCGTCCATGTGACGGGTGAGGCTTCAGGCCGAGGCAGTAGGCTATGGAGAAGACAGGGGATACCCTGACAATACATACTTGATAGCCGAGGATGAGCAGCCTCGGATTGTCTTTGATAAGCGGTCTTACATACTTGGGTTGACAAGTCAACAGAATTCCGATTGAAGGCGAGCAGTTGGAGACTCGAGTCTGGAGCAGTTCCATAGCTCAAGGTTAAGCTTACAAGCTTATGCTAGTTCACCATACAGAGAGAAAAGGCTTCGTTAGCAAAAAGCACCAACCAAACAGCGTCGAAGATCTCACGTCAGCCGCTCCAGCTACTTCAAGTCGAGCCTAGAGCAACTTCTAGCACGAGTTCAAGCAATGCTTAACGGATTGTTGTCCGTTGGTGGAAGCCTCTAGCTGCGATGGCTATTTCTGACCGCCGGTGACTAAGTCCCTGTTAAACCCGTTGGAGATGCATCATGGCAGTGCTGTCACTTCGCAAAACGGCATGGTCTGGCTCCAACAACGTGCGGCGCTGGAGCGTTCCGTCCTATTTTTGGGGCTTTCAATAAACCAGGCCTAATAATAGCGTCCCACGATGTTGACCCAATGGACTTGTTGCTGTACCTGATGAGGTGTTAACATAGAGAAGCCAGTGAAATTGTAGACAAGTGGGAAATGGTGGACTCTGGAAAGATCGTGGGAATACATATAAGAGGAACGGGTGGTTCCTGTTGCCTGAAGATCTTGGTCCCTTTGAGTCGTACATCAGCACTAACACCGTGATAACCTCACAAAACCCTCTTCTTATTCACCACGCCACACAACCTACATACCCATCTTTCCGTACCCAAGGTTCACAAACATCTCCCTCCCCAAAAATGCAGTCCTCGCTCCTCGCCGCCGCCGCCCTCCTCTCCCTCCTCAGCCTCGGCCTCGCCGCCGAATGCCACCCCAAGGTCGAGCCCATCCCGAGCTTCTCCATCGCCGACGGGCGGAACCTGCAAAACGACATCCACGGCAACCAGTTCACGCCCCCGCTCGATTTCCCCTTCAAGATCGATCCCGCGCATACGGCTTCGTTCAGCGTGGGCAGCGCGATTGCGTGCCTGGAGAACGCGTACTCGTTTGAGAGCACCAAGATTGGGCAGACGGATCTGGCGAATGCGATTCAGAATATCATGGATGAGTGCGACAATGGCGATGGGACTTCCAAGGGGTATGTTTTACACTTCCTTCCCTTTGCTTTAGGCACTTTCCCCTTTGTTATGTGCTTGTTTGTGATAGTTGATGCTGATTTGGGTTGTCTGGATAGGGGCAAGGTCGAGATTATTGGCGACAGTGGACTTCCACTCGAGATTCTGATGCAGGATCGCTCACTTGGCTGCGACTACTGAAAGGCAAGATATACGATCTGGATCACGATAATTATACCCTTCTTTTTTTTTTTTTTCTTTCTGTTTGGGACTATAAGCGGTTTTGGTAGCATGGGCGCAGGGTTATAGATATTGAGACCATCTAGACACTTTATACAGCGTGGTTCCCCTTAGATGCCTTGGCCTTTGATGTTGAACAATGCGATGCTGTGATGTAGAATTGAGAGTCAGATGGATCTCCATGTAAATATCCAACTCCTCCGCCATTCCTCATTCCTGGCTTCAGCCCAACAAGAACAAGACCAGCGAGCTCAAAGGGATTGCTCTGTTCGCTGCCTGTATGATGTTTTTGATACCAGCACACAGGGGAACTCATAAAGCTAACCCTGCAAAGCTTCAACTCTTTCTGTGTAACAGGGCACAGCGAAAACGACACCTCTTCAAGACACATCAGGGCCGAATAACATTTGGCTCAGCATTTGCGCTCCAATAACTCGATCATAACTTGGTAGCCTCTCTGGCTTGTACTTCTCTCCGCCAGTGCCTTGATGGTAGCTTTGGTAGGCATTTTCCTTTGCTGCATGTGAAGCGTCTTACAGACATCTTGACCGTTTGGTAGCTCAGACTCTTTCAGTATAAAAGCATTTGAAAAGCGATTCGCCCCAGAATGGCAATTCTGCATCAAAGGAGGTTGAAGTCACGCAACCAACCACCACCAGAACGAGGGTTGGGTGGAGTCGAAGCTGCTTGCATGTGCATTCACACGGCGGTTGGAGCACATGTAGAGTCTCGGGCCTGATAAATTGACCACCCTCAGCGAGGATTCCTTTTCCTCCCTTCTCATCTTTCTCTCTCTTTCACTTCTTCAGACCGAATTACGAAAATTCTTCTCTACTATTACAATCGAGATCACCGCCTTTTCGGCCACCTCATCCTGGACGGCAGCCGTTAAACCGACTCTGCTATGCAACCTCCCATGGCTACCAAACCCAACAACATGCCTAATTGGATGATGATGGCATTGGCACCGCAATATGGGAATCGTGGTACCTGGTCATCTCAGCTTCGTACGGCCAATGTTATGCCACCCAAAGCCTCTACAGAAACCATTGAAGATATGGAGATCGACCTAGAGGAAGACGAGAGTGATACATCTGTCGAACCTGGTATCACCGGGAAATCTAATATTGTCCCTCTACAAGCCATGGACAAGCTGGTGCAGGACTTGCTGGCCTCCCAACAAAACCTGGAAGACGAAAAGCGAAAGGCAGAGGACAAAGATGCTGAGATTGCCCGACTCAAGGAAGAAGCGGCTCAGCTCCAGCAGAGAGATCACAAGGACTGCGAGGAAACAAATGAAATGCGACGGCTATTGGCGTTTCACATCAAGAATGAGGAGCAGCTGTCGAGGAGGCTTAGGGACTTACAGGCCGTCAACGAGGGCCTCCAGGCCCAACTGCAGGCCACCGAGATGGCGCTTGAGGCGAGCAACACGTTTCCACTCTCGTCTCTGGATTTGGCGCCCATGGAAAAGGAGTAGCAATGAGAAACTGTCAATCTTGGAGGAATAAGGATTACACAATTGACGAGGCTGTTTTTTCTTTGTCGATGGTACTTCATACAGACTGCGAACAATAGCCAATACAATTTCTTGTCAGATTCTGAATACGCGCCTACTAAAGCGATGTTGGTTGAGCACTCATCAGTAGAGGCGATGTAACTCGAGATACTGCAGTGATTGGCTTTCGATATCCAGCCGCATTGAAGGCCTCCCGCGGCATGCCACAAACTGACAGCATTGATGCAGGCGGCCGCCCAACGCCAGCCCGATGCTTCATTCTCATGCAGGGAGGAGAGCAACTGTTGAGGGTTGGCCAGCTGCAGAGACCGTGCTGTGGGAGGCCAACAGGAAGGACTTGAGCGCTTACATGCATCCAATCATATGCATGCGTCCTTTGCTTCCTTAAAGCAAGCCACAAGCCGTGCGATTTCTCCATCGATTCTTCAATTTTCCGCCTTGGACTTGCTGTAATCAGTAGGATCATATCTCAATGTCCGATACTCAGTCCGTCTTTTGGATGGACGTCAAGCCAGACATGCCGGATGAAGATCGTGTTCATGCCCTGGTGAAGGACTGCGGCTGTACGCGCGAGAGAGCAATTACGCTACTCAGGGTGAGTAGAAGCACCCCCAAAGGTTGATGGTCGCGTTGTCCTGACTTCAATGCAGATTTGCAACAACGATGTTGAAAAAGCCAAACAGCATCAACGCCTTTATGAGTCATATTCTCAAGAATTGCGAGATGAATCGCCATCACCGCCCATACCTGTTTCAGTCGGGCTTGGCCAGGACAAAAACTACCTCGGGAGACCATGGTCACCGTCAACTCCTTCCATGTCCCGCAGTGCATCATTCGATATGGGATTTGAGAGTGACGCTCAGCAGATTACTCCGGGTTCCAACGAGAGCAGCCACTCCACCGAATGGGATTTCACCCTGCCTCGTCTTCCTTTCTTGAAGATACTCACGGAAGACGACTTCAGTCCCGACAGCCTTGCCTCAGCTATCCAGCATGGTGCTACTGTCCATCGTCTGCGAGAATATCTGAGCAACTATGACTCGGCGCTCCTCAAGCAAGACATAAGCGCCAACGTCATGGGGTTTCCCCTCATCTTCTATGCCGTTGAGTCAAATGACGAGAACATGGTGCGGCTCTTGATCGACTATGGAGCAAGTGCGAATGCGGTACATGAGGCCTCGCAGGTACCATTGCTGGCTTTTGCAATCATGTGTGGGGAGACACTTCAGCTTGACACCACAAACATGGTCAGCGTCCTTCTCAGCAAAGGAGCTTCCCCTTATGCTATTCCTATGGAATTATTCGTCCCATATCTTGTGGAGATAGAGAAGAGAAGAGACCAGAAAGGGAAAATGCCAGTTGAGGAGCCCTCAGAGGCCGTGCAAGCTGCCTGGTGCTCAGAGGCTACCAGGGAAAGACTCGTGAAGAACATCAATCTCACCCAGAGATACTTTCTCGAAAAGTCTACAAAGCTGAAGCGGCCATCGACTAGAAGACGCCAGGTGGCCCGGATCAAGAATTGCGAAGGCCTGTTGGGCATTCCGTATTTCCTGGTTGGCCAAGGTGTTGCCACAGAGCTCCTTACCCAGAGACTGCTCACGCATCTCTTGATGCCTACCAAGCGGCCTCTGGTATTATGCTTTGCCGGCCCTAGCGGTCACGGCAAGACAGAATTGGCGCGACAGCTCGGCCATTTGTTGACGTTGGACCTGGAAGTGGTTGATTGCACCACCTTCACTCACGAGATGGAACTGTTTGGCCCACGACGGCCTTACCATGGGTACGAGAAGGGCTCAGCGGTCAACAACTTTCTCGTGCAGCACGCTGGAAGAAAATGCATCGTCTTTCTGGATGAGTTTGAGAAGACAACCAAGGAAATCCACCAGACGCTGTTGCTCCCATTCGACAACGGTAAAGACAACAACTCACATGTGCCTTGCTTGGTGAAGTAAAGGGGCTAATCCGGTAAAATAGGCGAATATCGAGACAGACGCACCGGTGATAGGATCGACTGCTCCAATACCATCTGGATCATGGCTACGAATGCGCTGGATGAGACCATTCTGGACTTTTACGAGCACAACAACGCCATAGCCGGCGAAGACGTAGACGAGAGGGTTCGACTTGTCAGGAAGCTCAGTCAGCAGCTACGAGAAGCATTCCTTCAACAATTCGGCGCAAGTCTTTCCTTGCTCCTACCTGATCAACCAGTTTATCTAGATCACATAGGCTAACTTTGGCATGACATACAGGCCCCTGTGACAGGACGAATCTCGGACTTCATCCCCCTACTGCCGTTCTCCGGTGGCGAACAAGCCGTCATCACGCACAAGTGCTTGCTGGAGTTGGCTCACGATCTACGCCAGCCTATCAATCTTACAAAGGGTCATGAGAGGCTGATTGGGGACATCCAGCTGCAAATTCGCAAAGATGGTACATTATGCTCGATTTTGGCGAAGAAGCACTACAACAGTAGGCTGGGAGCGCGTAGTCTCCAGACGGGCGCAGAAACAGTGAAGAGGATTGTCCTTGACGCCTATCTTGACGATGACGAGGAGATCAATGAAAGGCAGTGTCTGAGGGGCGCTGTGATTGACGTGGATGGGAATGACATTGTTGGCAAGATCCTTCCCCCGGCTAAGACGAATGGTAAGGCATGATGGGAGCAGTATCTGTATGCTGGTATCACCGTAGAGGCCAAGTGATTCATCTTTGCTCGAGGCGCCTACACAGAAGCACCCTTGTCTATTCTCTTTGTCCGTGTCTTGTAACTCTCTTGACATGACCGCGCTTCAGTCTGGGCAAGCCGGTCAACGATGGAAGGAACATTGAGCCTCGAGTTTGAAGAGAAAGGCAGCAAATGTGCATACGTGGCTTGGGTGTCGGCACCATCTATCGAAGCTTCTCCTTACGTTGGCCAACACGAAGTTCAAGGCCTTGTAAAGCGGTCGCGCGTACCTTGGCGGCTGGAAGCGTTTCAGTGTGATACGGCTGGGCGCATATCCTGTCTCCTGGTAGTATACGGTTGAGGTGTTGGGTGGAAGTTGGCCTCGACTGGTTGGACGCTCTGTGGCTTCGTGCAGAGTCGCATCACGGACGCTTCTTATGCCTCTTCTTTCCATCCTAACCCCAAACAAGTCTTTCGAATCACTGTCGTCCGCTTCATCGCCTGCCTGCATTGGGCGGCCGACAATGCAGCCTTCAAAACCTGAGCAATGTATTAATAGTCTCTGGACACTCGTCATCACCCGGCTAGCGAAGCACAAGATGTCAAACGGGATTCGTTGCTCTTTACCTTAGTAGGATGCATGGCGCTTAGTTGCTATCTACCTACCTTATGCAACACACTGTTTCACTCTGGACACGTACATGTATGTAACTCGCATGCAGTTGGCCCGCAGGCGCTGAATGCGACAGCGGGAGGCCTACCGGCTGCACCCTCATCCATGTGATCATGGCGGTACGTGTAGTTGAGTTGAGCTCATCTTCTTCGATAGCTTCCATCCGACATAAATCACGCTGCTATCCCGCTCCTATTCCTAATCACAACACATAACCAGGCTGTCGAAAGCACATTGTTGAATATGGAGGCTCAAGTCCCAGCTCTGCGAAGAGCTGCAGAGATAGGAACCCTCTATGATGCAAAGGAAGATCGCTTCCTCAGTGCTTCAGTATTTCCTCGAGGCTTACCGGAGAATCATGTGTCAACAAAGCCAACCCCGGGTACGGAAATCACAGTTTCCAGCTGCGCTTCATATGGAAATGTGTTCAAAGATCTTCATATAGACGAAACTACTGCAGTCAATATCCTCTCCGGTACTGTTGATCTCCAAGGAGCCTCCGTCTTTCTCAGAGACTTCGAAATAGGAGGAACCGTGCGTGCTGCCGTCATTCATCGACTCTCTACCGTACAGCAGGCCCTCGTCAACTTGGGCGACACCTTCAAGTCGACTGGTGACTTGGCCGCTTTGAGAACCCAAGACTTCACGCACTTTGTGATTGGCATCACATGGGGCTTGCAGACTATTGTTGCCGCCAGTTGTTCTACGCCAAGCAAAGCACGCTCTTCTGAAGCTGAAGAGGCGACCTTCAATAGGGATCTGGAGGTTTTGACATCTTCCATTGAGTCAGCCTCCCTTACGCCGCAGACGCCTTCTCCTAGGCTGATCCCTCAATTGGAGCTCTGCAATGAGTTCATCATCTACAGCGATGTGTTTGAACAGGAGGGCCTACCGATGCAAAGTGTATCGGAAATATGCGACTTCATTCGCATTGTACCCGACCATACTCGACAAGCGAACAGCGGCAGGGGATGGCCAGTCGCATATACCTTGATGCCTGTCACGACGCTTGGATTTATCATGTCTCTGCCACTTGAGCTTCATCACAGCTTGACGTCCATCAGACCCGATTATCTCGCCAACTTCATCCAGGTCTATGATGATATCGAAGCTTCCGCAGCCAAGCTTCGCAAGTATCATACCTACTTGGCTGGCCACATTCTACATGTAGCCAAAACTCACGTCGACGAAGTTTTGGACTCGATTAAGCATCTGGAAGATAGCAAGAGCTGGCTGACGAGTGAACTTTTCCACCGCCTGTTGGACGTACGACAGAGCAAGCGGGATCCCTCAATTCTCCTTGACCTCTATCGCCATGTGGCCTTTAGAGAGTCCACACCAAAGCAACTCTCTGCCCTTGCTGGACAGGAGACTGGAAAGCTCGAGTTCATTGCGAGCGCCATCTCTCAGGGGGCAAAGTACATTGGCTACAATGATCTCTCTCTCGAAAAGATTCAAGAGGCTTTCAAAGACGCTCATTTTTACGTCTTCCATTTCGATTCTGGCTCCATGATGGACGATCAAAATTGGAGTGACAACTTGGTCTTGTTGCTTGAGCTACTTGGGCAGCGAGATGAGCGCATGCCCGTCTTCATCATGGACCACGACGCGACAGCCTCCAATGAACATCCCGGCATCTCACGGATTTCGCAGTACAAGGGCAACAAAGAATGTAGGGCTGATATGCTGGAGTACCGCCAGTTTCTCTCCCAGAAATGCTTCGCTCGGTGTTCGGATGGGGCCCTCGATACGAATGAGCGTCAACGACCCGTCAAACGACGCTTCGTCAAGATCCCCTGTCCGAGACCAGGATGCGATGCCGACCATTCTTATGAATGGGCTTGTCCACGATGCTTTGCGACAATTGAGTATGGATTCAGCGATGACTACTTTTACTGCGAGTGTGGCCGTGGGCTTTTCAGCAGCTACGAGTTCAAGTGCAATGATGCAAAGCACAACTCTGACTTTGTGGCTTATGATGTGGAACAGCTACGAAAACTCTTGGACAAATTGGATCAGGCGAACTATATCAATATCCTCATTCTGGGAGAGACTGGGGTGGGCAAGTCGACTTTCATCAACGCCTTTGTCAACTACCTGTCTTATTCTACGCTGGACGAGGCCAAGGATGCTGACTCGCTCGCTTCTGTCATTCCTTGCTCGTTCTCTCTCCAGACGATGAACAGGGACAATCCAGAACTGGGCATTCAGGAGTTCAACGTCAAAGTGGGTGGACGTGACGATGAGGTTGACGGGTCAACGGGAAACTCGGCAACGCAAAAGTCGGCCGTGTATCCCGTCACGATTGGAGCAAAGACGTATCGCTTGATCGACACTCCAGGCATTGGGGATACCAGAGGTTTGTCTTACGATAAGGAGAACATGGCCGATATACTCAAGACCATCAGCTCCTATGACAGCCTGCATGGCATTCTGGTCCTTGTCAAGTCGAACAACGCACGCCTGACCGTCACGTTCAGATTCTGTGTCAAGGAGCTTCTTACTCATCTACACCGGAGTGCCACCAAGAACATGGCTTTTGGATTTACCAATACTCGAATCTCGAACTATGCCCCGGGCGATACGTTCAAGCCGCTGAAGGCTCTTCTTGATGGGCAGTCGGATATCCCCATCACTCTCTCGACGTCCACAACGTATTGCTTTGACTCGGAGAGCTTCCGCTATCTCGCTGCTTTTAAGCAAGGCATACCAATGAATAACGAGGAGGAGTATCGTCGAAGCTGGGATCACTCAAGCAAGGAGGCCCATAGGCTCCTCAACTACTTTGCCTCTACTCAGCCTCATCCTGTCAGCAGCACACTGAGCTTAAACGGGGCGCGCAAGCTGATCCTCGAGCTGACAAAGCCCATGGCCAGCATCTCGGACTCTATCAGGAAAAATATCAAGTTGTGCGAAGACAAGAAGCTGGAGTTGAATGACACGCAACTCACGGCGGACAAGCTGCGCAAAAGATTGCGTTTGGAGAGGATCCAGTTCAAGGCCATTAAGTTGAACATGCCTCGTACGGTCTGCAAGAACCCAGACTGCTGCGATTTCAAAGACAGCGGTCTTGATGATGGAGTCGTCGTTACGATATACAAGACGCACTGCCACGCCGAGTGCTATCTTAATAATGTCACGGAAGACGTTGTCGCTGACCCTGGCCTCATGGGTTGTGCAGCTTTCGCTGGCAGAGATACTTGTCACGTCTGCCAGCACAGATGGCAAGAGCATCTACATGTCCTCTACGAGCTCTCTGAGAGCAAAGCTCAGGTCATTGACAAGGAGATAGAGAGGCAGCTCAAGGCCAATGCAGATGATGTAACTTTGCGCCAGCTGGCGATTGCTAGACTTGACCGGGACATTGACGAGTTCAACAAAGAGTTGGATGAGATTCGTCGTGCCTCTGCCCGATTCTGTTTGTTTCTGAGGGAGAACGCCATCACCGTCATCAATGATGCCACTTTGGACTATCTGGACATGCTCATTCAGGACGAGCAGGGCGTCATTGAGGCCGGAAGACAGCGAGGCTTTGCTGTTGACGCGAACATAAAGCGTCTTCAGGCATTGAAGGATGACAGACAGATTCACCTTGAACTCGTTGAGACCTTCAAGCAGAACATGGCTCGTCCTACCTGTCCCGAGGACATGCTGCTCGACGAGCAAGGAGTCGATGCCCTCGTCAAGAAGCTGTACGATCTGAAGCATTTCGGCGCCAACTTGAAACACATCAAGTATGTCATTGACTCCTCCATTGAAGAGACCTACCGTGAGCGGCCATATCGCGTGCGAAATGTCGGCTTTCGCAAGCAAGGCGGAGGTGGCCGGACGTTGCGCCATACGAGCCAAGGAGGAGCACCGCAGAGGTTGAACGAGGGCAATTCTCATCAGCCATATGCTTTGGGAAACAGGGGCACTGTGATGAGAGTTGGAGAAGATGGCCATCGGCCGCATTCTTATGCGGACGCTACAAAGTCGCGTATTGATCACTTCAAGTCGTTCTTTAAGGGAGGCTCCGGACGACTATGGGTGATGTAGCACTGCGAGAGCATTAACTAGCTAGTTTTATCATAGATGAACTATGTAGCCCCAATGATATCGTACCTCTCTGGATCAGAAGATATGCCGCCCTGATAAAGTAACGTTGTTGATTTGAAGAGGGCGCTCATGTGGCAGTCCCTTCCTCCAAAGTCTTTGCTATTTACAACTGTCAATTTGGAATTGAAAGGCCTGCTTCAAGGATTTGAAATTGGATTTATCTTCATGATTGAAATATGAAGTATTGTCATTACAGAAGAAGATACACGGAAGCGTTTCCTTAGCCTCTTGCAACAACTTCAAACAGGGAAGTCTGCCAAAATCTCCTGCTTTCTGTCTCAAAATACAAAGCATTCATCGATGATTCAGTAAAATCATGTACGTGATACCCAAGAGGACACGCTGGCACGACAGTACACCCCTCTGGCTCACTTCATTCCTCATCTTCAGGAGAGAGTGCCACACGTTGCCGAGATCAGGAGTGCTGTCATCGGGGCAGAGTCCTTGAAGGATACGAGACATAACATCAGGTCGCGTGATTGTCTCTGCAGCATTCTCAGCAAACTCTACTCTCGCCATAATGTCCGGGTTGTCCTCCTGGGGGAGGTGGCTCATCATCACGCCCAGCTTGACCATGTAGATGATCACGGCAGAGAGGCCGGTCGCCAGAGCCGTAGACACGCTGTTGGATGACGCGCAGTCAACATCTGCAAAGCGCTGGGCGAAGCCGTCCATGAAACCTGTCTGGGACGTGCTGGACCGCGCAGTGTTTGGGATACTATCAAGGCCGGGGAGGATGAAATACTGGCCAGAGCCCCGTAGCCTCGTATCGCTGGAATCGCAAGTATTGCCGATGAAGAAGATGCCTTTGGGGTAGGCGTCGAAGATTCCGATGGTGGCTGACGGGCAAAACATGAGTACATTTTCCTGTTGGACCCTTTTCAAAGCGCGGAGGACTGCCGAAGAGACGGGCGGTTAGTGTTGTGACCGACGTCTTCCTATCATCCCATCTGTACTGATGGAACTCCTCACCTCGTTCGTTTTCAGGTCTGTCGCAAGTCATTTCAGGTATCATTATCCGTGGCAAACAGATGATAGTAGCTTTCTTAGCTAGGGCAGCTTCAATAGCCTAGCGAGTAATAGAATGTCAGTCTATATCACGTCCTTGATGGAACCGGTGGCTCATTTCTCTCATACCTTGGCCAAGGAATCTGCATCCAACACACGTCCGCCTTTGGGAAGTCGAATAGGGTAAATCTTAGCCATTGGGCATACACGCAAGATGAGGTTCGCCATCACCGTTCCGTCTGACGCTGACACAAACGGTGGCAAGTAAACTTCGCTTATGTCCCCATCTTCAGCCTCCCGGTAGTCAAAGCTTTTGCCCGTCAAGCACTGGTTATGCAGTGCCCTGTCCATGACGTCCACGCCGTCACCAATCATAGCCACGACAACGTCGTCCCCTGCTGTTGAAGTCGACTTCTGGCGAAATAGTGGTGAGAGAGACCTCCAGTTGTTGATCAAGGGGAGCGAAAAGTTGGATGCGCTTCGCAGATGTTGACGCAGTTTACCACCGCAACCAGGATCAACGTCATCAAAATAGGTTTGGATAGGGGGGATACGACATCCACGGTGGTTGTCAGAGGTTGCGACCGTCTCCGTGACTATGACCTCGAGGGTTGGGTTGCACTTCATTATCTCATCTCGGAATTGTACGATGGCCTTCTTGATGCGCGCTTCATTGCCACACATCTTTCTCCTTGGTCAGCTTAGAAATTCTCATGTAAATGAGGGCTAAGTCAGAATTACTGACCTTGTGTCGCTCGGGCTTGTAAAGGTATACTTTCTCGAGGCCCTGAAACTTCAGCAGCCCTTCTTCTCTGCTCCACGAGTGTAGTGCCATGATGTTGCCGCTCCATCTCAGGCAGAGTTCCTTCAGGGGATACTTGTCGGTATGCGGGTTCCTTCCCAGCCACTGCGAGATGGCCTCATGGATGTCCTCAAGAGCCAGGTCTATCCTTTGCCAGTCGAGGCGCTCAATGCTGAACAGGCTCAGGCAGTCTTGCAGCGCCTCGGATGTGTGGACCGTGTTCTCTGGGCCGCCAGAGTCGTCGACGGATAAGCTGATGATATGGCGAACCCCCTTGGCATAAAGCCAGCGAAACATATGTGTCATGTCCTCACGAGGGGAATGCTCCTCGTCAGGATAATTTATATCTATTCGTGGAAAACGCACAGATTGCAGAACGTTATCAAGCTTGATACCACACGTGCCGTTTCGTCCGAAACAATCCGTGAAATCTATCCAGTTGATACTGGTAGGCAGATTATCATATTGGAAGCTTATTTCGATATCTAGAGATGCAAGTCAGTCCAGGGCCAAGGATTTAGGGGGGAGCTTCTCGAGATATAGCTTACCGTCCACATTGTCGCCGTACAGAAAAGAGGTAGCCTCCCGATGGCCTCTCGTTCTCATGTAATGCTTTTTCAGAAGCAGCGATATCTCCTGGAATGCCGTTTTTTGCAATGGGCATTCGTTCAGTGTTTGCACTTTGCCGCGACGTCGTTCATCATCCATGGACTCAACAAGGCTCTGATAGATTGAGTACCCCTTGGCGTTGCGTACCTCAAGGAAGCTTGATTGCTTCAATCCACGGCCTTTGTCAAAGATTTGTTGGTCCCGATCAATCAGCTTCTTGATAACCTTAAGCCCCTCAAGGTTGCAGTGTTGGAACGATGCGACATAGTGCATGGGCGTGTTCCCGTCGGCGTCTTGGGCGGCGAGTTGCTCGTCCGTGGCATGCTTCATGAGAATATCCGCTGTATCAAAATCCAAGGAACTGATAGTCTCAAAGTAGGTGTGTAACGCTGTCCTCTTGGCGACAAGACACGGCTGTGCAAGTGCCTCGTCGAAGTAATGTTTGATGACTGCAGACTGCTCGCTTCCGTTTGCCCTGCAGACGGATTCAATGAGCCTGAACAGCTTGTGCGGGTTGTCTCTGATGGCCAGATGCAAAGGGTTGTATCCATCAACGTTCTGACCGACCAAGAGTTGCGGAAGTTCCTTGACAAGCTTTTCGATGATGGGTTGGGCCCGGTCGAGAAGGTGTTGCCTCGGCCTGATAAGTTCAGCAACCACATGGATTACGTTTCCAACACGGCCGTCAGCTATCTGGTCAGCGATTCCGCCGTGCCCCGACCAGAACTCGAGGACATCGATAGATGGGTTGCTGATCGCGTGCTCCAGAGCCTGGACCATAGTGAAATACATTCCCCGCTGCTCCTCGAGTCGCTCCTCTGGGGACTGCTCCATGATCGGTGTTGCCGGCAGTTCCACCAGGCGTCCTTCTGTATCTGCTTTGGTTAAGAGCCCTAAGGCCGAGAATTCCTCTGTCGATGATGTACATGTAGGCGATAGTGTTTCCTGCCAGTCCATTTTTGATCGCCTCGATGCCGGTGAGAAACCCGCAAAGGGATCAACGGCCTAAAGGACGGAAACATTTCATCCTATATAGCCTCACGACGCCTTACGACTTGCCATCCACATGCCGTATTCCAGCGCTATATTTGGAACGGGCAGTAGGGAGAAGAAGCAAATGCCTACATCTCTCTACCCCTCAACCTAACGACTATAGCTGGCTCTGTTATTGCTCAAAGTTGACAAACATGTACCATTGGCAATACGCCAAGCGATATGAGAGGCTAATATTGCTTTCATTCAGAATTGGAGGCGCGTACAAACAAAGACAAAGAGGGAAATGGCTCATACGCATGCATGGGTATCATATGCTCCCAATGAGACCAGATCTATGATAAGAGTTATAGGGCGGCAGCTCGTAAGTCTGTCAAAGCCATAGAACGTCATGAGTGCCTTGCCCCTGAATCGAAGATGGCAAACATCTCGCAAGGGGTAGGAGGTTGAGACCTTTCAAGCCAGTGAATTGTATTTGTTCCTCTTTTTGAAGCAAACAACCCATAAGAACCAAATGGAGGATGAAAATGATCTCTTTGTCGCCCAATACCTGCCATGAGTATCGTGGTCTTACTCCAGCTCCCCCCTTTTCCGCTGCTGAAGCATGTCGCCCATCAACCTGACCAACTCTTTAATCGTAATCACCAGCCCTCTACCATCCATATTGCCATACACGTACTCCGTCACCACTCCAGCAAGCGTCTGCATATCTCGTCCATTCGACCAGCCCTTTGTCTTCGCCAACTTCACCAACAACCCCATCATGACCCCCCTTCCACCCACATCCAAGCCATCTTCATCCCTCAAAATCTCGATATCCTGCTTCGCCAACAACTCACAAAGATGCCTCAGCGCAGACTCCGGACTCATAGGCGAAAAGTGAATCTCCGTAGCAAACCGCCCTCGCAGGCCGGCGTTGGTCTTCAAGAGAAGATCCATATCATGAGTGTATCCAGCCAGGACAATGACAATCTTGCGATAGTAGCGCGACTTGGTCATGCAGTCGACAATCTCGCCTATCGCCTCGTTGGCAAAAGAGTTCTTACCGGTATGTTTGAGGCGATATGCCTCATCGATGAACAAGACCTTGCCGAGGGACCGCTCAAACAGCTCAACCACCTTGGGCCCAGTATGGCCGACATACTTTCCGATGAGATGCGTGGCAGAGCACTCAATCACCTCGCTGGTCGAGAGGAAGCCCATGTCGTAAAAGATGCGGCCGACGATGCGAGCAGTGTGTGTTTTCCCTGTCCCTGGTGGTCCCTTGAAGACGTAATTGAACGGGATGATGCCTCTGGGGTCCTTGTTATTGAGCCTCAGATTCGCAGCAATGCGCTGGTAGCTTTCGAACCGCTTGATGGTGTCTTCAAACCCAATCAGCCCGTCAAAGTGAGCCCGACACCGTTCTGCGGCCGTGGCGCCGCGATTATAATGGGGATCAAAGTCCTCTGGCTCGAGCACAGTCTCCATCGCATCGGCATCCACCGTCTTCGACACTCTGACCCTGTACCTGGCCTTGGCCTGGTTCACAAAGTTGACCACATCACCTCCGTTGCCAAAGTTCGGCCTGTCTCTTGCTCTCCGCAGGACCTCTGCGGCAACCTCCATGGCAGCTGGAGTAGCCTTGATGCCCTCTTCTTCCATCTTCAAGTCGAAAATCTCCTTGAGCCGCTCATCGTCATAGTCGTAGAACCTAAAAGCTTCTTCAAGCGGGAACCGACGACGCAGCCCTGGGTTGCACTTCTGGAACATCTCCTCCATCCTATCCGGGTATCCCACCAGAATCACACAACGATCATCGCCTGGCCTGTTGTGGATCTTGGAGACAATAACGTCTATGCAGGCCAGCCGGAACTCATCCGTTTGGTTTTCTGAAAGCCCTTGGCCGTGGTAAAACATGTGCGCATCGTCAATGATCAAGGTCTTGCCTTTAGCCGAGTCAATGATGGCGCTCGTCTTTCTTTCCGACTCGCCGATGAACTCGCCGATGAAGTCGCTCGGCGTCTTGTAGATGACATTTCGGCTCGAGACGAGGCCAATGTCGGCAAGGATCTGGCCATACAGCTTGGCCACGGTGGTCTTTCCCGTGCCGGGCGGCCCTATGAAGACGCGGTTGAGAGACGTCTTGAGAAGCTTCATGCCGGCAATCTCCCTGTGATAGTTGGCCTTTGCTCGATTGAGGAGCTGTTCAACTGCAGCCTTGACCTCTTCGAGTCCTGCCATCTTCTGGAGCTCTTTCCAGGCCTTGCTCTTGGTCCGGACATCCTCAGGCTCGGGCCCGATCAAGTCCTGTCCGGACAAGAAGTTCTCGTCCGGCAGCGGCTCCGTCCACGAGTCTTCAATCTCCAACAGCCTCTGTCGTATGCGAATAGAATGCCGCTCCAATATCTTTCCATACGACAGCTGAAGCTCACGTACGTTTCCGAAAGCGGCTTCGTCCCGGCCACGACCTGCTCGCTGGGCCACGATCCGAGTGAACGGACCCTGAGGACCTTGCTCCATCTTGAAAGAGTCTCGCTTGACCATCTGAACGAACAGTCTGCGTAGCTCATCGTCATTGTAGTCTTCAATGTGTATCAGCCGTGGGAACAGCCATCGTGCTACCGGAGAACTTCCCAGGAGCTCCGGCATTTGCTCGAAAGAGCCTGAGAGGACAAAGACGACATCATCGGACAAAAGCTTTAGTGTTTCCATGAAATATGCCCCTTTATCTGCCTTGACGGAGTCCGCTTCGCTGATATAAATGACCTTGAGGAAGTTTCAGCAAACTGACCGAGTGTGTTGGACGGTAGGTTGTCAGTCAACTTACCCCCTTTGAAGCAAGGTCCCGAAGGTTATAAATGTCTAATCTCTCTTTGAGCATGTGCCCAGATTGCTCTTCGAAACAGGCGTAGGTCGGCTGCTTTTTGCCCCAAACACCGCATTCTTCGAGGAGCTCTTTGTACAATTTCGCCAGAGTTCTCTTTCCTACAAGCAAATGCGAGTCAGTGACCGGTCAATCTCGTGATGGCCCAGCATGGGGGAGTTAGAGAAGCACGAGTGTTGCTGTCAGACAGTTGATATGATCATGTTCACTCTTCGTGAATCACTTTTTTGCTGTCATAATCAAGATTGAAGGCAGATGGGCTGTCGTACCTGTCCCTGGATTCCCCATCATGACCACGTTGAAAGCCCGTCGCTGCAAATGCCCCTGACGACTTCGCGAAGCCTCAATCATATCTTTGACCTCCAAAAATAACGACTTGGCACCCTCAAGCCCTACCATCTCCATGACCTTGTCCAGCGACTCGCTTTTCTCGCCTAGCTGTTCTTTCCGGCGCGCCCATTCTCTTTTCGCGAGCGACTCGACAACGGGCTCGACGTATGCTGGCGTGTCGTCCAGAGAGGGGATGTCGTCGATTGAACCACGACGAGATCTCGTGTCCTTGTCCGCCGCTGGAGCATCAAAAGGGTTGAAATAGGGTGATTTGGGAAGCTCGATTTGGGCGGGATCGACTTTTGGCTCTTTTGGTGGGCTGGAAGCTGTTTCTTCTTTGACTTTACTCTCATCTTTGTCTTCTTCCTTGTCTTCCTGCTCGTCCTCAATCCGGTCTTTATCACGTCCAGCGTCTCCCTTTTCATCTTTGTCTTCTTTTTTGTTTCCCTCTTTGTCCTCATTCTCGCCTTCTTCTTGTGATGTGCTCTCTGGTTCTTTACGAGGAGCAGAATCGTCGTGGTATTTGGTGTCGGCCCCAACTTGGCCTTCGTTCTTCACATCTTCAGTCTTGGATCCCTCTGAATCGTCATCTTTGGCTTCCTTCTCAGCTCTGTTCAAGGTAGAGATAGGCTGCGGGTCTGGCTCAGTTTGAGCTGCTCCATCCGGATCGCGACCGTTTTGATCGCTGGAGGCGGCTTCTTCGTTTGGTTTGGATAAGGTCTGATCATTCAACCCTGAGACGGCATCAGCCGACTTTTGATCGTCTACCCTCAGATTTGTGGCAGCGCCTGCATCATCACTACCTTCATCAGCATCTTCAGATGAAGTGGTAGTTGGAGTCATGCAGGGAAGCTCGTTGTCTGTATCATCGGGGTTTTGATCCAAGCTCTGAGGCTGAATCGCCTGGTCACCCCCTTTAGCAGTATCAGAGCCGTCGACATTATGTCCTTCGGCGTACGGATGCCGATCAGGGACCTCTTCGACACTAGTACCCATGATGACAGTCTGTTGTAATCGTAAAAGCCCTTCAGAAGAGTATTGAGATGCAACCCCGAGCTGTTCATGATACTGGGGATCTAAATCGGAGCTGGGAGTCGAAGGAGTGCATTTATATCATGGTCCCTTAATCACATAGACGACAGACTATATATGTAACCTCTATGTCACCAAGGAGCATTTGAACCACACAAAAGCTGCAAGTTGGGCTTGCGTTCGACGCCTTGCTTCAATCCATGCAGAGGGCGCTGCTGCCTAGTTATATCTTGTGAATGGTGCTCACAAGGTGGAGAGCACGGTAACACGGGTAGGCTGTAAGCGGGAGCTGAGTTGGGGTAACAGGGGTCAACTTAGGACATAGCCCAATCAGCAGTGCTGATGGCTTATACGCAGAGTAAGAGATATATAGGTTGCATTTCCGAGATAAAACCAGTCCTATAGTTTGCTGAGCTGTATCATTCTCATTGGGCTTTCGATGCTGCCAGTCCACATTGTATGCAGGTCTCCAAGGCAGAGTTCTGTGAGAGGGGCTGATGCCTAAACGCCAAAGGGGGAGCGGCCAATCGTGGGAGTAGTGTAACAATCTGTTTCAATGAGTCTGACATAAGGAGAAGCTGAGATTCGGGTAAAAAGGATGCCGCTTTGCATGAGAATCCACGGAGATCCATGTCGCTGGAATGATGAATGCTTGAATTGGTGTGACTGGTGTTGTCAAGATTCCACTGTAGTCGTGTAAGTCAACCCGCGTGGCACTTACGCCTCCATCTTCGCTTGACCTTAGAGTTGGCCGCATCTTGATTAGTTCAAGGTAGGAAGATGTCGATTATATAAAAAGATGTAGATCAAGGTAGGAAGATGTCGATCATATAAAAAGATGTAGATCAATGTAGAAAGATGTGGCGTAAAGGACGACTAAGAATGGAGTCGCCTCGTTCTGAATGCATATGTTGACCAGCTATGATGGCAGACAGGAAGCCCACGAGCCAGATTCCCATTCCCCTTCGAGCCTCTGTCTGAATCAACGGATCAGAAAGTTGAAGCCATTCAACGAGACTACCGCAGATACCAGAGAGGGTACGACGAACATGATAAGCTGACGGCAGACATGTCGAAGGAAGATACCCTCGCGTGCTGCAAGCACCTGGTGGAGGGATATTTTCCGCCTGGTCGAGATTGGTCCAGACGACTACAAAGGCTGCTTCAACGCCTGCGTTGACAAAGTGCTTCACCACGGGAATCCTCAAAGGCAAATTGTTGTGAGGATTCGTCCACCAAGTTTCCCTCGCATTGATCGCGAACTAGGTCACAATGGACTGTCGATATTAGCATTGTAATCGCATTAACCTTGTATGATTTCATCGGTTCGTGCAATTCTGCAACTTGCGGATTCCTAGTCATGCTATATCAATGACACGGTTTGGCCAAACCGCACAGGCGCAGACAAACTCGACTTACATACACTTGGCTACCATCTAGAAGAGAAGTCCCTGACTGGTAGAGCCCATGCTCTCCTAGTCAGCGCGAGGGATTATCCTTGGACTATGCTGACTTGTGCTTCAATTCACGGATGCCTCAACGTGGCACTGCTGTAGATGGTAGATCTCCTGTTCATGTGTGTCTCGTCAGGTCAGCCATTTCGAAAGTAATAGCGGTACTGGGCTTCCAACCTCACATATAACGAAAGCATTGCTACAAAGACCTCGGGCAACTGGGTCTCATGTGCTGTTTTCACTGAACAAGGTCCAGAATCCTAGAGCGGCCACAGTTGGCCAGGTTGATATATAAATAACTATATCTTGAACCAGAATGACTGAGAATATCGTCAGCACAACCCCCAGCGTGAAACAACTGGCCTTTTGAGCCAAACGGCTGCCGCCTTTACCGAGATGGCACGATATTACCAACTTTTCTTGAGGAGACAGGTTCGTCAATAGTCACATCAGAGTCCACTGAGACATGTTGAAGCATGAACTCCGAGGCGATGGAACTCAATAAGTCTCCAGTTACCTCGGAAAGTTGTCAGATCCTCGGCAGTCTCCCATCAACCCCATCGAATCCCTTACACACCGGCTCTGACCGATCATCTCCCCAGCACGCCTGCAAATAGAATCCCCAGATGCCCCTTATCCATATTCAGGAATTTCCTGTCATCGTCGTCCTGACATGCCCATTCGGATCGAGTTAGGCCAATTTCGACCAGGTTAAGGAAAAAAGCGTCATTCAAATACCCAGCGACTTTTAGCCAAAAGGGCAGGAGACTCGGTACCATATACCAACAACCGGCGAATTGTTTGAGCCCTGTTTACCCATATTGCGGCCTCTTAAATCCTTCCTTCTATAGGCTTCCTCTGCACTCAGGAAGCTTCCTATCCAATCGCCTTGCAAAATCGGGCCTATCAAGTCTGCCGCTCCTTGACAGTTGGAAGTGGATAGCGGCTATGTCTTTGCTAGATTGCTAGGAGAAGCATCGAGCCGGGCGTAAAGAAGGCTGCATCGTAGATGTTGTTTCGAACAAGGTCTGGGCATATTCCTCAATTGGACATCAGATGTATGTGTATTTAGGCAATTCTCATGGTAGGGCTGCGTACAAGCGTTACATTGAACATTTACGACCATAATTACCAATATTGGCTGCTAATATATGCAGCTGACGTGCAGCTTTCCATACATGTGACTGCGGCGATGTATCAATCCTCGGCCCATCACGATGTCTTCCAGGGATCAGTATAAAGTTGATCATGGAAAGTCGGAGAAATAGGCCACAGCTGGTCAGAAGGCAATCTAGGTAGGTGTTTCTAAAAATACCTCTGCTCAGTAATCCCCATCTTAAATCGCCGCTTGGACAACTAGACGAGATCCAGCTTCCGTTCAGAGTTAATGCTTCGTCTAAACTCGCCGCATATTAATCCGCTACTGTGCTTCCAGCATCTGACTTGGCGGACAGAAGACAAAATAATATTTTTACGTTCAACTTTGGATCTTAATGTCATACCGTGTTGAAAGTAGTGAAATATGTCTGAAATTCTGACTTGATGAACAGCTGAGGTACCTACTCATAGTATGTTGCGGCTATCATTCAGGAGACCTGCTTCAAACAACACTCAACGAGTCTCTGCAACCAAAGTAATGCTCTGCTCACGAAGGAACAAAGCTATTTGATCCTAGACCTTAAACAACATAAGCTTACTGTAACCTTCCTCTTCAAGATAAAATTCCCCGGCAGCAACAAGTGAGACTCGTCCGCCAAGCTGTCGGTGCAACTCCCCATCCGCGGCATCTAACGATGTGACTCCATCCATATGCACTATACTACACATCATATACATCCAATAGGCACTTGTGTATGTGTGTATATATATATATATATATATATATATATCAGCTGCCCTCGTTCATCAGCCATCGCTCTCAGCAACACACCAACATCTCCTCCACACCAAACAACCTCCAGTCAACCAAACCGCCCAAACAACAACTGCCCACCATGCACTTCACCACCGCCATCTTCACCACCCTCGCCCTGGCCCTCACCGCGACCGCCGACCAGCGAATCTGCTTCCCCATCCCCGGCCAGCCCGCCACCGTGCCCCAGGACATCCTCGACCTCGACACCCAGACCAAGCTCGACTGGGCCGCCGACCTCTGCAAGCAGTTCACCTACCCCGTCGACGGCCTGCAGACCGTTTTGACGCCCCTCGAGGAGGGGATCCAGGGCTCTGACGGCAAGATCTACGGCCTGCAGGTGGTAAGTCAAACCACCTACCTACCTACCTACATCTCACCAAGTTATTTTTCGCATACATACAATGTAGCGAGGGCAAATGCTTACTTTGGGGAATAAACCTAGTCCCTTCAATACATTCGCACAGAGGACCAGTGCAACGTAAGTTCCCATACACACTTCTCTGCAAGACAAAAAAGCCGAAAGAAATGCCATATCCTAACATGATGAGGACTAGGTGGATGCCAACGATTTGGTCGGACCCGATGCTTGCCCCGGCGGTGGCCTCCTGACGCTCAGCACTCCTTTCGAGCAATGGACATACCTCACTGCCCTGAACTAAAGTTTTGACACCCTCCGCTCAGAGGCAACGTCCACGGGCATCACTCAGCTCCTCATGGCCACGTTGAAAGGAAAGCTGGTTATGTTTGGTCCAGTCAGATACAAACAAGTAAAGCAATTCGACTACATATTGTGCAATTACAGCATTCCCTCTCGTCATCTATCCTGCATGTGAACCTCTTTACACACTTAGACAAAGCCATATACGCGTAGCAGTCGGCTTTTTTGGCCACACGACGACGCATATCAGACTTATACTTGTCACTTATACTGCCTGTGAATTTACTTCATTACAAGGCATTTCCCATTCAACAGCTCTTCATATAAATAGTTAAAAAAAGAGCCAATCGTTCAGGAAGAAAACTGCGATCCATTGTGGCGCCAAGCAAAAGCATCAGGTACTTATATGCCATAGCGCTGATCCTAGTCAATCAGAAGAACAATCCGATATGGTGTAGTGGCTAACATCGCTCGCTCTCATTCAACGAGCGCCGAGCAGCCCTGGGTTCGATTCCCAGTATCGGAGTGGAAAGCACCCTTCATTTTTTGCTTTGTTTTGCAACAACCACTTATCAAAAGTTCCTCAGTATCGAAACTTCATCATTTTCCTTCTTTTTTTACCCTCTCTATACCAACCCCACCCCAAACGCCTTCATTATTGGATCATCAACCTCCTTTGATGATATGGGGTTGCATACAATACATTACATGTTTCTGCCATCGTCACTTTCAAGCGCACTCTACCGATGGCTACATGTAGTGAACGTTGGCCTCGCGCGGAGCAGGTTATCAACCACTTCATGTCGCCACGAGACAACGAGTCAAGCACATCCCCATCTGCTTAATCTCAACATCCGATATGGTGTAGTGGCTAACATCGCTCGCTCTCAACTTCAGTTGAAGATCCGAGCAGCCCTGGGTTCGATTCCCAGTATCGGAGAACTTTGCGGTTTATCTTTTTGTCCCTTTTCGCCAGTGTTCTTCGTTTTGCCCATAGACGCGGGATTATCAATACAGTTTTTTGTCTTGCTTCGACCTACTACGGTTACAACATGTCACAGGAGCACACACAGGAGTGGGATAAATCTTCTATCATTCTTCAAGAGTGAAAAAGTAAAAACTTTACCCCCACAAGCAAGCTGTCAGGTATCCCAGAGGATGGCTGCTTGTCCTGGCCCAAATCCAAGCCTGCCGCTTTCCTCCTCCACGGCCCGTACGGCCTGCTGTTCCGCTTGATTTTGATGCAGATGAAGCATCCGTTCTCGATTAAGTGAGAAGAGAAGGAAACGGGCTGAAAGGAAACGAAATAAAACGAAACTCTTTAATACACACAAAGGCAATCCTTTTATCGTTGAATCAACAAAAACCTCTCATGAACTCGTTAGAAATGAACAAAATAGTGTAAGCGGCGAATGAGTAAGCATTTGCATCATGTTTGTGCAACAATCCTTGTGTGGTTCGCAATCTTTAGTTTTCAAACCCCTGGTAGTCGAGGTTGCTCCAATCTATCTGGTTGAAGATGTCGGGCTGTGTGGTTTGGGAGAAGCCGAGGTTGGCACTTGGCATATCGGTGAAGAGGGACTGGAAAACATCCGTCTTGTCTACCGTCGCCGGGAACAGCTGAAAGTCGGCGCCGTCGGCGGTGTACGACTCGTCAAAACCTTCGTCGACCTCACGCAGCGAGGTCGGAGTGTACAGTACGGCATTCTGTTGAGCATTGGGGGAGAACTGGGGCTCGCCCATGACAGGAACGGTCTGGCATGGCTCATGCTGGACATGGTAGACCGGCATCTGCTGAGGCATCATCTTGGTGTACACCTGTTCAGGAGTGGGGAGCTGGGCGGGAATCTGAACATGAGCGGCGTAGATGTCCTCGTCATTGATGATGAAGGTGGAACCGTTCTGGTAGGGAGGGTACTGCTCGTACGAGGACGTTGCAGAGGCGGGGGAAAGGTTCTCGAGACCCAAGTCCATGGCGTCAATGGTGTTGGGCTGCGCGCCGTAAGTTGCGAGCCAATCGTCATCAGCCGGGTACACGGGGAAGTCGGTGGACATGACCTGGTCCTGGGGAGGCGTGGGCACGCTGTAGCTGGGCGTGGTGGAAGGCGTAGACACGTTGCCGAGAGGAGGAGTCTGCTGGGCAATGGAGCCGTTCTGGCTGGGGGCCTTCTTGCCGTTGGTCTTGGTGCGGATATAGGTCCAGCCGTGAGCCTTCTCCATGTGCTGCTTGCAATTCGACTCACGCTTCGACTTGTACGGGCAAGGCTTGAAGAGGCATTCGTACATGGCAGGGGCGTCCGAGTGCTTGTCGTTGATGTGGCGGTCCATTTCCTTCTCGGTGGGCCAGCCGTAGTCGTGATACTTGCAAGTGGGAATAGGGCACTTCCAGGGACGAGAGTGAGTCTTCTCGTGCTTGGTGAGGTCGCAGGGGCGCTTGAACTCCTTGGTGCAGCCGGGCTCGCGGCACTTCTTGGGCGCCAGCTCCTCGGGCGTGGCATTCTTCTTCCGGCGGGCCATGGACCGCATGATCTCCTCCTCGTCCTCACGCTGCTCGCTCAGGGAGCGCTTGAGTGGCGTAGGGGATTCGGTCATGTCGACAATCTTTCCGGTGGCCATTGAGTAGGCAGTGCCGTCCTTCTTGACGCGGACGAGCTCGGCAGGACGGCCGTTCTCGGCGACGCCGCCGTAGAGGCGAACCTCGTCAGATCTTGACGGGGCGTTAGTAGGAGTCTCGACGTCTACGAGAGGAATGAAGCGTGGTAGTACGTACGGGTCAATGTCCATATCGTCGGCAAGGCTTCCCTTTTCCTTGATGGCGGCCAGTTGCTTGCCGTACTGGTAGATTTGCTCCTTCAGGTCGATAAAGTATCCGTTAGTGTAAGGCCGGTCGCCGGGGCGAATTTGTTCGCGGTCGGTGAGATATTCGACTGTCGCTTGAATGCATCGGACGGACGTGAGGCAGAAATCAAGGTATAAGGCGGCGGACTTGGCCTTTTCCTTTTGACGTAACATCCGATAAGCATCACCCCAAACACCATCATCGGTCAGAAGTCGACTTACCGGTGCCATGAAAATCAGGGTCTTCTCGAGATCTCGCAAGCAGATGATCTCCTTGGATCGAATGCGCCGAGGAACATCCAGGACGATGGGCTGGAACTCCTTCAACGTGGGCTTCTCCAGCAGAGGGCGGAGAGTGTGTTCGCGGATGCGGTTGACCGCACGGTGGCTGAGGCTGGGAAGCATCGCGGTGGTGCTCGAGGCGGCCGACCTTGTCAGGGCGGAGGCCTGGGGCTTCTTTGTGGAGTCGGCGGCACCAGACTTGTCGTTTGTCGAGACGACTGAGCTGCCAATGCCGCTGTCAGAGGCGTGGTTTCTGGTGCGTCGAACGGAGCGAGGGCGCAGGACCCTTCGCTCAGGCTCTTGTTTGTTCATGGCGGGATCGACGACGGGAGGTTCGAGGAAGCCGCGAGGGACAGGCAAGCTGGTGTCGCGAAGCGGCTTCGGCCGAGGGCTCTTGTCGGAGAGCGAGGCTTTGGAGAGGGCCTCGTCGATATCGTTCAGAGTCATGGCAATACGACGACGGCTTGCGTCAACGACATCATCAAAAGCCGATTGAGACCTCGTGAGAGTAGGAGGGACGAAGTCGTTGACCGCGGATGAAGCGCTGGGAGATGTAGGAGAGTGAAAGGTGGCACCCTTGCGGAGGGTCATGGTAGTCTTAAGAGACAGGCCATGTTCGCAGTCGGTTCCGGGACGAGTCACCGGTGTCCTTCTGCGGGGGTTTGAGAAAGACATGGCGGCTGAGATCTGTGTTCTTTTCCTTCCGTGAGTGGGGAAGATGTAAGAGATATGGCCACACGAGTCCTAACAGTGTAGCAGCAAGCGGTTAGCTTCCTGGTCGATAGAAGAGATGTTGCAGTGAGGCTCTTTGGAGGGGGGTCGACAGGCGTGTGAGTCACAAGCCCGAGATAGACGTGGGCTATGCAGTCACCGAAAAGGAAACGGCAGAACTCAAGACGCTGAGGCCAGCAGGGAAGAGGACAGGACAGATATATGAATAAATAGAACGGTAACCCGTACCAATTAGCTGACTCAATGGGGTCGGGCGGTCGAACCAGTGGCGGCTCTCGAGGGCAAAGCGGACAGTGCCCAGACGATCAATCTCGGACAGGAGCGACCACCACTTATGCTATCGCGATGGACGACGACGAGGAGGAGGGTGGCAGGGCAAGCAGACGCTACACGAACGATGCTGATGCCGGAGGAGGATCCGTCTCGAGATGAAATCTGACGAAGAAGAGAGATCGCGAGGAGGCGGAGAGATGCGAGAAAAAACGCCTTGACAAAGACGGGGCGTAAATTGGATATATGAACGCAAGGACTCGGCACCGACGGGGGTGGCAGACGAGAGCCAGACGAGGAACTGAGACACTCGAGGGAGTGGAATAAAGAAGCGGAGAGCCGGGGGGCGTGTGCAGAGCAGGAAAGCAGTATGTATCGTACGAAGTACCTGTCTGTGCTGTGGAGGAGCGAGGAAGACAAGGACGACAACGACAAACGCGACGATGCTGCGTATCTGTACTTTCGTACCACTCGAGAGGCCGCTGGACGAGGAAGAGGCAACGGATCGAGGTCGACGAGGAGGAAGACGAACGACGAAGAGTGAAAGCGAAGCGTGATTGATTAGAAACCAGGCCGCTCAGCCCACCGCAGGCTGCTGCCTGATCCGGCGGCCCGTTTGGGCATAGCGCGGGGGTGGGCTGAGGCGTAAGCGCTGCGGAGGAGGAGCATCCCTGCCGGGCAAGTCGCGGACGATAGCGAGAGCCGCAAGAGTACCTGCAGCACTAACAGCCAACCAGCCACAGCACTTTAGCACGGCGCCGTCGCAGCACCAGCGACCCGACCAGCGCGCACCGTTGGAGCACTGGAGGTCTTGCGCCGGGGGGCCAGACAGCGCCTCTCAGTGCACCATGAGTCGCTGCGGGCGGCCGGTTGGGGGCCGGCACACGCGCTGGCGACGCCCCCAAGCAAGGGAGCCGGCAGCGCGCGCCAGATCCGCGTGGTAGTCGCGCAGGTCTCGCCGCTATCGCCAGCAACAACGTGTCCACACTGTTTCCGTGTATTCCGGCTCGGAAATCAGCAGCGCAGCAGGTGCGACCTTTGACCCGTCCGGCCTGGCAGCCCCGGCTTCTTCTCGAGGGCCCGCGACTCCAAGTTGGGCTTTGCAACTCCGCCGTTTGTACGATGAAGTCACCGCATTTCATGCTGCGCGCAGAGGGTACTTTTTGCTACTCGTACGTGGAATTTCACGTCAATTTACCGTGACAAAGGAGATGGAAGACGGTGGTGGACTGGCGCTATTACGTGAACTATCATTCGCTTCTCTTGGGATTAGTAACCCGAACGCCTCCATTGACCATCCATTCTGTCGGCGACTTCTCAATGACACGAAAAAGAGACAGAATAGTCTTCACCCGCGCCGGAATCGAGCACCCACTCTCCCTCTCTCTCTCTCTCTCCAGGTCAAGATGACGGCAACAAGGAGCAGCAAACCCCCGAAAAATGCCACCTCGTGTGACGGTTGGTGACGTGCCGGACAGTGCCAAAAGCCCAGAAAGCCCAGAAGCCCAGGAGCCCATCGTGGAGCCTCGCGCAGGCGCATGGATCTCTTCTCCATCCCGTTGGCTGTGGCTTGCTGCCCCGACCCGCAAAAAGAGGCCAACAATGCCCTGCTTTCGACTGCTTCCCCTGGTCTCCGTTCTTGGGGTTTGTGTTTGCTCTTTTGCGCTTTTTCCCTCTTCGTCTCCATCTCCCTTGCATCTGCGCCACTGGGGGAGAGAGGGATCAGTAATTCCAGGGCTAGTTCACGAAGTCCCCCCCCCCCCCCCTGCCACAGAGCTGCAACTGAGCCACCGCTGGATCGATGCGAGTGAGAACTATTACGGAGTACGGCAATGATGATAACACGGGCTGCATCAACGCAACGCAAGAGAGATGGAAGAGAACATCCGAGAGGGCGCCACCCGTGAGCTTTTTGCCCTCATTCTCCTGCTACATCGTCTCTTGTTGGCGGCACGAGAGCGACAGCACAGCAATGCGCCGCATTAGCAGGACGCAGGTATTCTCACGCGCATGCAGCACGGAGTCGATAGTACTTGAATCGCATGTAATTACTGTACGCCCCATGCTCGGAACTGCACTGCCAACCCCGTGCGAGTAAGACTACAAAGGACAGCAGCAGTAGCAGCAATGTAACGAAATTATCGACTGCGAAGGCATTGATGGACATGCCCAAGCCCATCTCATTCTCGTCCAACCCACCATGCCGCTTTAGGCAATCACCGAAAGTGGCCCTAGAACTTGAAGCACTTGGACACTCAAACCTGCAAAGCTTCGCCCATCTGTCCAGCCCGTCTCCCATCTCCTCGATCCACCCATCCGAGCAACTTTGTTCCCTTGTACTTGCTACCCCCGCCCGTCTGTGTTGCAGTTCTCTCGGTGGCCGCTTTCGACTCTCTTTCGGGGTGGCTACAGGTTGGTTGTGCCGGCTGTTGATGCGGCCGGCTTGTCTCGTCTGCAGTTCTGGTCTGGGGTTTCGGGCAACCTGATTCGCTGATTGTCCTCGCCATCAAGGCCATCCGGGTTCGATGGCGTCGAGGACTTGCTTCATCTGCTAATCATGTAGGACTCTTGGCAGATAAGACAGTTCACAGAGAGCGGAGGACAAGCATCTCCTCCTCTTCCTGCTGCTGTGTTCTGCTGGGCAGTAATGCATGCATGTCCATGTAGGTAGTAAGTCGCATGGACGCCCTCCATTCACTCATTCACGCTTCTTGGGCTCGCGTAGATGCGGCTCTGTCTGTATGCGCGAGATGCTGCATGCTACGGTGCTCCTACTGGTAGGACACGGCGATGCAAGGACTTAGGACTGTGAGACTAGTATCTCGCACCCTCCAAGTTCTCTCCCCTCCCCTGTCGTCTTCCAAGACGTGACAATGTTGTGTGCTGTGCTGTCTTTGATGCATGTCAAATCCGGCCAATGCCACTTTGCTCTCCCCTCCCCTCTCGATCCACACATAGGGCTGGACGACAAAAGGGTTGAGAGATGCAGCTCTGCCGGCTTGAAACTTCTTGACTCATTCATTCCCTGCCTGCCGACTTGACGCAGATCGACTGGTCTCAGGCAATGTGACCAGCGGTGCATATTATCCGTAGCCCAGATACAGTAGTACATACGTGCTCCGTATCGTTCCCGTCCTGTAGCATCACGGCATCAGGAAGCCCAGAAGTTCGGCTTTTTTAGGCACTGCCCGTCGTCCTTGTCACTGCAGCCCTGCCATGCTCGATGCCGAAAGAGCTCCAGTCAGACTGTATGGACCTTTGCCAACGTCGGCACATCACCGCCCATGCATACAAGCCCAACCACAGGAGATGCGACAAACAGGCCAATGAACCCCAAGTTCCCCCGATCCCCGACTTCTGCACTCTCTTCTCAAAACGGTACTGCAAAGATACTTCTCCCACCGGCCAAGGGCACACATGATCTCTCAGCGCTCTATCGATCCTTCTCTCTCACAGCCAATCACAAGGCCTCATATCGAGCAGCCTGCCAAGGCACCCAAATTCTCAACCCTCGTAACCCCCATCTTTTTCGTAACCCGGGATGACATACCCGTCCATCCATCCGTCGAGAACCCTTGGCACATGTCAAAAAGCCCAGCAAATGGGCCCCCTTTCTACTGCGTACCACAACCCAAAAAAAGACAATGGGGGTGCAGAGGAAAGGGTCCCTTTTTCCTCCTTTCCCACAAGAAAGCGGGGGAGAGAGAACTTGGGTCGAAATGCGGCTGCCTTGAACCAAGCCAAGCGTTTTCGCCAGGGGGGGAGCGCGGCTCATCGTCAGTAAAAGAAAATTGAGGCTCTGCTGCAAAAACAAAAGTACGAGATGTGTTCTGCTCTTGTGGCCACGTTTGATACCATCCTGGACGATTCTTGGGCTTGCGTCGGCTGGTGATGTAATCCTTCACCCCCTGGTTCCTGATCTTAGCCGAGAGGATGCATCTGACGAAGTCTGGCGCGCAGCCGCTTGCGCGTTTCCCCCTCCGTTTCGTATCCATGGATCGTAATCAATCGTAGCTACTGCTTTCCCCTTTGTACGACTCCATTTTCCTGAGGCAGCCGAATTCTTGAAGAATACCTAGTAGTAACAGACGAAGCGGGCATCTCAAGTCCTCAGGCAGACGAAATCCTGGAAATAGCAACAAAACAAACGACCATCTCGGAAATTTACACGCCCAAAACACACACACACCCTTGAACTGCACGCAAGGCAACGAAATTATTTCCAGGCAGCTTCGAAAAAACTCACATTGACGGTTTCAAGATCTTTAGTTCAAGGGAACTCTTGAAGTGAACCAGAAACTTATCCGCTATTGATTTTTTTTTTCCCCTACACGATGTGTTTTAGGGACTGGAGGTGAAAGCTGACAACGTCGTGATGTTCGCTTGTCTGCGCATCATCTGGGCTAACCTACACGTACCTCCTACCTTACCCTTGACTGTCTGTCGTGATGCAGCAGCGGCAGCTCAAGGCCCTCATTTCCTCTGCCGTAGAATTGTTCAAAAAGAAGGCAAGATAATTTTCAACTCATTCATCATGACTTTACTGTCATCACTTGGCCGAGTGTTCAATTCGCCCAAATAACCAAGTGTTTGGCGGACAGGCTCTTCCTGAATGCTCAACCCACCAAAAAGTGCTGCAAGACGTTCAATCCAAGTATATGCACCCAACCGATGGTTCCAGTCATCGACTGTCCCCATCGCCATTCAACTCCATGTTCACAAACATCTCCACTCCATTCAAGTGCTGTTACAAAGCCGTTCAACTCGAGCATCTCCCATCATGTCTCCCACCCTCAACCCATCGTAGATATAACTAACCACAGTCCATCGTAGAATCCAAAGGCCATCCCATCATCCATCCCCCCATCCCAAAAATATCCAAACTCCTCCAAAGAAACCCCCCCCTTTTCCAAATCCCACACTTCCCCCCCCAAATGTCCCCATCCAACCGGCCTCGACGACGGTCATTCACCCGCCAGCCCCTGGTGCGCCGTCTCCGAACCTTTGTCCGGAGCCTGTCCATCACCATGCCCAGCAACAAGCCCACATCCCGGGATACCCATACCTCCTCCTCTGCGTCTACTTCATCTTCAACCTCAACTTTGGTTGAAGTAGAGTCAAGTCCAGACTCGGCCTTATCCCTAGAAACAGCCTCCATCTCCTCCAACCCAAGTGACACCTCCTTCTCCTCCTCCTCCTCCTCTGCATGGATCACCGATGACGAGCCCATCGAGCCAAACCCAGTAGATGAGTACATGACCAATGCCTTTACCCAGCAAACCCTCCCCTCCCAACTCCAATCCACCTCCATATCCTCCTCCTCCTCCTCCTCCTCCTCATCATCATCATCCACAGCCCACCCATACGACACCTACACCCCCCTAACCAGCACCTCCCTCCACCCACCCCAAGCAAACCCCCACGAAATCGCCTCCAAACGCACCCAATTCTTCCTCCACCTCCGCGCCTTCTACCAAGGCCTCCTCCCCGACAACCCCTTCCACGAGCTCCGCGCCATCTCCTCCGCCCTCTTCGGCGCCATCCTGCCCCCCGACATCTACCTCATCTCATCCCCTCCCTTCCCGCCCACCACCTCCACCCGCGGCAGCATCCGCCTGCACTTCGTCCGCGCCGCCCTCAGCATGCCCCCCTCCGCACCGCTCTCCCAGATCGAAGGCTTCATCGGCCGGAACCCGTCCGTCGTGAGCCACTGCTGCTTCAACACCCAGCCCTTCTCCGACGTAGTCTTCAAGCCGCAACAACACCATGCTCACCAGATTTATGTGGCGCGGGGTGCTGCGCTGGAGTGCAATGGGCGGTTGTTAAGGGCGTTGAAGGAGATTGCTTGGGAGGATGAGAGCGCGGATTGGGTGGTTGGTCTCGCGAGGAGGGAGGATGGGAGGAGGCTTTCTGCGCTGTGTAAGGTGAAAGGGAAGAGTATCTTGCCGAGTGTGCGTGAGAGGATGTTGAGGGTGGAGGAGAGGGGGGAGAGGCCTCTTCAGGATGAGCAGTGGCATAGGCAGGCTGTTAAGGAGATGAGAAGGGAGCGCCCCAATAGTTTGCTTCGGAACGTTGTTCTGCCTCAAGATTTGGCGGAGGAAGAAGATGTGGTGTTGAGTAAGGAGTCTTTATAGAGGATGGGCATATAGGGGTGTATTTCTCACTACAAATCCCAGAACGAGGGCTGATTTAGCTTATATTGCATTGTAACTGTCAAATGAGAAGCTCAAATCAACGCCATTCAAGCAGAGCAAATCTCCATCACACATGAGCCCACCCATTCTCAACCAAGACCTGCATCTCGTTGATCAAGCAAAACTCCCCCGGCTCGCGATTCCCACTCTTCTCCTTCTCCCACCGTCGCACCCTCGATCTCACCGTCCACCCGTCAAACGTCCACGTCGTCCACCTCCTGATCCGATTCTCCCACAGCCCGGTGAAGATGTCCCATCCAGACACCCAGGACCTACCTGGCGGATGCGTCGCGGCGTAGGCCGGATAATTGTATCCCACCCTCACCCTCGGGTTGAGATACACGCCCTTGGACTTGGACAGCGGGTTGTCCGCGTGGATGAGGCAGCATTCGGAGCCCTCGAGGTGGTGCGCGGCGAGAGAATCCGGCACGGCGCGGAAACGCAGCTGCGTCGACGAGACAAAGGGGTCGGCCGGCATGACAACTAGTAGCAGACAGAAAGCACAAGCATTAGCTTCACACACCCTGAACACATCTTCCCAATAAGACCTCCCAGTGAAGGACTCCAAGGACCAACCTATGCCATTCCAGCAGCTGGTGACGGGCACCGCGTCCATATGGTTCACCAGCGCATTTCTCGAGTCCCTCGCCCCAAAGTACGGCCACGTCTGCATCGCGTGCGCCTTTCCCTCACTGTCGCGCAGCGCAAAGGTGTCGTAGTACAGTGGCGGCTTCGAAAAGTCTAGAGAGCACGCCGCGGCATAGTTCCCGCCGTTGGTGTCCATCAACGTCAACACGTCGTCGATCTGTCCACAATTATTCAAGCCACGTTAGCCCTTCGGTCTCCAATTCCCCCCAGCCATCAACTTCTTCGTCGAAGCAAAACAAGAAAAACGATTGATTGGCTTGTGCTCGTACCGTAAACACCACGTCGTTCAGAAACAGCACCTTGTCAAACGTAACTCCCTTCTTGCTCAGCTCGACTAAATCCCGTATCGTCCTGTTCCTCAGCCTCGCAAGGTAAGGGATCCTTCTCAGTTCCCTCTTGCCCCTCGCCGTATCGATCCACCCCTCCCCTCGCTCCTCGGCCGGCTTGTTGATCTCGTCCTTGTGCGTCGTGTCCGATACCTCGACCCGCCTCGGCACGTTCCTCTTCTCGAGCTCCGCGTCCAGCTCCCGCAGCGCCTGCTTGCTGTCGTCCCAGCTGCCGCTCTCGAATATGCTCACAAAGACATTGTCCGCGCCAAACGTCTCCGTCAGCTGAACCACCGCATCGTTCCAGTAGTCCTTGAGCACCTGCGCGTTGTTCCAGTGCATGCTCGCAATGTAGATCCTCTCGCGCGGCCTCGCCGCCCCGCTGCCTCGGCGCAGGAGGTGCTGCCGGTCTCCCTCGACGATCTTATGGTGGATTCGGAGGACATCGAGGAGGTTGATCAAGAAGAAAAGGAAGAGCACCACTCTCGTCGTTCGCCAGCGAATGATTCGACGGAGGTACAGCCGGTTCGCTGCCGATAGCAGCATCGTTGTGTTAGAGATAAAACGAGTGAATGACAAGTAAAGGCACGAGATCAGATGCTCGCTAATGTCATGAAATAATGCTTCGTATGCCAGCCCATCGCGCCAGTCTACAGGCGCGACGCGGCAATTGCTGTCTGAGCTCGTGTGTAGCTCGACAAGCTCCCCTTGACAATGGAGAGCGCAAGTTGAATGATGCTTGCTGAGCTCCGGTCAACACGCATAGCTTCAATGGGGGCTTACGTAACAAAAGGGGAAGACAGAAGTAAACAAACAAGACATCCACGTCGTCAGAAGCCGACATCTTTTGATTCGAGTCCTGTGTACGAAAGCAAATCTATATTCATAGGGGAACAAACAGCTTGATTATTCTGCATTGAAGCGCCAAAAAAACGCGCCTAGGTTTCATATTTTACCAACTCCATATGCTCCTCCTGACCTCCCCTTTTATTGTACACATGCAAGCAAATCTCCTCGATCAACAAGCCCCTTGATCTGTCGTCTTCTACGACAACAGTTGGCAACACATTTCATCGGCCATCATCAGTGGGCACGAGTCTGCCACCTCCCACCCTGCATCGGCCCCTTCTTCAGCATCATGGCCACCCTTTCGGGAGCTGTCATCGTCTACTTGGCAAAGTGAAGATCATATCCAAGCCACTTTCTCCTGAGAACCTCCTCAACAGACAGTCCGGGGTAGCCATATGTCAAAGGCAGGAAGAAGTACCAGCTCGCCGCGGCGGCAGCAAGAATCACGAAGCAAGCGATCCAGGCGCCAGCCATACTCTTGCCAGCGAATCGCTCACGAGCTGTGATGTGTCTCTGAGGACCGGTAGCTTTGGGGTTTTTGGATCGAGAAGGCTCCTCGTCCGCCGGGTCCGTGTTGAAGATGAACTCGACGAGGGAGCCCGTGACCAAGCAGGACGCCAGATGGGCAGGTAAGTAGTGGTGCAGGAAGAGCTGACGGCCCATGAGGAAGAATGGGAAGTAGTGCGTGGCCCAAGCAAGGAAGAAGAAGCCGGTAGAGTTGTACAGCCGGGAACGGGTGCCTTGAAACACGTTAGAACGCACCGAGACTGGTGCAGGTGAAGAGACCATGAGAGGGGATTACTTACGATGATCCAGGGCATCGATGCCTCGGCGCAGCGAGACTTGATCAGCTCCGATGATGCCGGCAAAGACAGCCAACAGACTGCTGGCGAGCCACCAGCCAATGGGGTTGCCCACAAAGTAGATTTGCTGGCGCGTGTCATTCTGCGTCCAGAAGCTCACTCCGCGGAGAAGGAATGGCCAGTGGTAGGGCTGGCTGGCGTAGGGGTGGCTGCTGGTCAGCTTGTTGTTGTGGTAGAACATGGACCTCTGCAGCTCAAACCACTTGCGGAGGAACGGCAGCGACTTGACCTTGCGCTGCTCCTTGTGGCGGCGAGCGTCGTCTTCAGGGAGCGAAGGGATATCCTCGGCAATCCAAACGTTGGAGCTGGGCGTGATCTGCTTGTTGCCGTTGATCTCCTGCTGCCTGTAGGCCCACTCAGGAAGAGGGGTGGTGTGAGTCCACATGGCCACCTTGCTGGGGAAATGAATGAGCTTGAAGTGGCTGGCAACGGTCTTGAAGTCCTGGCCGGTCTTGCCTCCCTCGATCCGGATCTCGAACAGAGTGTCGTTTTGGCGATCGCCGAATGCTTCTTCGGGGCTCACACAGGTGAACTCCTGGTTGGTAGGGTAGTAGGGCGAGGCGACATCGTGAGAGAGCAGGATCTTGTCCGTGACAATGTGTCGAAGTCGAACCAAGTCCTGGTTCTTAACGTTACGGCCGAGCTTCTGGTCATTATCGGCAGGGAGAATCTGCCAGTAGTTGTTCGTATCGTTGTGGGGGTAGCCGGTGACCTGCTGGCCTTGACTGGAGATGCGGCCGTCGTCATATCGCAGAGGGTAGGTGTCGGGGTGGCTGTGAAGGTACGCCTTGGTCTCCTTGTGCCTGATGGTGATGGTGTCGTAGTACTGGATGTCGACGGCGCTTGCCAGCATGACGTTGTCGCTCAGGGTCTCCTGGAACTCGGGAGTCATGAAGTCGTCGCCGGGACCGGATCGGGTCAGGACGGCAAAGTGCACCTGGAACCAGAAGAGGTAGAAGAGGAAGGGCAGGACGATGAGACCGACGGCGCGGGCTGCAAAGTGCTTTCCAAACTGCGGCATGCTGATGGCTCCATAGCGACGCTTGATATCCAAAAGATCCCACAGATCGATGACGACGGCAGAGCCAATGGTGACAAAGGCAAAGAGACCGACGTACTTGGTCGAGATGTCGCAAGACAGCGCAAAGCCAGTCAGGATGAGCCACTTCCACCACTTCCGGCTAAAGGGCTCGTGCCGCAGCTTGTAGAACTTGATGTAGAACAAGAGACTGCAGGCCATGGCGAGCACCAGGGTAGCGTCGAGCAGGATGAGGCGTGTCTGGCCAATGTGCGCATTGTCCAAGAGGATCAGGCCGGTCGCGACAAGGCAAGCAGGCACACTATAGCCAGACTCCCACATGATCAGGTATGTGACCGACACAGTCAATGCGCCAAGGAAGGCGGGCAAGGCTCGGAACGCGACGTAGGGCACCTTGTTGGCCACGTAGGAATCGCCAATGTTGTCGAAGTGGAAGTGGCCGTCGTATCCAACCAGCCAGCCAACGAAGGCGAAGAGCAGCTTGGCGAAAGGGGGGTGGACATCGAAGAAGTACGTTCGCTGGAGGTAGTAGGAGGCAAACTATCGGAAATTGGAGAGTCAGCCTGATGCCATTGAACAGTTGCAGCTGGACAGCATGTGCAAAGTCGTACCTTTCCGAAGTGCACCTCGTCAAAGACAACCTCGTCGGGGTGGCTGATGCCCCAGAATCGAGTGACGAAGCCGAGGATCGTCACCAGCGTCAGGGCAAGCTTGTGCTCGAGCTCGCCTCTCTGGATGTTCTGGCGCGACGACAGAGCCGCCTTGGAGAGCTTGTCGAGCTCGACCTCGGGGACGAACGCCGACTCGGCAGGCGGCTGCTTGGACGCAACATTCCGCTGTCGCAGGCTGCCCTGCGGCGTTGGACTTCGAGCCATGGCTCTGGTAGGCTTCGCAGAGAAGAAGAACAGTCAGCAATGTGCGAAGCTCTGCGGTTCGCGATCGGAGGCGACGCTGGATTGGACCTTGGAGACGTTGAAGGCTGAGACCTGCGCAACTTGTCTGCAAGGCCGCGGTTCAACGGCACAAGAACTTACAAGAATGGGGAAAAGACTGCCTCTGCAATGGTTCGGGGCGAGAATCAAAGGAGAAGGAAAAGGAAAGGGGATAAAGGAGAGAATAGAATGGAATGGAAGAGCAGGAAAGGAAAAAGAAGAGCCTCGCGATGGCGAACTGGCGATGGTCGAGCCTCTCCGTGAAGTTCAAGGTTGGATTGGAGCTGAGGCGAACGTGTCTTTACCTTGGGTGTTTCCGGAGCCACTAAAAAGGCGGCAGGGGTTCAGCCACGCCACAGGCAATACGTAACTGTGGCCTCGCCTCGTCCGGACCCGGCAGTTGCTTCGATATTTCGAGTCATGGAAACTTTGATTGCTTTGCTCGTCTGTAAACATGAACCGAATCCAATGTCATCATTGAATTGATTACTGGCTACATACAAAATCAAAGAAGACATGTATGGTGAATCAATGTGTACCTGAAAAATATTCACACAATGGCCCTCACATGCCAGCTAAGTTGTCTCGAACCCCTACTACTACCAGGTACGACGCCCTACTCCATTTTTGGCAACAATTGCTTGTACTAGTATATGACGCGTAAAGGGGAGCTTCGAATGTTGGCCATTGAATTGAACAGTTCGTAAAGTGGCCAGCTCAGATTATCTATGACAGGCCTCCGTATTTCTAGTACTCATAAGAAGCTGACATTACACTCGTAGCGGGACATATAAGTGAAACAAGATGCCCCCTTGTCATTTTCAGGTATACTGTTGGCTCAAGCTTCCACTCTGTGTGCTTGGTGCTGGATCCCGTCATTGAAGTTCATCGTTTGATTCATCTCCAGGGCTGCATCTTAAGTAAGCGCCGGTCTCTGGGCCGTCAAAACCCGCCTCTCTCCAGTCCCAAGGCGGGGGAAGCTTCCGGCCTTCGGAGGGGGAGGCACCCAGCCCAAGCCTTTTACTAGGTAGCCCCGGCCCAAGCTCACCAAGACAAGCTTTACCACTTAAGATAATAAACCGCATCCAGACACAAACACTAGCTTCAACCTTTCGACTCTTGGAACCATCCAATTCAACTCCCAACGACCTGTAAAGTAGGTTCATCTTTCCATGTCGTTGCCAATCACTCGCAGCCTGGCCCGGCCTCTCGCCAGAAGAAGCCTCGCTGCTGCTGCTGTTGCTGCTGCAAGACCCAAGTTTACACCCCTCACAGCTTTTGCCAGATCGAAATCTACAATGGCCGACCAGACCATCGTCTACACCAAGGACGCCCCCTTCCGTGAGTTCATCCCCCGTATCTATGTTCATACCAATCATCGATCCCACACTGACAATGGGACAAAACTCAGCCCTGGGCCCTTATGTAAGTCCCTCACCATCACACCACCTACTACTACAAATGCCAAGGGTTGAACAATCTCTCAGCTGACAATTCTCCATCCCCAGTCTCAAGCCATCAAGACCCCCACGGCCATCTACTGCTCGGGCCAGATCCCCCTCACCGCCGAGGGCACGCTGATTGACGGCACCATTGCCGAAAAGACGCGCCTGTGCTGCGAGAACCTCGACGCCGTCCTCAAGCAGGCCGGCTCTTCCCTCTCCAAGGTCGTCAAGACGACCATTTTCATCTCCGACATGGCCCACTTTGCTGTAAGTCGACATTCCTGGACTTTCTACTAAAAGAATTGCCATCTCATCATTCTTCCCTTGATAGGAAATGAACGGAGAGTACGAAAAGTTCTTCTCCCACAAGCCCGCCCGAAGCTGTGTTGCCGTCAAGACGCTGCCCAAGAACGTCGATGTCGAGATTGAGGCCATTGCCCTGCCTTAAACGGCTCTTGCATGAATTGCTGTAAAAGTTTACATGTATACATATTCTTACACGCTAAGACAATCCAATGAGTTAAATACACTTGCGTCGGTTCCAAGATCTTGACATGTAGCATGCTGGCAGTGTCGCCATAACCAGCTACCCATACGAGGACAACGCGTTGTATAAATCCCCACCAATATCTCACGACCATCAGCTCTAAGCGTTCCAAATGACCACGCGTCCATCAACACCGCTCGCTAGAGTATTTGTTAGTAATTGATACGCAAAAGACGAGCTGGGACTGTGTACTTACAGCTAAACTTGGTGACTCTGCCACCAGAAGCCTCGTACGGCCTGATGGTGGCAATCGTGTTCTGGTGAACCGTCTTCAGCTGCGTGTCGTCCTTGACCTTTCCCTTGAGGTCCATCTGTCTGAACATGTTCAAGGCAGACTCCTCGCGCTGCTCGCCGTGGCCGGCGCTGCCCTTGGACTCGACAGTTCCCACAAGCTGCCAGCCTCCTTCGCCCCCCTGGAAGCGGAAAGCCTCGCAATCGTAGCCAGCGGCAATGATCTCGTCTTCGGCCTTCCAGATCAAGCTCTTGAAGGGCAGAAGCTGGGTTGGGACACTCAACACAGCCTTGGGGGGCTGCTCCGGACCGCTAGGGTAGACGACCGTGATGCTGCTGTCGTGAGCGGCAAATGCAAGGGCATTTCCACTCGGAGAAAACGACACAGAGTGAACCCAGCCAGCAGAGTTGTTCATGTACTCTCCGCAGACAGTGTTGAAGGGCAATCGCTCGCCCCAGACACCAGGCTCCGGGCGCTCGTCGACACCCTTGACAAAGGCCGAGAAGACTCGGGCGTGAGCGTCGGTGGAGCCTGCCGCGAGGAGCACAGAGTTGGGGTGCCATGCAACGCTGGTGATGGTGCTGCGAATCGGCTTCTTCAAGTGCTTCGAAACCCACCAGTCGTTTTCCTCCTCAAAGTAGCACACGGCAATGACGCGATCGCCGGAGCCGACGGCGAACTTGGTCTCGGAAGGCGACCATCGGACGAACGTGGCGGCGCGGCTGATTCGGAGCAGCACCAGCGTGGGCTTGTATCCGGTAGGAGAGGGCTCCCAGACCAGCGCATTTCGGTCTGTCGTAGCGTCAGCATTCAGGAGTCTTAAGGAGGCTTATAGGAGACACGGCCGAGGCGCACCCTGAGAGCAAGACACAATGCGACCGCTGTTGGGAGCAATGTCAACGCTGGTGACCGTCTTGTCGTGGCCCTTGAGGACGTCCTTGAGCTTGAATGCACTTCCAGCCTTGCCGTAGAGCTCGACGGTCGAGTCGCGAGCAACAGCGAGGGTTGCGTGGTCGGCCGAGAAGGAGTGGTCGGCAATGGGGTTGTGGAACAGGTGGTGGACTTCGGGAGCGGCCATGATGGGCGAGGGGCGATAGGAGGAGCTCTCTACTATCGCTGGTGAAGAGGTAGAAGCCGGCGGCGGTCGGTGGAAGAGGAAGCTGATTCAATCGTATGGCAGAGTGGAAGAGGTCGGAGTCGCACCTTGGCCGCGAGATGGCGGGGTGACGTTGCTGCTTCGGGTACGTACCTGGAGCCCCTGGCCGTAAGCGGGTGGCAGCCAAAGGCGAGGTACCGGGTACAGCGAGCACCTGCAAGCTTGGGCCACCTGAGCCGTTGCTCGCAAGACCAGAGTCGGCCTGGAGCCAAAAAAATCCACGTTCAATCCATCCATCACCATACAACAGACCATCAAATTCACGCCCTGCCTTCGGACCGACGACGAACCACACGACCTTTGCCCTGTGTCTGCTTCAGAAAAAAGAGAATTCAAACAGAGTCATCTTTGAATCGCTTATACCTGTCCAAGCAACACAATGGCGTCGGCTGCTCCTCCTCGCGGTCTCGCGCCAAACGCCTCTCTGCCCGCCAAAGTGCAGCCAATCCCTCCTAATCAGACGTGAGTTGTTGCTAACTGTCTAGAATTCTCCTTGCTGCTCATCTAACACTCGTCTAGTATCTACATCACAAACCTTCCCTCAGCCAAGATACAGAAGCAAGACTTGCGGACGGCGCTCTACATGCTCTTCTCGACGTTCGGACCCGTTCTCGACATCGTCGCCCTCAAGACGATGGAAATGCGCGGCCAGGCACACATTGTGTTTCGCGATATCCAGGCGGCGACGCAGGCAATGCGGTCAATGGACGGGCAGACCTTCTTGGGTCGTCCGATGGTACGTTCCTCGAACCCCCAGATGGCCATACTGCTGGCACGAGGATTAACCCGCCCTAGAAAATCCAGTACGCCAAGTCTAAATCGCACTTCGTGGCCAAGCTCGACGGCACATTCAAGATTCCCACGACGGGAGCCGGTGCCGCCACCGTGGAGCAGACTGAGCTGCAGCAGAGCATCTTCAACGCACCCCCGCCCGGAACGGCCCCCGAAAAGCCTGCGGCACCGGCGGGCAACCAGCCTGCAAAGAACCCTGAAGCAGACGAGAACCGCGGTCAGAAACGAACTCGCGACGAGGAGGAGGAGGAGAGCGATGAGGATGTGGCCATGGAGGAGGACAGCGATGATGAATGAGTACGCTCTCCCAGGACGAGGCTATCCCCGATGAAGGATGAGGTTCTATCCGTCTATACCGCGCCATCATTGGGTGGCCATTTCCTTGGGTACCCAGAGGCCGACGCAGCCTCCTACGAGGCCGCACCAGATCATGAGATAATTCTCCCGTGAGCAGTTGAAGCTGGAGATGGCGTCTCCCAGCAGACACGGGTGAAGAAAGAATGAGGGGACCCCGGTGATGGGGTGATGCTACAGGCAAGCTGTTAGTGCGGCCGGACCGACACTGGACCTTTGGATACCATAATTAACTTGTGCAAATAGCAATGGAAACTCACGTCTGCTGAGATACCTCCGATGCCTCCTACTCCACGACGGAGCCCATCTTTATAGCTGTCAGGAACTAGGCGACGGAAGACGGTGTCGATGTTGAAAGCAGGCTCTTCGGCGGGGAGATCGTGGAGGCTGAACCACAGACACGGCACTCTGTAGGTGGGGTGTAGATGGACCTCGTACGCTACATAGCCGAATCCCGGCGTCTCTTTTCGCTGTATGAGTTTCTAGCAAATATGTAAGAAACGCGCACAAGGGGTAACTGTAGCATAGTTGACGAGCTAGCATACCGCATCAGCCTCTTCGGCATCCATCATGTCATCGTCGCCCTGAAGAAAACGGCTGTCTGTATTGTCTGAGATGGAAAACCCGCCCAAGTCGAGTGATATGTCGTCAGGATCCACCGTCTCCTCCAACGGACGGATTATCTGGATATATGTCGTGTATCCGCTTGAGGTTGAATATGTGAGATCCAGCGAAGTGCAGACTCTGAGCTTCCACTTTTTCCTCATGGGGCCGAGAGTTGCTCTGCAGTATTGGCTGTCGAAGTGATGGCATATTTCCGAGAACTCTTCCGGGCTGAGAAAGGGAAATTCTTTGATGTCCATGATGCTACGGGCTGATCTGAGCCAAGACTCTCGTGTCCAGGGTGTCGTCTTTAGCTGTGTCTCTTGGAACTTTTGCTGTCCCGTAGGTACCTTATGGACAATTCCAAGATTGCTTCACGAAGAGCTTGGAGGCTCAACCAGGGACCTCGTCGAGATGCGGGTTATACCGACAGTTTCCGGACAATTTGCTCTTGATTCCGGTGTCAAAGCATGCTAGAGACCAGTCTCTGAGAATAGAAGATACAATAGATACGACCTGTCAGAAGAGACATTTGAGCGACGTCTTCGGGACGAGGATGTGAAAGCCTGTCAAGCCTTGATTGTGGTGCGGCAACTTCCCCCTAAAAGCGCAAGCCCACATTTTGGCGGCTCGCATGCTGTCAACTGAAGTTAGCGGTGCAACCTTATCGATTGGAGGTGACATGTCCTTTTTGAGCTTCCATCCCCAGTAGGTAGTCCGTCCATGTCCAACGTCCTTATAAACCAGGACCCCTAGACGGGCCATTGCTTGTCTTGTCCACTTTCCTGCTGTGCCGAAGCAGCAGTTTCTTTTTTTTTTTTGAGAAGTCTTCAGCTTCTCTTCTCTTGTTTCTTCTTTTTGCTTCTCCTTTCCCATCTCCTTGCAAGGGCGTTTGTGCTGTGCTTCGATCCGCGCATAACAACCCTCGCCCGCTCCTCAAGCCTCCCGATGATGCCCCCGTCCTCGACTCAATGATCCGCGACCCGTTCGGCATCCACAAGCAAAACGCATTCAAGGCCACAGCGCTCCGAGCGGCGCGCGACATCAAGGAGGCGGCGACGCAGGCGGGCGCAAATGCCCTAGACATGTCTTTTTCTTTGCCGAAACACGTGCCCGACTTTGGGGATCCAAGCCGGGCGCTCGAGGACCGCGCCTGGGCCGCTCTGTCGCGGAGAAGCGGCGCCGCCGGCATCAAGGCGGGCATCTTCGAGTCGTCGGACAGCCTGCCCATGTACAAGGACAAGCCGTACGCCTATGCGCCGTCGATGCGGCTGCGCCCGTGGTGGCGGCGCAAGAAGGTGCTGGGGACGATTGCGGCGGCGGTCATGTTTGTGCTGTATATCGCGGGCTTCTTTTCCGGCCAGCCGGAGGCCAAGAAGTCTTCCGGGTCGGCATTCTCTTGGCTGGGCTTGTCGCAGGATAGAGATGGTGTCGATTGGGACGAGCGGCGGAAGAGCGTGGTCGAGGCCTTCGAGGTGAGCTGGGACGCCTACGAACGCTATGCCTGGGGTATGTGATATGATGTGCTGTCGCAAACACATCAACACTTGAACTACGCTATGGATTGAGGATTTTGGGCTAATCTTATCTTGTATGGCGTCAGGCAAGGACGAATTCCACCCGATTTCGAAGAATGGCAAGAATATGGCTCCCAAGGGGCTTGGATGGATCATCATCGACTCTTTGGATACCATGATGTTGATGAACCAGACGTCCCGCCTGCAACACGCACGAGAATGGATTTCCACGTCACTGACATGGGACCAAGACCAAGACGTCAACACTTTCGAGACTACGATTCGCATGCTGGGCGGTCTCCTCTCCGCCCACTACCTCTCTACCGAATATCCGAACCTTGCACCCCTGACCGAGGACGACGAGGGGGCACCCGGCGAGGATCTCTATCTGGAGAAAGCCAAGGACTTGGCTGACAGGCTGCTCTCTGCTTTTGAATCGGAATCTGGCATCCCGTATGCCAGCGTCAACATAGGAGAGTACAAGGGTCTCCCGTCGCATTCCGACAATGGAGCGTCTTCCACGGCCGAGGCCACCACCCTTCAGCTCGAGTTCAAGTACCTGGCTAAACTCACGGGCGAGAAGAACTTCTGGGACAAGGTCGAAAAGGTGATGGAAGTCGTCGACGATAATCAGCCGGAAGACGGCCTTGTTCCCATCTACATTTACGCCACGACGGGCGAGTTCCGCGGTCAGAATATTCGCTTGGGAAGCAGGGGTGACTCTTATTATGAGTACCTCATCAAGCAGTATCTTCAGACGAACAAGCAGGAGCCCATCTACGAAGAGATGTGGGACGAGGCTCTTGCCGGTGTGCGAAAGCACCTGGTCACGTACACTGAGCCTTCAGAGTTCACCATCATCGCCGAGCGTCCAGATGGCTTGGACTACCCCATGTCGCCAAAGATGGACCACCTGGTTTGCTTCATGCCAGGGACCATTGCCTTGGCTGCCACCGGTGGCCTCACCGAGGCCGAGGCGCGGAAGCTGTCGACCTGGAACAAGAAGAAGGACGACGACATGCAGCTGGCAAGGGAGCTCATGCACACCTGCTGGGGCATGTACAAGTACATGAAGACGGGTCTGGCGCCCGAGATCATGTACTTTAACATCCCCAACCCTCCGCCAGAGGCATCGGCGTCACACCAGGCGCCGGCCGAGTTTGACGAGGATCCGCACGCCGAGTGGCGCAAGGACTTTGTGCTGCACTCCAACGACGTGCACAACCTGCAGCGGCCGGAGACGGTGGAGAGCCTGTTTTACATGTGGCGGATCACGGGCGACGTCAAGTACCGCGAATGGGGGTGGGACATGTTCAAGTCGTTTGTCAATTATACCGCGGTGGAGGATCAGGGAGGGTTCACGAGCCTGCTTGATGCCCATACGATTCCGCCGACGGTCAAGGACAATATGGAAAGCTTTTGGCTGGTAAGTTGTCTCTCTATCGTTTCTCGAGTGCCAATGATCGATCATCCTCGTTGAGTCTGTGGTTGCTGACGCATGGATGCTCTCCCAGGCCGAGACATTAAAGTACATGTACCTCCTCTTCTCGCCCAACGACGTGTTGCCGCTGCACAAGATTGTGCTGAACACGGAGGCCCATCCGTTCCCGCGGTTTGACCTGGGGCCGCTGTTCTCTACCGGATGGAAGCGAAAGCCCCGGGATGGGAGTGCCAAGAAGAAGACGACTACGACGACGACGCCGTAAATGCATGAGTTTGGATGGGAAAGAAGAGCTGATGGAAGCGATACTTGAACTTGACTGCTCCTTGCATGTTTTGGCGTTGCTAGCATTATTCTTATACATATGGCAGACGACGATTTTATATTCTAGGTACATAATGCGGCGTGTATATGAGATTGATTGCCGTTGCCACATATAATGCTACTATATCATTTGAGGTCTGCCTGATGTTTGACTGCACTGAGGGAAGAAATATGGGTGCCTAGAACATACATACATAGACAATCGTGGGGGTTATGGAAGGGTTGCGCCACATGCAGGATCCAATCCTTCGCGCTGGGAGGAAGCTGGAGGCGTTCTTTTCAGGCCTTGGAATTGATGGTCGCATGTGCCGACCGTTGGTGGCTTTTCGGTGGGTGCGACGTGTGTGGTTGAATCTAGTCTAGAGGTAAGGCGCCATGATTGAGGATGCTGTGCAACGAATCGGATAACGAGTGGATGGACAGAGGAAACGAATGAAGCAAGAGTAGCAGCTGTCGCTTCATCACATCAACTGCCCGTATGTATGAGCATCGTCAACATCAATCTGCAGACCAGCGTTCATTCATTGGCAGTCGGTCCCCTTATCAGCAGGCTCCACCCCACCTGATTCCAGCGCTCGCAGCCCCGGTTGCGACCCCTGGCAGATGCAACGGCGGGCTGATGTACACGATACTGCAGGAGTTCCAGTGACATTGGATGGACGGCCTGGGACGGAGGTGCAGTTGCAGTTGCAGTTGCAGTTGCGGTTGCGGTTGCAGTGCAGCACGAGCATCAGCTGAGTTGAGGAGGCGATCCGTTGACTGTGCTGTTGGTCACAAGTGAGCGAGACTTTACGGGTCGTAGATGCGCTGAGTGCATGGATCTAGGGGTACCACCAGATAGTCTAATACCCAAGGTCAGATGAATTAGTATGCTGTTATCGCCTCTACTAAGGTCCATGCATCTCCGAAGAGCTGGTGGCATCCAACTCGATCCTCAGTACCTACTAACAAAGCATGCTTGTACCGGCTACTTGGACTCGAACGGTGACCGAGGCCCAGCGTCGTATCCGCGATTAGCATCAGATCCCGGGGTTCTGGACCTGGACCTGGACTTGTAGGAACATGATGCATCAAGCAGAGGCCGATGCCCTCCATCATCAACCAGCCTTTTCCACCTCTTTCTTCTGCAGTTGCTTTCAATATGTACTCACTGGCCACTGAGGGCTTAACCATGAGTTGATGGATCAAACTGGATCAGAGCGCCGTTGCCACAATCGCTGGTGCTGACAGGCGCGATATCGGGCGAGTAAGTACTTGCATGATAGCCCAGTAATACCAGACTACAGCCTCACAAATGGCCTCTCCCCCCATCCATCATCTGCGCCACCCTTGTCCAACGCTGATAAAAAAAGGCACCACCATTTGATGCCAACCCGCGGGCAATCTAGTCTACCTTACTTCTACTAGCCCGATTCCATCCATCCTCTTGTCGATTCTGCCTTCTTACTATTCGCTCTGTCTATTCCGTAATTTGAACCCGGCTCTGCGCCCCCGGACGACCAACGGGACTCGCCATTCTCCTTCAATCCCTCTTCTCTCTCTCAACCACTCTGTCCCGCCGCTGTTCCGCTGGATCGACAAAGAAAGCTTGCGGCAATCTCGGCGGTGACGACACTTTGTTCATGCAGACTCCAAGAGTCGCTTCGTGAGCCTTCTTGCTTGTGCGTCTGCATGGCAGGCCGTTGCGACGACACCCTGGTTCTGCGAGTCGGGTTATCGTGCCGAAGAAAGCGACGACACTTCGAACAGCCAAACTCTCTTCGTTTCCTTGTTCCCTCGCCTCAGTTCCATACGCACGACGACGATTTCTAGATAGGTCGCGAGTAGAGTCCTGCGATTGGTACGACGATCATTAGTCTACCCCACGAGCTGTTACTGCGGTCACGACGACAACGACTCTTCCTCATCCTCCTCCCCTCCATTGCCTTGGCTTCCCCCCAGCGCAAAGGCCCCCTTCACCAGCTCGAAAAGAAGAAGCCAAAGAAGAACCGTAATCGCATCGTCGCCTCTCCACCCTCTCTCTCTCATCAGCTGCCGGCACAAACCCACAGCCCAGCCGCGCGCAAAAAAAAAGGGCGTCGCATCTCTACCAGCAAGCTAAAGCAGCAGCATGGCGCCATCGCGAGACATTGAGCTCAACCCGTTCGGCACATACAAGATCAAGGAGGAGTCCCTCACCCACGGCAGCTCCTACAGCATGCGCGAGCCAAACTATGAGGAGACCAAGGAGCCGCGGATGGACCGCTTCATCAACAGCTTCCGCCGCGACCCCAATTCCAGGTTCTTCCCCAGCAGGGACCTCGACGACATTGGGCCGCTCGAGAGCGTCCGGAGGCACAACAATGGCTCGCCCTTTTACGACTTGCGCCGCGCCGCGCTGGCGACGGCGCACTCCAACGGCCTGTCGCGGAAGCTCAAGGGCCGGCATCTGCAGATGATTGCCATTGGAGGCTCTATAGGTGAGCGCATGCGTTCTATCCTCTTTCCATAGGTCCCGTGTCACCGCAGTTCACCTCCTGTGTGGCGGCGCTCGCGGTGCTGGTCGTGCTGTTGTTACTGTTGCTCCGAAAAGACTCCTGAACTGACCCCCCTTGTCTGTGTCTCCTGCGTCTAGGCACCGGACTGTTTGTAGCATCCGGCAAGGCGCTGGCCGCCGGCGGTCCTGCGTCTCTGCTGTTGGCGTTTTCCATCGTCGGCGCCATGCTGTTCTGCACATGCCAGGCGCTAGGAGAACTCGCCGTCATCTATCCCCTCGCGGGTTCATTCTCATCGTGGGCCACTCGGTTCTTGGATCCCTCCTGGGGCTTCGCCCTGGGCTGGAAGTAAGCCGGTCATTGACGCGAAAGAGCATATCCCGTGAAGCAATGATTGCTGACAAGTTTGTTATTACAGCTATGCCATGCAGTGGCTGACCATCCTCCCCTTGGAAATCATTGCGGCGTCCCTCACGATTGGATACTGGGATAATCATCTCACCAGGGCCATCTTCGTCACCGTCTTCCTCTTCACCATCGTTGCCATCAACCTGTTTGGCGTCAAAGGCTACGGTGAAGCCGAGTTTACCTTTTCGTTAGTCAAGATTGTCGCCGTCATTGGCTTCATGTAAGTTCTCAGCAAACCCCAAACCCCCCCTTCCGTGCTTTTCCAGTCTCCTAATCATCAAATGGCCGCGTCTGTAGCCTCCTCGGCATCGTCTTAAACTGCGGCGGCACGCCCACCAGCGGCTACATCGGCGGCAAATACTGGCACGACCCCGGCGCCTTCCACAACGGCTTCAAGGGCCTCTGCAGCGTCCTCGTCACCGCGGCCTTTGCCTTCACGGGGACGGAGCTCATCGGGCTGGCGGCGGCGGAGACGGCGAACCCGCGCAAGTCGCTGCCGACGGCCATCAAGCAGGTCTTTTGGCGCATCAGCCTCTTCTACATTGTCGCGCTGACGCTGGTCGGCCTGCTGGTGCCCTACACGGACCCGCGGCTGAGCGGCGCCAACAACAACGCCGACGCCCACGCGTCGCCCTTTGTCATCGCCATCACGTCCGCCGGCATCGAGGTGCTGCCGTCGGTCATGAACGCCGTCATCCTCGTCGCGGTGCTGTCCGTCGGCAACTCGGCCGTCTTCGGCTCCTCGCGCACCCTCGCCGCCCTCGCCAACCTCGGCCAGGCCCCCGAGATCATCGGCTACGTCGACCAGCGCGGCCGGCCCCTCGTCGCCATCATGGTCGCCGCCGCCTTCGGCCTGCTCGCCTACCTCGCCGACCTCAAGCAGCAGAACTCGGTCCTCGACTGGCTCCTCGCCATCTCCGGCCTCTCCTCCATTCTCACATGGGCCTCCATCTGCCTCTGCCACATCCGCTTCCGCCGCACCTGGGCCGCCCGAGGGCATCACCCGAGCGACCTGCCCTTCCAGTCCCAGGTCGGCGTCCTCGGCTCCTACATTGGCTTCGGCCTCAACCTGAGCGTCCTCGCCGCCCAGTTCTGGGTCGGCGCTTTCCCGCTTCCCACAAATGACAAGCCTATGACGGCGGCCCTCCAAGCGGAGAATTTCTTTTTGAAATGGATGGGCGCGCCGATTGTCCTCATCTTCTTTTTAGGCCACAAGATTTACTATCGGACGAGATATGTCAAGATCAAGGACATGGACATTGATACCGGGAGGAGGGATTTTAATGTCCCGATTTTGGTGCAGCAGGAGAAGGAGGAGTGGGAGACGTGGCCTAGGTGGAAGCGCTTCTACAAGTTTCTGTGCTGAGAATATTTTTCATGTTTTTATCTCGTTTGGCGTGTTTTGGGTTTGAGAGGAGGTGATCTTGGGTATTCTTCTTCTTCTTGGATATATTGGCTTCGTGGGACTGCTGTATGGGCCTCCGTGAAATGGAAGCTGTATTCTCAATAGCATCTATGTATCTAGCGGGTGTACTGGAATTCAAACAAACTTGAGTTATCAACATACACGAAAGCTTCCTCATCCTCGAGTATATGTCCCTCGGAACGCAATACTCGATATAGACAAGTAATAACATTCAACACGCCAAGTTCAAACAAGCTGTCATTGAAAGCAACCTCGTTATACACTGAATCCGACCACCACAACCACAAGAATGAGTGAAATAAACAAGGTCAAAGACATGAAAAAAGTATGTATATATAACAGAAAAAGGGG